TTTTATTCTGTATCTCAGTAGGCTATGCCTACTACTTTCATGATCTCAGAAAGGAAGAGCATACTTTAGATCGTTTGCACAGCCGTGCGGATGGTGTCATGGTGTGTGGAGCTTTAACATACTTTGGCACTATAGAACTGAAGTTTCTTACCAGCCGTATGAATGCCATTGCGTACAAAGGTGTACTGAATACGGCTTTTCCTGCAATCAAGGATATTTTTGAACCCTTGAAATGGAAGTTCCAACAGGACAACGCACCTATCCAAACAGCCAGGATTGTAAAGTCCTGGATTGATGGTCAAAACGTAGAATTACTGACTTGGCCGCCATACTCTCCCTACCTAAACATTATAGAAAATGTTTGGGGATGGCTGGCACGAAAGGCGTACGAGTCCGGCAGGCAGTATTCAACTGAAGCAGTACTCATTGAAGGAATAACAAAGTCCTGGGAGGCTGTTTCACTCAATTATATAAAAAAATTATATGACTCCTTACCTCAGCGGGTGTACGAAGTCATACTTAACCGTGGAGGCTCAACACGTTATTAATTTGTTTTCAAAAAAAGTTAAAAATTTTTACATTAATATTAAAAAACAATTTGAATGAAGTTTGAACCCATTATCTTTTATTATAAATTTTCAAGCGACTGTGCTAATCGGCTGTCGCAAAAATAATAGAGAATTTTGTATGTTATGTTTGTTTATATTAATTTAAAATGTTATTAATAAAATTATTATCCTATCTTCAATTAATTTTCGTGTGAAATTATATATTCTTTTAAGGAAAAAAAAATTATTTGAAAAGCTTTTTTAGTTTTCCCGATATTAAGTTTCTAAGAGGAGCAGCATAGGGTGTGCTAATCGGTTGTCGCGCAGTGTATCTCATTTTATTTTTAGTCAATTTAAGAAATTTATAAAATTTCATGTGATTTTAGCAAATGTGCAAAGATTACTACTATATATGTTTGTATGTATGTATGTGTATATGTAAATATATTTGCAGCAATAATATCAATAACTTGAGGAAAATACAATATTTTCTTTAAAGTTCTCCACCCTTAGCCAACTGGGAATATTCGATACATGAATATATACACATGTATGTGTATACTTACGCACCTATGTACACATGTAACTACTTACATTTAATCTAATCTCATGCGATTTTCAAGATTACCATTATTTTCAATTGAAATTCACTTTTACTTAAACGAAATAAAAACGAAATCAAATAAATATTACAGACTTGGGAAATTGTTTAACAACAATAACAACTACTCATACTTAGACTACATATGTATGTATATACATATGTATATGCATATGCTTGGATTGTGAAACATGTTTACTATGAATAAGTGAAATAAGCAAGTAAGTATACACTTAAGGCAACGCTTAGCGGCGGAACGTAACCAATCTTGATGACACTAACGGAAAACATAAAAAAGCATTTACGCATGTACTCGTACATAACCATATCTACACATGTCACATGCATTTTTTACATATAAATGTACGCATACATACATATTTATAAAATTACGACCGCTGAATCGATTTTCGGCCGATCTCCAATTTGCAATTTACAAAGTCTTGTTTGGGAAGAATGCGAACCTATGCCCATCCGCATGCTAGCACACACTGCCAGCCGCTTCACTTCTGCATTCGCCACTTACATACGCATTCATAAAGTTGAACGTTTAATTTGTCTATTGAAAGTAGAGTCAATAGTGGGGTTTCCATGTTAGCAGCTTATAATATTTATATCCACCACATATATATTATATATATGGGCTGCCCAAAAAGTAATTGCGGATTTTTTAAAAGAACTTTAATCAAATATATAATTGCCATTTTGTTCGATAACCTTTTGCCATCTTTAGTATTCCACGCTGATAGAACTTCTGGCCTTTATCTGCAAAAAACTGAACCAAGTGCGATTTTATAGCCTCATCATTGCCGAAAGTTTTACCATTTAAGGAGTTCTGCAAAGATCGAAATAAATGGTAGTCTGATGGTGCAAGGTCAGGGCTATATGGTGGATGCATCAAAAGTTCCCTGCCAAGCTTGCTCAGTTTTTGGCGAGTGGCCAAAGATGTGTGCAGTCTAGCGTTGTCCTGGTGGAATATGACACCTTTACGATTGACCAATTCTGGTATTCAATTTGTCCAATTGTTGACAGTAAACATCCGAATTAATCGTTTGGTTCCTTGGAATCAGCTCAAAATATACGACATCCTACCAATCCCACCAAACAGACAGCATAACCTTCTTTTGGTGGATATCAGCCTTTGAAGTAGTTTGAGCTGGTTCACCATGCTTGGACCATGATTGTTTTCGACTAACTCGAAAAATCTCCAGAACGGAATTTCCGAAACCAATTTTGACACTGTCTTCCTTTTAAGGCTTCATCACCATATGTGGGCTCCATATTAAAATTGACGCCAAACAAACAAATGTAAACAAAATTTCGCGCACTTTTTTTCTAAACCAAGCTAAAAGTAACAGCTGATAACTGACAGAAGAAAGAATGCAATTACAGAGTCACAAGCCGTTGAAAAAATTTGTCAACGCCGACTATATGAAAAATCCGCAATTACTTTTTGGGCAACCCAATAGTAGCGCTATACATAATATAGTTATATTTATATGTGAGTACGCTCATTATGGATACAAACAAATGCGGCAAGATTAGTACCGGAGTAGGTACTGTAATGTGCATTTGGGTATTAGCTTTTTATTAAGTTTTCTTGTTAAGTTGGTTGGTTGATTGACAGAGAAGGTTGAGAGCCTGAATGCAGGCGGCCGCACCTGAGCTATTAAGCAGGCTTATTTCCATTATGCTGAAGCTTTGTCCAATACAGGAGTTAAAGATGGCTAAACCTATTGGCTTACAGCCCTTGGCAGGATGAAATCATAAAGAAACATCGAGACCACCAGAAGAAGTTTGCCTAACCTTATATGCTGATAATTGCACGATATTGGTGTCTGGGCAGAATATTAATGACCTTTGCTCGAAAGTGAACTGTTATCTTGCCGACATGTCCAATTTCTCCACTGCAAGACACCTTAAGATACAACCAACGAAATTCTCGGCTACCCTCTTCACCAGCTGGACGAAAAGATACAGGCTCGATTTAGATGTAAAGGTTGATGACGTGAAAATTCCGACCCTTAATAGCCCCAAGATTTTTAGAGTCACCCTCGGCACCCCGCACTCCGCATACGACCGCATTTGCGGCAAAAAGCTTCAAAGCCGCAACAAATTACTCAAAGCGCTAGCTGGCAGATAAGGAAAATTTGATGGCAACCTCTATAAAGCAATTAAGTGGCCGCTCGTAAACCATGCTACACCGATCTAGGCGCCAAGGACGAACGAAACGTTGATGAAGAAATTACAGACTTGTCAGAACGTTGTCTTCAGAACCACGACAGTAAACCACCTGCTGTCGCCAGAGCATCACTTGCACAGATAAACATCTATGCTACGAGGTAAGGAATATATTGCTTTGCTGTGCATGTTACCGTAGGAAGTACCCTAATAGGCATCTAATAGAAGCTGAACCTTCATCTATGCACATCAGAAAGGGAGTACTAGATTCTTAAGGACACAATCCAGCAACAAGTGCAACAACCACTGGACAGGATGGCGTACAGACAAGCACTGAACGCCATTCACCAGTCAGTCAACACCTTCAAAGGCTCTCTTCCTGTGAATAGTGTGCTCAAAGATAAAGCACCACCTATCGCAGACAACGGGCTCGAGCTAGCTCGAGAAGCTCGAGTGACACAGGCACAACTTAGGTCTAAATTTTATAGCAGGTTAAACTCTTACCTATCCCGGCTCGACTCCAACATACCCACTAACACTACCCACATCTTCACATGTCCTCTTAAGCAGACGCATATAACTGCCCTCTCCCTCTGGTCCGATTCCGTCGAAACAGCGCGTATCCTGGACCTCCCGTTAGACGAACTCGGTGACTTAGATTGATTTTGAACATGTCTCTAGTAAGTCCAAAGAATTTCCCAACCACTAATCTGACTTCATTTCGCTTGAAAAATCTGTAAAGGGCTGTTCGACAAAGCCAAGCCTCTTAAACAAACAGGACGCTTTGTCTAAAGGGAAGGGATCGTTTTAAAAGACAGTCAATAGTGCAGCTTGTGGTGTCTTCCCTGAGGAACAGGTTTACATTCGTTTAAATTGGCAGCATTTGCTCCACTAGAGAGTATACAAGCGTCACCCCTCAAAGAGGGGTTTTATGCCCAGTATTGTGATAATTCACAATACACACTCTGATTAGAATAGCGGCACTGGCGTAAGGACAGTGAACTAGATTTCAACCCAATTGGTCGTTTTTACCAAAAGTTTTAAAAAAGTTTAAGTCACCTCTGTTAAAAGACTAAATATCTCGGAATAGTCTTGGCTATAGTGGCTATAAAATATATAAGTACTCCGAACAGACTGTCCAACAAATCAAACACATTCTGACATTCCTGACAAGTGTGCTTCAGATGATCTAGCGAGAGGGAAACTCCGTATATACATGCTAAGCGGTCGATATGGAGGGTGTTGGATATAAAGGGTTCAAAGCATTTAACTCCACTCGCTGGACTCTCCTATAATACAACGACGGCTGTAACAACAGGACACTGGGACTTCATGGCAGGAGAATGGGCTTCCAACTTTATTGATTTTGGATTTTGTAGGAACGACGAGGAAGAAGGATCTGTCGAACACTACCTCTGTCACTATCAGCGCGTCACAGTTAACAGCCTTCACTGTCATACGGTAATACAATAGACGGTAATACAATAGACCTATAGGTTTCTGACCAGCAGCCACTCAAATCTCAACTAAAAGGCCAATTTTCGAATAGCTAAAGCGGTAACTTACGTGCAGAGCTTCAAACCAAAGAAATGGCATAGAGTGTAAAACATCGATTGGGCCCTGTTTTTTGAAAACAGTGAGGCTTACTTTCCTTGTATTAACAAATCTTATGCTTTTTGTGCTATGAAATTTATTACAAATTAAATGAGTATTTCAGTACAGTTATAAAATTCAAATGTATAAGTGAAGGTTAGAGACTTCCGCTGATGTCCCAATGAATGGAATTTTATACTCAAACTTTCTGTTGTACTGGACGTACAGCCATATGCACATACTTCAGTGAATACTCATGACCATGCCAATGTGTCCAGTCAATGCCTTTGCCATATTTATCCGCACCGTATTTGCCGCGTAAGTACTGCCCATTCAGATTACTGAAATTAAAAGCATTTTTGAAATTAAAATTTTTTTTTTTAAAGAGCTGAACTCACCTATCATGACACGCCTTATACCACCAAGCTCCTGTGTACTCCACAGCGCAGTTTCGATCCCACATATCATGGTCGGCATCTTTCGTACTGAACATCTGACCCTGACTAACGCGCAAAGAATCACCGGCATTGCCTTCATATGAACCCAATAAATGCAGTGCATAAGCTTCGTGCTCATCGCCAATGGCAAAATTATCATAGCGGGCATAACGCGTGACATTTTCAAAATCCTCCATTTGCACCCACAACTCGTTGAGCTGAGCATGCGTGATGCCGTGTAAACGCTCCAGGCCGATAAAAAATTCACCATTCCAGTTGCCAAAACCCGCCTGATATTCTTCCCAAGTACGGTGAAAATTAATAGAGCCATCTTGGCGTCGCTGTATCACAGTCCAGGCTGGGCCGCCATTTGGATCCAGCAGACAATATGCATAGAATGGTTTCAGACCACCATCGGGCAAATAGAGATGATATATGCCACTCTTAGCATTAGTACCAGCTTGTTCTATGGCCTCTGCGCATGTAGTTGACAACACAGGGCTGCTATATGGGCATTGTGCGCCATATAGATCTGAAGGCGGTTGATGTTGCTTATTGCACCCACAAGCTGCAGATGCTGTTTCATTTATAGGCGCCGCTTGAATATTGTTACCGCCAGCAGAGGATTGTGAATTGGTGGCAGGTAAGTTGATACCACCAGCTGATGATTGCGTCGTAATTACAGGTAAATCAACGCCACCAGCTGATGATTGTGAGCTCGAAACAAGCAAGTTAGCACCTCCATCCGAGCTTTTTGAAGTCGGTAAATATATATTATTGCCACCTGTCGCGGTCGTATCAGAACTGCTAACGCCACCAGCAGAGTGTTGTACCGATGTAACCGATCCGTCACTGCTACTAGCTTCACCAACGCGAACGTCAATCCAATGGGGCATTGACTTCACTTCCGGCAAACGTGCATCCAATAATAATTTAATATTGTCCAGCCTGTAGGAGAAAAATGAATAATTACCTTTATTGCATTGCTTTGTAATCACAAAAAATTTAAACATGACCAGAGCCACTGACCTCAAATTGTATGCTTCCAACAGGAAAAAGATGTTCTCACTGGAAAGCTTCAACTGCGCAACCTGTTGTGCCACATTCCTCAATTGCACATCATCGCAGAGTGGTGTAAAGGTCTGAATGAAGAAAGGAGAATCCAAAAAAATAAATCTTTAAAAACGCCGGCTGGCAATCGAATATACACTTTGTTTACCGCATTATTCGGATCTGTTGAGAACAGCTGCTCAAAACTGGTTGTTGTGTGCCCACCCGGCGATGGTGACGCCGACGTCACTGCAGTCAAGGTTAGCAGCAGCAGCAGCAGTGATGATAAGAAAACCCCGCAGTTTAATAGCTCGCGCTGAAGGTGTGTCCGCAATCTTATTACACGCATTTCGTACGATTGCACGTCAGAAGATGCTGCTCCGTTGCTGGTTGTCACACAACTGACGCTGGCTCTAAGCGTTGTTTCGAGCTTTATAAACATACACATGTGAGTCAGTGAGAGCGGCGAAGCTATTGCAGGCGGTGATTTTTTAGTCAACCGTATTTTTTTTTTTTTTTTTTTTTGTATTTTGGATAATCCCATTTTGTAAACCTTTTTCTTAATAGTGGAGAACAATGCTGTGTCGTACTTTACAATTACCACTTTAAACATTTTGGCAGGGTGTTTCAATAAACTGATTTCGTTCGTCTGTACTCCTCTTTAAATGAACATAATACGGCGGAAATATAATTATAGTCCGTGTGCTTCGACTTGACCGACTGATGATCTTTCTGTGCCTTTTCTTCCATCGAGAATCTATAAATCTGCCGCGTTTTTGTCGATCCAGGTAAAGAGGACTGAAGCCTCATTTAGTACCCAATGGCCAATGTGAGGAGTCCCCAATCGAACTTTAAAAACAAGGGTTGAATTATTCCACGAAGAATCTTTCGCCACATAAACTCAGGCCCAAGAACCTACAAGAATAAATTGAAAGCAGTGATTGTCTTTAAACGGCTTTAAATTACTGCTGTTTGCCTTGTAGATATGTAGATAGGTAGTCAGGAGTGCGCTCTTAGAGGTGCTTAGACTCACTTTAATCATAGTATATACATAGTTGACTTCTGTATTCTCCCGTTTATATTTACAGGAGCTTTACAGTATTTTCTATACCAAGTATTTTATTGCAGCTGACTTGAGATAAAGATTATGAAATTTAAAGTTCTTTGGAGTCTCTTTCTGACCCGTCCGTGTAGTTGGAGATGACATTATTCTCACCTATAAAAATCTCTCCTTCATTCCCTTCCAAAGGGCATACGCATCCGGAAAAAACTGTTGAATCTAACTTTGGGAGGATATATTTTGATTTACTTAAAGTTGTTGTTAGTGGATTTTGCATATTGCTGTGTCCAACTTCTTTTTGGATCCAAAAGCTTCGCTCTATAACCCTACTTTGCGAATAAAAATCTTCGGCGAAGCAACATACAATTATCCATGAGTGAAGCAATCCGTATCTACAATAAGTATAAAAATTGACCCTGAGCTTTGCTGATAGTGATTACAAATGCTACTCGAAGATGGCACTGTAGCCACTTAAATTCAAAGAGAGTATCGGGCGGAATGATAGGAATTCGAGCAATGAGGATGTCTTCACCTTGTTGTTTCTGTTATGTTTCTCTGTTTTTTTTTTACTGCAAGACGTATACCGTTGTGCGATGGTAGCCTCGCTTAGCCAAAATAACAAAAAATTCTGTTGGATAATTGTAATGTAATCCGTCCAGAAGTCATATATAACTAGCATCGATGGATTATTTTGCAGCTTGACACGCATATTGGTGGTGTATTGATCTCAAATGGGCTAGATGGGACCACTACAACATATAATAGCCCTCATACAACCAATTTGATCATGGTGTTGGTTCAGCAATAAATTTTTTTCATTCTCAATATTTATTATACTGGGGTAACCCAAAGCTGATAAAACACGTATATTTTAGCCGCAAACTGTCATAGCTTCTTAGTGACTATATATTGGGATTTTTCTATGAGCTATTACATATGTACATATGCTGAAATATCAGTGCTATAGTGATAATAAACATTTAGTTCGCCTTGAGAAGAAGCTATTCGGTATTGAAATGGAGAGTGACTCGGGCAGAGATCCAAAAATTCATGACAATACAACATTGAGAACTACTCAAGTATACTTATATTTAAGCGAGCAGCTCCTACTCCTCGCATACTTTGAGGCATGAGGTTTTGCTTTCTGCCATTTTATGTTTTTATGCAATTCTCAGATGGACAGTGTAGCAATAAAGTGAAAGTGCCTAATAGCTCCTAAGCATCTTTCAGTATCAGGAGCCGTTAAAAAATGCCAATTCTTAAAACACTCCCTGGTTTCACCAATTTTTAAGAGCCAGCTCCCTCAATACATTCTCCAGGATATGAGCCCGATTCAGTTCCACCATTTTTAAACAGCACAGCGCTCAATTACTTTCAAACGTAACAACGGAATAGGCATCCCACACTATCTTCAACCACTGGAGTAAAGGTCATCCCGCATCAACTCTGATTTTTTCTCTGGAGCTCACACCCGAATTCCTTCAAGATACATTGCGTTTAATAAATACATTCCAATGTGTAATTTAACATCTTTCTCTATTACCCAAGCTTGGAAAATTTACATTTATTTAAGAATTTTATTATTAAGGTCAACCACCCTCTTATTTTTCTCTTCCTAGTAATTTCCTATGATTTTTTCTTTACTCTAATTAGTAGATTACTACAACTTACCATTAAAATGAAAAACAAATCACACCAATTGTTTCACTTCTTTTTAATTTTATGTAGGACTAAACTCCTAAGAATTTCGTATCGGATTTCGTGGAAAGATATTCGCATTATCTTAGGTGGAATAGCTTTCTTTCCCTTAGGATACAAATTTTTTTCCTAACTCTTTATGGGTCCAACTTATACACTACCTAACAAACGATGAAACCTATTTTAGAATTATCCAAATCAGACAATTATGTTAAAAAGTATACGCGACGACTTGAGAACCCTTTTTGCGTCTGTTAATAAAAAAAATTAAATATTCATTTATCTAAAATCATTTGTTGGTCGAGTTAGATAATTATTCCAAGCCGTCGCAAATAGAATTCACCTCAATGATCGTTCACCTCATTGAAACAGTAAAGTACTCTCTTTAATACAAAAAATAAAAATATCATATTTATTACACAAATCAACAAAGAGAAGAGTGGTATTACAATATTGTTAGAAACCACAATTTTCTTTTTTTAACATTTGTACTTAATTCCAATCATCCATAATAATAACCATAAGGTGTGTAATAATTACCATAACCGTATCCATAATAATAAGGATAACCGCTAGCATATGCATGGGTATATTGCGGATTTGTCGGAGCACCAACACCATAAAAATTATTGGCAATATTCTTAACTGGCATTGCTGGCTGTGCGGCTGAAGTACCTGTTGCAGCTGGTGTTCTTCTATTTATTAAGCTCGCCGCAATTACCCCGATATTGTCATTGGAGACTAAATTAGTTAAAAGCAAAGCAAGTAATCCATTGGCAGCAAAGAGACCTGATCCACCTGCACCATCGGTAGAGTTGCGTAAATTTGGAAATAATAGTCGCAACGTACGTTCTTCGCGGGTCAATGAGCTGAAAAGGGTTGCTGTTGCATGCGGTTCGATGCTAGAGGTGGTGGATGTGGTGAATGAGCGCGGCGAAAAGTCTTCAGTTGGCATTTTATGCCCGTTTAAAAAGTGGTTAAAAACGTTTTGTACCCTTATTGTTTCTGTTGACACTGGTGTGAACTCGAAATTTCCATTAGTTGTTATTGTTGACTGCAGCACCGTCGCTGATGTCACTCTTCTGGCATTTGTTGTTTCCATTTTTACAAGTATGTCTGCAGCAATAGCGCCATTATTCATAATTAAAAATTCTGTCACACAAATAATTGAAAAATATTTATAAAACAACATTGTTGTGTTTTCTTTTTATGTGGCGTCCTTTGCGTTGCTGTTGTTGTTGCGACTTCTGGACCTATTTTATTTGAGCAATAAAATCTAATTAATTATATGCTTTCTAACAGGTTCAAAGGAACCAAGTACACATATACATACGGGTATACTGTACGAAAAGAAGTAAACATAATTTCATGTAAATGTAAAGCAGCTGATTTATTTATATTTTTCATTTTACGTATTTTAATTTTGCTATGTTATTATTCTTATTATTATTTTTTTTTACCATACTATTTTATATTGTTTTATCTCGATTTATTGTTTTCTTTAATTTTATCTTGTTTCAGCTTCTCTTAAATCATTTTATTCTTTTCACTTTACTTTATTTTTACTTTTATATTATTTTTTTTTTTGTACTATTTTACTTTATATTATTTAACAATATTTTATTTTACTTCACTTCATTTTGTTTTATTATATTTTATTTTATTTCCTTTTTACAAATTATTAATTTATTTTTTTATTTTTAATTAATTTTAATTTTACTTTTAGTTTTTTATATTTTTTCATTTCATTTTATTTTGTTTTGTATTATGTTATTTTGTTTTATTTCAGGTTTGGTTTCAGTTTATTTTAATTTATTTTATTATATTTTATTTTGCTTCATTTTATTTTTTATATTTATGTATATTATTTCATTTCTGCCTATTTTATTTTATTTTTACTAGTTTTATTATGGTATTTTATATTATTTTATTTTATCTTATTATATTTCCTTTTTATAAATGATTTAATTATTTTTTTAAATTTTTTTTTTAACTTTTTTTGACTTTTTATTTTTTTAAATTATTTTATTACATTTTATATTGTTTCATATTATTATATTTTATTTATTTTGTTTTGGTTTATTATATTTTTTATTATATTTTATTTTCTTCATTTTATATTATTTTAGTGTATATTGTTTTATTTTATTTATTTTGTATTATTTTGATTTATATTTTTTTTTTTTTATAATGTTTTATCTATTTCATTTTGTTTTTGTATATTTTATTTTGCTTCAAATTATTTTAATTCATTTTATTTTATTATATTTTATTTCATATTTTTATATTATTTTTTATTGTTTAACCAAATGTATTTAACTTATTCATTTTTTAGCTTATGTTATTTTATTTCATTTATTTTATATTATTTGGTTTTATTTTTTTTTATTTTGTTTTAATTTATTTTATTTTTTTTTAATTATTATTTTTTATTTCATTTTATTTTTTTTATTATTTTATTTTATTTTGTATTGTTTTATTTTACCTTATTTTATTTGATTTGATTTTATTTCATTTTACTTTATTTTATTTTATTTCATTTTGTTTTGCTTTATTTGAGTTTGCTTTATTTTATTTTCTTTTATATTTATATTTCATAATATATTATTGTATTTAATTTGACAATATTTTATTTTACTTCACTTTTTTATTTTATTTTAATTCATATTTTCATATTACTTTTTTATTTTTAATCAATTGTATTTAACTTATTCATTTTTTAGTTTATATTTTTTTAATTCATTTTTTTATGTTATTTTATTTTAAATTATTTTATTTTACTTTTTTATATTTTGTTTTGTTTCATGTCATTTTACTTTTTTTAATTTTTATATTTTATTTCATTTTGTTTTTATATTATATTGTTTTGTTTTATTTAATTTTATTTTATTTGAGTTTGTTTTATTTTATTTTACTTTATTTTATTTGACAATATTTTATTTTATTTTACTTCATTGTATTTCATTTTATTTTTTTATTTTATTTTATTTTATTTTATTTTATTTTATTTTATTTTATTTTATTTTATTTTATTTTATTTTANTTTTTTTTTTTTTTTTTTTTTTTTTTTTTTTTTTTTTTTTTTTTTTTTTTTTTTTTTTTTTTTTTTTTTTTTTTATTTAAGTTTTCACATTATTTTATTTGATTATATTTTGTTTGATTTTACTTTGTTTTATTTTATTTTAATTTGTTTTATTCTTTTTTTATTCTTTTATATATTTTTATATTATAATAATTAATTTTTTTAATCGGCTATTTTTATCTAAATTTTATTTTAGTCTAATTAATATTGTATTGTAGAACTAACCACGTGAAATAGAAACTCTTAGTATTTAAATTGTTGAAAATACAGACGCAACTGTCCCAAGCGAAGCTTAAACTTGTACTATTGCAATGTATGTAATACACACGCTTAATTGCCTAAGGATGGCTGATCAGACTAACAGATAAGAAAATATGCTATTCATTTTAGTCTTTTATCTTTTGTTTAACTTTAGCAATTCTCAAAGCACTTGTTACTTTACTACAACCATAAGATAGTAACTTAACCTGGGCTTGGAGGTATAGGCCTATTATTACCTGATACTATAATTTACGTTATGTTAGCTATAATTATATTACGGTTTTTCCGGATTTATCGATAAAAAAGTATTGGTTTGTATGTAAAATCGTGACACACTTCGCTTCATTATTGACGGTATGACTAATCAGGCTGGCTCTTACGTGGGTAATGCACGAGATGTGCTAAAAAAACAAAGGAGCTTTCAAAGTTTTCAGGCTTACTTTCGAATTTCTTTGTTATGTTGTGAGAGATATAAAATATAAAAGTCAGCAATATTTATATAAAGCCGCCAGATGGATTAAAAATAGAATACCTGCCCGTTTTCTTTATGATTCTGAATGTTAAACGACACCCTCAAGTAGAGAAAAGATTTAATTTTTTGTTGTCATTATTTATTTCTAAAAGCGTTTTACATTAATTATGTAAGTATTAAGTGTTAATTAATTTTTTTTTTTATAATATTTTGTCTGTCTATGTCTAATTGATTTTTTCATGAAAAGTCATAAAGATTTGATATTATTAAAATTTCAAAAACTTGAAATCATCATATGGCAAGTATTTTTGCTTAAGATAAAAACTCTTTAGATTATTTGCAAAAGTTTTTTTTTTTTTCTATTTTAAAAACAATTCACCTCTTGCGTGCTCGTCAGACTATTGAATTTTTTTTTTGGGAATTAAACACATGCATGAATGTTTTGGAATACAACATTACACATTAACACTTTCAGTAGCCATTTTACAGTTTTATAGTTTTGTATTTTATTCCTTTTTCAAATGTTTTCCAACTGGCTACTCATAGCCTCCTTCGGCGACTTAATTTACAATTTGTCGCACAATATCCGGTGGCAGCATAAAATTATTCTTCCTTAACGGAATTTCACTCAGCTGACGATCGATTGGTTGACGAGTGTCATACAATGATGGCGATTGACATATTATTGCGAATGTGCCGAATACACATGACAACGTGAAGGTCCAGAGAAAGAAACGATCCAATACCATGGAGACGAATTTCCAATCTTCGACAATCTAAGGTAATTGGAAAAGAGCAAAGAGATACAATTTATTAAAGTGATTTAATTAAGGAAATATTAATATCAAAAAATAAAATCTCTATTATATGGGATATAGGTCTATATCTTCAGCTATCTCAGTTATTTCTGGTAGTTTCATTCCAACCTTAGTTGAGTTCTGTTAATTAATGTTTTTAATACTGGTTCTTGAGTCAAGCGGGAGTGAAAAACAGCATGTCCGTCTTATGGGACAAACACACAATTGTCGCCTAATTGTGGCATATTTAACTCGTATTCCTACTTGACTTTAATTAAAAAATTCTATCAGATTCTCTTCTATATGCAATGGCTTTGAGATATAGTTTTTGACTCAAACTTTTATCCACTTCTCATATTTTTCCATTTCAAGCGATCATTTCCAACAAATACAAATTTAATTGCACATTTCATTATTCAATTCAATTATCGTAATTTTCACAATTACCTCCCAATTTAAACCGATTTAACTCATTTGCAATGGCGTCCTTATTAGTAATCCAAGAAATGTGTGAACCGCCAAGGTTGAAGAGGTTAACTATTACCTGACTTGTTGACAGTAATTGGAAGAATTTTGAGATCAAACCGCTAAACTTCTTATGGAGAAACCGCTTTTTCTCTTCTTTAATCTGTTTAATTTTTACATCTCAAAGCTCTACCTTTCACTAGAGACCGTCTCATACGCCGGTGACTGCCGATAACTTTTTTTCGAAAGCAAACTGCCATCTCGCCGACTTTTCGCTTTTCTTCACTGTACGTCACCTAGAGCTACAATCTTCGGCTACCCGTTTCACCATCTGGACGAAGGAGTACCGGCTCGAACTTGATGTAAAAGGTCGATACATAAAAATTCCGACAACTAACAACCCAAAGTTACCACATTTGATAGCCTGTACTCTTTCACTCCGCATACGACGGTCGCTAGCCGACAGATGATACTTACTTGAGAATGAACAGGACGGCGTATTGACAGGCTTTAAAAGCCATTCAACGAGAGTCTGCCCACGCCTTCCTGAACTCTCGTCTAGTGAATAGCGTTCGTGGAATCGAAGCACCAACTATTCCAAACGAGATTCGAAGTTGCCTCCAGAGATCCAAGTAATACTTTCACAATTAAGGTTTGGATATTGTAGTCGACTTAATTTTTATATACTAAGACTTGAACCCGACCTTAGCCAACGTTCATTCTAGATTCGCATAGCATCTCGCTCAACACTAATCACCTCTTTGCATACTCCCTAAACATACTCATCTAATCCCCATTTCCCTCTGGTCAGAATCCGTCGAAACAGCTGGTTTCTTAGACCACCCATTTCAATGACTTAGATTAGTCTCGCCTACACACCTAACACGCACAGTGTATATAGTACAACCGAATAAAATAAAGTTTTCACTGTCGTCAGCTGTGAATATCTTATTCCATTTTATTACTTTATTTTATAATATGAATTATGGCGCTTTCATTAAATTACCAATACTTGACTTCTGACAAATAAATTTCAAGTGTACTCCTGATAAAGGTTATGCTCGTAAATAATAAATTTTACTTATATAACAGTGTTTAATGTGCTCTAGTTGCTGTGCGAATAATGATTATAGAAGGAAATATAAACGCATATTCAAGACATCAATCGAAATCCCCTTAAGCAATCAATAAACTGACAACCAAAATGAAAATAAATCTTAGAACGTTTCCAACGCACTCGTTTCACCCCTGGCATCAAGTGCAATATTTCATGATAAATGTTGTTTTGCTGGTATTATTAATAAAAGTAAATAAAAAATGAGGAAGAGGAGCAAATTTAATGCTTACAAGGAAAACAACAACGAAATATATTGTTACAAGCTACAATAAAATTGATGCCTGCAAAAAAGCGAAAGGACGGCAGAGAGCAGTAGATGTAAAAAAAATAGTAAACCAATAATGAACGGATAAACAAATAAGCGTCGTAAAACGCACAAAAACTTATAGTAAAAACAAAATGAGATAATGTTTACTTACATACATACATACACACAAACAAAAGAATATTAATATATATACATATGTTTGTAACAAATTTATGCCCATTTGAAAAATTCTACTGGAAGCAGTTGTACGCACCTCATTATCCTTGTCGGCATCTTTAATATGCTGCGCAATAAAACGCACAGCGCGTAAAGCCTGTAGCACTTCGGGCGTCAAATTACGCGGTATCACATTGTCAGAATCTAAAACCGATAATCAAAAAAAAAACAAAGAAAGTTTCGTCAAATCTTAGAAAAAAAGTCAAATCAGTCTAGGCCAGATCAAACGAAATGTTGCGTTGCCGCAACAACATTGTTGTCAAATAAAAATAGCTTCAAATATATTAAGTTAAAATTTAATAATTTTTTTTTTGTTCTAAAACTCTTACCAATCGATTGCTGTACACCATTATCGTATGGACTCTCTTGGCTATCCTTGAACTCACTGGGAAAGTCGCTAATACTATCGCTGCTTGTATTTGGATCATATTTTAGTGAAGAAAATAAAGCAACATAACAGCAGAGTTGAAAATTACAAAATAAAAATAAGTATAACTAATTATTCTATACACCTATCCAAAGTATTGTTTAACGGATTTTCAAGGTTAAATTAATTTGTATTTATACATTTACTATATTTACCGCACATCGATTTCATTTGTATAGCCATTGCTAGGTGTGGAATCATCATAATCGGGCAGTGTATATTGCGTGCGCCGCATCATCATCAATTTGGGCATAAAATGTAAAAATAGTTTACGTACAAGTGGCGACATGTTATGTGTTGATGGCGATCTAAAGTAAAAAAAAAAAATGATTGAGATAAAAATATGTAAAAACATTTTATAGAATAAGGAGTGCGAAGAGCACGAAATGACTCAAATTGTCAAATTGTAAAACATAAAGCATTTTAAATGTATCTTCTCTTCTTTTATTTTATTACATTTCATATAATTTTCTTGTATCTTATCTTATTTTACTTTATTGTATTTTAGTTTAATTTACTTAATTTTATTTTATTTTATTATAATATATTTAACTTTTTTTATGTTATTTTATTTTATTTTATTTTATTTTATTTTATTTTATTTTATTTTATTTTATTTTATTTTATTTTATTTTATTTTATTTTATTTTATTTTATTTTATAATAACCATAAAGCAAATAACTTACCTAAAGTGTATATTTAATACACAAACAGTTGTCCATACGGACAATGATACTAGGATCATTGTAAATAGTAGATATTTGCCAAGTAATGGCACGGCCAATGATGTTGGCGGAATAATTTCGGCCAACAGCAAGAAGAACACAGTCAGCGACACAAGAATTGAAATACATAACGTAACCTGTCAACGAAATTCAAGTGTAGAACTTTTTTCTTCTACTCACAAATAAACTCAATCATTATCAGTTTTTAACAGTGTAGCAATGCAATAAAAATATTTGTTTAAATATTTTTAATGGCCACCGCTCTTAAGGAAATCCACCTGACAAACAAGCAAACAAGCAAACGAACTTTTTTATCTGTAAACAATCAAACATACTTACATACATGTATACAATCAAATCATTAGTTAAACTAACAAACAAACAATTTCTAATTCATCGCCAATTGCAATGCATACTTCATTTCGTTGATAAAAAAATAAAAATAATCACTGACTTTGATCGTAAAACGAGTCCAGGTCAAAATGTCTTATAGCATTAATACCTGTTTACACGATTATATGAGAAGTTTTAAATATTGATGAACGAATGGGATCGAAAGAAAGAAAGACTCAAAGCTTCCTTAAAGTATATATTTATATGCAAAAATAAAAATTGTATATGCAAAATTTTTTAGTTTTATTGCTTAAATTCATTTTGAGCTGTTTCTATTTTTTACTAAATTGAAAAAATTTTGATTTTGTATAAAAAAGAAAACTACATACATACATACATTAACTCCAAATGCTTGTTGGGTGTTTTTCCTTTGCCACAAAACCGAGTTGTACACATTTATTTACACAAATTAAGCAAAACACTGCATTAAAAATCGTATATATTGAAAAATTATTTTCTCTTATTATGTTTATTATGGAAATAAAATGAAAAATTTATAATTGAGCTTCGATACCAGGCAGCGGCTTTGGCGAAATAAATTTTAAAATCTGCTGAACAAAAACATAAAACAAATAATTTTTTGTGTATCGGTAAATTGCATATTAGAACTGAGTGAACTCATTGATCTAACAGCAGGATAAGTCTTCACTAGATAACGATGAAAGAGAAGATCAAAAGAATTACTACCGACGATAAAAATTGGCAAATAAAACCAAAAATATTTACTGTTCATGTAAATTCATTTTATCTCTTTCAGATGCATTTTCTGTAATCAACTTCAGTTTTCGCCGCGAATTTTCATTTATGTAGGTAAGAGGTCAATTGTCTCGAAACAGTAATTCTGAAAAGAGAAAAAAGCTAGTCCGACAACTATCGTTCTGTTTCGATAACTTTTATTGAATTTTTTATCGGAAACTCGTTCCCACTACTAGCCCTTAATTGATGCAGTATTGTGTCATGAGTTTTATGTTAAATCTGGCCTTTTCGCTGGATTTTTTCTATCATACGTCGCTTAGGGCTCAGAAAATATACTTTCTTTACTGGCTGATATTCTGGCAAGAATTCTGAATGTATAACGCCACAGTAATCAAATGAAACAGTCAGCATTACCTTGAGCTTTGATTATTTTTATTGACCTGGATTATTTCGGGTTTGTGGATAATTTGGGCGATTAAAAATATAATCCGGTCTTTCGCAATTTCATGCTCAGACAGTCGTTTTAAAAAGGTATGAATTGATCATTGAGACACAATAACCTAAAGGCTGTATTCTGAAACTTAAAATCCAGCTGAAATGAAAAGATTAACGCAGCCTTGTATGAGACCTTCCGATTTTTAGAACGACCACTGCAAATGCACAGAGGATTATGATTTGAGGTCAGGTACCTAGAATGTCTGGTACCTTAATTACCCCAATCCGCATTAAAGCGATATTTTGCCCAAAATTACTTTGTATGAAGGCGCACGAGTGAAGTCCCTGCCGCGATTTAAAATCGTGCTGGGCGAAATCAGGGTGGAAAGAGGTCGGCGAATGATGAAACATGTCCAAATTGGTTTGGGGCTGGTCGTCTGTAAACACAAATTCCGACATAACCAAATCGAACAAGTTGTCATTAACGGACGACAGGTTATGGCCCTATAATCCGAAGAGAAAATTTCGACGACTTACGGAAGGTTCGTAGACTGGAGCATGCTTAGGCATGCATGACGGCGAAGAGCTGAAGAATCCACAAACGGTGTCAATTATTGTGGGATAAGCGATATAAAGTCCTATGGATCGTATTGTGTAAAGAATTAAAATCCATACAGAAATACGTTGTAATTATATAATATTACATACATAAAAAAAATAAAATAATTACAATATAACAAAGAGATTTTTATAAAAAAAAATATAAAATTAAAAATTTTTGAGATTTTATAATAAAAAAATTTAAATATATTAAAGAAATTTTATATTAAAAATAATATTTTTTTTCTTTAATATTTTACATTATAAATATTTACATCGTATTTCTGAATGGGCTGCTCGGGAGTCTTGGTAAATTTCAATGATTTCAAATATACATCCATTTTAATATTTTTAATAATCTTAACGCAAAGCCATGTGGCAAATACAAGTGATATTTTTATTTTCTTTTTTTTATTTTCTTTTCCCTCTCTGCCGATGATTAAATATGTAATTCAATTGACTACCATAAGAAACCATAAAATACATACAATGCAAAAGAAAAAATACTTTTACATACATATATTTATCAAACTGTCAAAATGTTTACAAATACACACATACATACATGTATGTATTTATCAAAAATCTACAATCAAAACTGCGGCTCTACAACGAGCAATCGAACCGATCTCAGCTTACTTGTAACTGTATTCTTTGTGTATGTGTTAGCATCCATATGAGTGTGCGTGTGTTTGTGTGTGCATTGAAATGTAGTTATGAAAAAATACCTATTAAACGATGAGTGTTTGACTTAATTTGTGGTAATTTTTAGAATAAAATATATCTTAAAAATTTTTGGCGCTTCAAAAAATAGAATTCTTGCAATATTTTTGTATGCAAAACTTTTGACTTTCGATGAAATTACGTTATGAGATTTCATTACTTTTCATAAACATAGTACGTACTTTAGCAAAACTCTTCTGTATGGAAAAGCTTTACATATGTTGCCTTCAATTCCAAGTACGCCTATGCTTAGCATATTCTTCGGATGAACTGTGAGTAATATAAAGAAAAGTGATGGAAAAGTGAAAAAAAAAATTATAGCAGTTTGTGCACAAGCTAAAAAAAAAATTCTATAAAAAAGTAAAGCTACTCAAAATTTTAAATAGTATTTAATTGTTAGAGATTACGAAAAATTATGGAAAATACTTGAAAAGCTTGGCAGCTGGCATAACTAGTAGATAGTTATTAGTATTTTAACATACATATATACTTAAATATTTTATTTTAATTTTTAATATCTTTTTATATTTCAAGATGCTTTTTAATAATCTAAAAATTTATGATATTACATATGTATGCTATCTATAATAATTATTTAAACTATTTAATTATTATTAATATTTTTGATTTGTGAATAATTTTAATATGGATTTTTCTTGTTCAAAAAGTTGCAATTGAATTTTAGTTGCTCGCCCTAGTATAGGGTTATCCACTTCCGGGTTTAACAAAGAAACATGAGGCATTACATATATATATTTTTTAATGTCTTATTTTATTATAAAGTTTGAATCTTTTCGATCCGTTTGAGGCAATTGTTGACCACTTTTCGGCATGTATCGGGCGGTCTCTCATTCATAACTTGACGAATTTTGGTTTTCAAGTGCTGAAGAGTTAAAAAAACAAATTGACATCGCCAAGAGGAGAGTTTACGGGGCCAGGAAATTTATCATTTTGTTAAAACCACATATATTCCAAGTCGTATTCTTCAATTGTAGGCAAAAAAAAGCTCCGAATTGACAGTGACGTCTCGCCGTTTTCGCTTTCAAATTAGTACGTTCCAAAGTGCGAACCGGACAGTAAGTTTTTTTTTTCTTTTTTTTTTTTTTTTGTGTAATGCAATCTTTTCAATTATTTGAGGATTCTCGAATCCCTGAATCCCCCCAATTCGAAATTTGCCATATCACTGTAAAAATTTTGTTCGAAAATTCGCAGCCCACTACGTGTTGTTCAAGCTCAATCGACGTTTGTGCGGCTTTGTGAACGGTCAGCTGGCTTCAGTTATTGTATGAGTTGGACTTAATATAGATGTAGGTATAAGTCCAAGTGCAAAATATGCCAAAAATGTGCCTTAATAATAAGTTGATGATAAGTTGAAACATTTAGACTAAGCTTTCACTTTCACTTTCACTTACAGTACCGTGACTTGAAGAGGAACAGCCTCCTACTTTAGAAACCACGAAATGGATAACCATATTTAGCAAAGCATACTTCTAATACATATATACGTTTTCTTTTTTGCATTTCATGAATACCCATAATCTGAGAAATTTTATCATTTAACAAGTTGTGCTTGAATTTAGAAAGAGAAGAGATCACTATACGTATCTGTACTTGTGCTGCTACTTAAGGTATGTTTATACATTTTTTACTGATTAAATCTGAAAGTGCAATGACAGTGTGTTGAAAAAGTGTTGTATTTTAAGCGTATAAAAATGTTAGTATTAGAAGTGGTTTTTTAGAGATCGCATGCAATCTAAAGCATAAGTAAAGCTAAACAGAAGTACTACAGAAAACAATATAGTCAATATATATGATAGATTATGCGAAAATAATTCATAAATAGACAGAAAATATATAGAAAATTAATGCAAGTGCTTAACACAATTTTTAATACACAAAATAGCTCTAAAAAGTTTAAAATCTTGCTAATAATATTTATTTATTAATAACATTATAAAGAATATACACATATTAAATAAAATTATGATTAATAACAATATTTACATACGAGTACATCAAATATCTAGGAACATTACAAAAAGAAATGCACAGCTGTAAAGCAAGCCATAAACGCTGTTATAACACATGGGCAGAAAAGTACTTTTAAATTTACATTGCTTTTTGGGCTAGCTGCCATCGTAAGGATATTAAAAGAAAGCATATCTTTATATTGCTTGGGCGATTCATTACAAGGAGATAGGCAACAGGAAAAGTCTACGAAAAAACTACATATCTTTCAGAATTTTTAAAACCGGAGATCTTTCCTTTACTTACAAAGGATATGACAACTAACGTTGAGAATATATTGAGTTTGTGAAAGGAACACTTCTCCAGCCTGCTTAAGTGCAGCCCAATCGATGACGTTGGTTTAGTCGTTTCATTTCCTAAATATGATCAAAGTTCGAATAGTGTTTGTCCGCCTAAAGGTTAATCAAGAAGCTGGTGTTAAAGGGTTACCGCTTGAGCTATGCAAGCACTGTGGCGAAGAACTAACAAAGTGCAGGCAACAGCTTGTTTACAGGATGTTTAAAGCATGCTCGACGATTGGAATCTTTCGGTGTGATTTGTCTAATTCAAAAAGAAAAGATGACCTCATAATCTTCGCCAATTATCGTAGGATAATAATGCTCAACATCGCATTTAAAATTTTATCTAAAGCACTATGTAAAAGCCATAAGCGCTAATTTGGGCTTATTTGTGTGGCTTCACACTTGGTAAATCTACAATTGTATAGATCCTTGAGAAAGAGATCGAAACACACCACCTTTTTGAAGATAATATTCTTGCCTTCGACAGCACGAAAAGTAGCTGCCTGTGTAGCGCTATGAATGCTATGTTGGTTTCAACAGTCTCATGTCACTGTTAACAATCATAACATAGAAACACTATATGGGTAGCTTATTATTCCTGTCCTGATGAATGGTGCAGGTGCGTGAATGTTAACAAGATTTGATGATTCGGCACTGAAAGTTTTCGAGAGAAGATTTATGGTGTTTTGTGTATGGACAGTAAATGCCGCAAGCGATGATCTATATGAGATATACAACGACTTTGACATAATTAAGCGAATTGAGAAGCAGCGACTGACTACGCTGACAAGGCCACATCGTCCACATGGATGAAAACACTCCATAAAATATGCTGTACGCGTTGGTGAAAGCAGAGGAAGAGTAAGAGTTCTAAAAACTTAGCTGTGCTTGGTGTGTCCAATCGGCCGCGGACTATGTGAATGCCCTGATCAAAGTGATTGCCGCATTATTGACCAAAAATAAAGAACAAGTTGAAGATTCAGAGCATTGTTTGGTCATATACAAATCTAAACACCGGAATGTTGGCATCGGTATAGGACAATAGAGAGAGCATGGATCCATTAGTTCACTACGTAATCAAAGCGGATGTTATCAGAGTGGACATCAGCTGGTTAACTTTCTCCAAAGCGTGCGCAGGTAAAACAATCGACGGAAAATTGGTATTGAAGGATTTGTGTGATTTTTAATATTCATCGAATATCTTGAGAAGAGAAATACCATCCACAATGAATAATACATGTGTGTGGACTATTGAAGCCCGAAGACAGGCACTTACTGCGTACAGTTTGTTCGCAGATCTCAAAAAAATGCTCATTGGTGGGTAGAAATAAAATAGTCTGACAAAAGTTGAGTTCAACTTTCAGCATGATGCAGGTATGACTGTGTTGCAATTAATGAAGTTGACGGGCCTTTTCAGCACATGTGTTAGGAAGTTGCGTCTTTGCTATAATAGTGCTGGTAGTTTATTTCTTAGCAGTATATATCCAAAAACCTTTTTTTCCTTATACAAAATAAAAAGACACTATACTACAATAACATGCGATACATTCTTCAATTAAAATATATTTGCTCATAAATATTAGAGGCGGATCCACGGGACATTTCCCTCCGTGAAAATGCTCTATGTCTCTATACTCCAAATTATTATTATTTATTATTACGATCCGCCCCTATAGATGATGCGGGCAAAGTTGTAACGAAACCAGTTGATACAACGAACGCAACGTGAATGGTCTTGCATAGTTTTAATTAAATATATGTATAATTCTAATAATTTTTGATACCTTCTCGCCGGAATCGCTGGGTAAATAAAAGACCAAAACTGTGAGAAATGTTAATGCCACACAAGGTACAATTAAATTAACGGTGTAGAATAATGTTTTACGTCGCATTGTGAGTTTAAAAGTTATATCTGTGAATGAAATTTTATAAAAAGAGTAAATTTGAAATATAAAAATAAAATGTGAAATCGATTAGGATTAGAGTATATTTAGTAAGAGTGGATTTTTTATGTTTTTTTTTTTACTTTTAACCACCGCGATGTTGACTGCGAACGCGACATAAACTTACACACTATACAGATTCAACCATAACTATGAGGTCCGGAAATAAATTACCTGAAAATGGTTCCAATGTGTCTGGATAATATTCCTCATTCTTAGTTGCAGGAACTTCTAGGATGTCCCATTCGACCGATAAGTAAAATTCACTTAAATCAATTCCAATTTGCACGAGATTACTACCAGGAACCTGTTCAAGAAAAAGTGAGTAAATTAAATTTAAAACTACAACTCTTAACGCGATGTTGGACAGAAATGCAAGATCGTAGGTATACACAATATTGTATTACATAATTTGTTCCAAACTGATGAAAGCTTCGAACTCATACGGCAACCACAACCAACGTACTGTACTAAGGACTACGATTTGAAAACATAATTTCTAAAAGTGCCGTTGCCTTCAAAACCAATAATCCTGATATATGCGCCATCCAAGAGATGGGGTGAACGAGATAAAGACGGAGGAGGATAAATGTTTGTAACACTTTTAAGAAAGGTCAAATAAAGGAGCACAAATTTGGTATAGTATTTATAGTAGGAGACTAATAATTAAAAAGCTGGTCTACTAATTCACTATTTCCTTATACAAAACCCAATTTTTGTTTTTAGGATTCCCGATTAACTGAGAAAAGTACTTGAAATTGTACAAACTTTTAGTAAAAAAAGGAGACAATAAGCATCTTCCGGTTTTCTATCTTTCTAACTTTCTAACTTTCACCTGTGTCCCCATTTTGAATAAGATTATTGTTCCTCAAACGATTTGGACATTTTGACCCTTTGTCCATTATCATTTGAAGACTCCTCAGCTCCTCCAATGTCTGTTGAGCCACGGTCACTCACGGCGGCCACGGCAGCCGAGTGGTTAGCATTGCGTACTTTCATTCGGAGGGTCAGCGTTCGAGTCCTATAAAAAATTAAGTTGAAAATGTCAAAAGTTCCGAGTGTATTCATGACATATACTGAAGGCTCCTCGTAAAAAACCATCAGCCGTTCGCAGGTGGCTTAATATTAACTGTAGGCCCCTCCATTTTTGGGATAAACATCAAGACGCACACCACAAATTGGAGGTGGAGCTCGGATCAAAATCACATCGAATGTGACCTCACATTCCCCACATGTCCTGCATTTGAAGGCATGTGACGTCAATTGGTTAACAGTCTTACTAACTGCCTGGAGCCTGACTTCTTCGACACTAGAAAGTAATTAGTTATCTTTGCGTCCTATGTTCGGCACATAGCCTTAACTATTCAATATTCCGGTGGGAGAGGAATTGAAAAGTCTATAGTAACGTCGTGTTCTGAAAGAATTCTGTCTTTAGCCAATCTTATTGACTTCGATGCCCTCATGGTCAGATACCCAATTAAGATTGGCTTTTCTTTTATCCGCCAGTCTTTTGAAAATAAAGCCTTAATTGCCACTTCACTATATACGTAAATGTGAGTTCTCAGAGAGCCTGAAGGCTCTTTCCGACCCTTCCAAAAATATTGACTTCAACTCTTCACTTTAGAAAAGTATTGGCTGAAAGACCCCAACAGCCTTTTACGACAGTTTGCTATCCAATACTATTCCTAACTCCTCTTTCAACTTTGGTTTTATACTGTTTGATATTTTATTCTTACTTTGAAAAGAACTAGATCTGTCTTAGCAATGTGCTGATACTAAGTTACACGGACTTAATTCGCCAGAGAACCAATACTTTCCAAAAACTTACCGCTCAAAGAATGGCCGAAATGTCAGGAAAAGTTTTATGTCAGAAGCAGTCTTCAAGATAGTAGCAATCTCATTTCACTGCGGTTAGACAACAGAAAAGTAAAGCCCTCTAATTTAGGGCACAAAAATTGATCGAGTGCTTTCAAGAGTTTCCGGTAGAAAAATTTTCGACGTCCGTATATATGGACAGTCTAGCTTTGAAAGTATCCGATACGATAGGCACTAACAGAACTAGAGAAAGACCCGCAGTTCTTAAGAACGACTAAATGTAGAAAGACCTGGCTTCAATTGGTGTCTCTAACTGGGAAAAGAGAAAAGGACTGCTCCTAATTTTTGATTCGACCAAGATGACCACGCCAATATGAAAAACTAGTATTGTTCCTTCAAAAATTTTTTAATCTAATCAAAAAAAAAACAAGGCAGAAGAGTTGTCTTCAGCCATGCTGAAGTCTTTATACCTTTCATCATTCATATCATTTCGGGATGAAGTATTAATACTTATACATAGCTGAAAAATGGTTCGGGAGTGCTATGTAACAAAGTTTACCGATTTTGATTTTTTTTCGGTTTAGGAAACAAGAAAAAGTCACAGGCGGCCAGATCTGGGGAATACGGTGGCTGCGGCATAATTAGTGTGTTGTTTTTGGCCAAAAAGTCGCGCACAAACAACGATGTGTGAGCTGGGGCGTTATCGTGGTACAAAAGCCAATTTTTGTTCTTCCACAAATCTGGGCGTTTCTGGCGGATTGCTTCGCGTAAATTGCGCATAACTTGCAGGTAATATTCCTTATTGACCGTTCTACACTGTGGCAAGAACTCATGATGCGCCACGCCCCTGCAATTAATTTTTTCGTCTGCTGTTGAAGTGCTCGGGCGTCCGGCACGCTATTCGTCGTTCACATCTTATCGGCCTGCTTCGGTCCAAGGTAGCTTCTCCGTACGCCACATTCAACATTCGGAATGCATCCGCGCACTTAATTTCGTTTTTCACACAAAATTTGATACAGGTCCTTAGATCCATTTTTTTGAATAGGTAAAAATCGAAGACCATCCGAAACACGTGCAAGCAAAGCAGCTGTCAACAATTGAGTGAACATTCAAATTGGCCGAGCTTGTCGGCATAAGTGACAGACATAAGCACCAACAAAATCGAAATTCGATTATACGTAACCCGCGAAAATTCAAAATTCGTTATACTTTTCGAACACACCTCTTACCAGCACATCTGTGTACCACGTTTGGTTGAAATATCTCAAAAACAAAACTAGAGAGAGAGGGCCAAATCAGCTCAATTCGGTATAAGTTGTGGTAGGTCCATCTTTTCTACATACTTCGCACCAAAGTTAGTATAACATATTATGTTCGAGTACATACATGGGAGGTATGAATGTTTTGAAACTTTTTTCGCATTTTATTTTATTATTATTCAAAATATTCCCTTTTTGATTAACACCTCTGCAGTTCAGAGATCAAAATTTATAACAAAGCAAAATAATAATGAAGAAGAATCCAATCAAGCAAAGACAAACTGAAACCTGTTGGCCAAACCGGACAAGTGAATCAAACGGAAACCACAAAAAAGTAAAATGACCACACTATATTTATTACTACAATATCTACATGTGAGTACACACATAAGTATGTATAGACACGTACGTACATGTGTGCACGCATGCTGTATACAATTGTGGCGCATAAATTGCAATTGTAGTGCAAATATAGATGAAAGTTTAAACGTATCCCAAGAGAAGACACGCCACAGCAGTATGCACATATTTTAAATCTCCACTTTTTTTTGTTGTTATTTTCACAGTTGCACTTGCGTTAACAATTGTCTGCACGTTTTCAATATGAAAAAAAAGTAAATAAAAATATAAAAATACAAAGAGAAATAAAAATAAATATAAATAACGTAGAAAAAGTTGAAATATTGTACATTGAATGAAGTAAAAGAAAAATATTTAATAAATTTTGTTTTGCAACCGTAGCTTCGTTAGTCAACCAACCCTTTTGCGCACCTTTCTGCAACCACACTCACCTGATCCAAATGCTTCAAATCCACTTGTGCGCCATTGTATGTCCATGAACCGAATTTCATGAAACAAATTTGCTCGTCATAAGGAAAATATTCGACATTCATTTCGCAGGATGACTTGTAGATAGCTGGCGGCTCCCAGAAGACCTCGCCGGTATATTTTAGTGTTGCTTTTGTCATGAGTGTTACCTGCGCGTGCACAAATACATACGTGTATGTATATTTGTACATTTAGTTTTATTTAAATATTTATATAATCAACGTATATACAGGGTGGAGCGAGTGAGGTCTGTTCGTTTATAACCGACGCAACAACGAAGGTAATGGAATTCACCCAATCTCGCTGGAGGCAAAATTCATTTTATTTTTTATTTTAATTTTTCTTTGTGAAATAAAAATTCGCAATAGCCGAGTGGCGGCCTAGTATAAACTGTAGTTACCTCAATTGGAGGGAAAAGCATCAAGACGCTCACCTTAAATTAGGGGAGGAGTTCGGCCGAAAATCGATTCAGCGGTTATAAAGCGCCATTAACATTATATAACGAAAATTTCAAAATGCTTAAATGAAGAAGTAAGCAACTAGTATAGAGCTGATGCATAGTCGATCAATTGATAGATTTTAAAAGATGATCCACGATAATATAATGAAAATCGTCGAATCTCACCATCATGGGCATACCGTTTCGACTGCCTTAGAGGTAAATATTGTACAAAAAACTATTTGGAACCACTTGAAAACTGAGGCATATGTATATAAGCACGCTCGATGTGTGGGTGTCACATGAGTTAACCGATTTTTCATGTTTAAATCGCTGTCTAATCGTAACAAAATCGACCCATTTCTCAAGCAAATCGGGACTGATAATGAAAAAAGGATCATTTAGAGCAAAAATTTTTAGTGGTCCTATCTCCAGACCAGTATTGACGGCCAGGTAGGTTTTATTGCGTGTTTGATGGGATTGCCAAGCAATCTTCTACTATGAGCTGCTCTTCTACGACCAAACTCATAGCTCAGACCTGTACCGACACCAATTTGACCATCTGATGGATCCAATCGACCAGCAGTGACAAGCATGAATACAAATACACATAGATTGATGCATCTTGTTAGTATACTTATCTTTGCTAAGACTAAGACTATTATGTAACAATGACTCAGCTGATGCAATATGCAAATACCAAATGTTAGCTCTGTTCGGTGAGAAATGTTAGTAAGAATTAACCAGCAATGAAATGTCAAAACTGCGCTTTCTCAGTACAGATTTCACTGAATTTTTACCTCACCGAAAGCGGTTCAGTAAAATTCAGTAACATTCAGATCGACGAACAGAAATATTGTAAGCACTTAAACATATAAACATAGGTTGCTGATCGGTCAACAATATAACAATAAGTTTACATTATTATTTACTCTTTTCTTCTATACAAATTCAAGTAAAATAAATTATAATTAAATGAACCTCTCTTGACTCTCACCCTGTATATGTATGTTTGTAATTTTTGCGTTAACTTTTTATCTTTACAACTACAATATATTCATGTAATTAACTTGTAATATTGTTGGTTTTTAATATTTACATGCAATTATTTACCTCATAATTGCCATCCCAGTTGTTGTAGAGCACTATATCTGGCACCCAAATGTGTTCGGATGGCACATAAAGTTGTTCGACGCCACCATACTCCTCTGGGTCCCATCGTAGTTTGTAATCGAACCAACGCTATTCATTTTGCGTACGATTTTCAAAAATAAAATTGAAAAAGTTATTCATTTTTTATTAACATTGATTAAATGTATAAATAAAATATAAGAATATGTACATACAGGGTACTCCATCTGTACCTTATTTGTATTTTATTTTTTCAATGATACAAATGGTTCGACAAGCTCAATGCGGAAATAATGAATGTGATACCGTTACAATAGTCGTCGATCATCGGCAAGATTCGAGCAAAAAGAAGCATTCATTAAACTACTTGCTGAAGCAAGTATCGAACCGAAAGAAAAATGTTTATTTTTCCAGCAAGGATCCAACCTTTAGATGTCCTAAGGCCTTACATCGACTTGCATCACGGTCATGAAATCAGCCAACGTGATCACTTTGTGAATATTTGAAGTAAGATCATAGAAAATAAAATGCCTCTGAATTTCAGGAAACATATAATACTTGGGACTACTCATAAAAAGAGAGACAAATATCAAGAAACAAGATTATAAATGTTACAACAGTGTCAGCGACCTGTCTGTGGTATTCAGATTCCGTCCTTGCCTTAACTTTTTTCCTTTACTTCTACGAGTTGTTGAGTCTACCTGACGGGTATTTGACTGTTTCAAGCCAATGACTTTGCAAAATTTGCGAAATGGAGTCAGTATATTTGCTCTCACTATTTTATTAAAATCTCTAAGTCCCTTAATGTTTCATATTTTCTTCCTTTCTACAAATCATACAGTATTTCTATGGGTATATGTCCGGGGGCCCGCCCACTAGAGGATACCCTGTGAAAAGGCCACATCTGTAGATATCTAATTTCTATTTAACCCCATGTTGGCCTCATTATGCTTGTCACATTGGAAAATTGAATTCTTCCATGTTGGCGAAATTTTAAATAAAGCGGAAAGGGGTAGATTCTGCAAGTCAAAGTTAAACAGTTGTCGGCCTCATGTATGGCCGCCATACACGTATATTACAGTGATCCGGTAGATGAAGCATTTGAGTAGATTCTCAAACGGACTCTTCTAACTAACTAGAAATGGATGGGTATATTTCAAAATGTATTCCGTAGGCTTTAAGGGTTCCTATCCAGGATCTGTTTCGAGTAGAGTCTTGTTAATTTTGTTTTTTCTAGATCACGCGAAGTATTTTCCTGTCATCAGACAATCAGTCATTGCGCTCGCAACACCACTCCCACGTCACAGTTAACAATCAATAACATTCAAGTCGTATATAAATTTGTTGGATTTCTCTCGTCTCTGAGTTGACAATTGAAAAGTAAAGTTCTCTCTTTACGAACAAAGGCAAAACTCTTATTAAAGTCTATCCTCATTCAAGCCCTGCTATATGATCCGGATATATGGACGATGATAATGTCTAACGAGCTAGCGTCAGGAGTTGTTGAGGCAAAGGTACGAATACCCAAGAAATAGTTCAACGAATCAAGAGCATGTGCTTGTGGCTAGCTAAGGTATTTTGGTCAGATGAGTGAGAACACTCCATCTCTGAATTAATTCGAGGCAATGCACGCCGGGAAAATCTCCACTGCGTTGGAAAACTCAGATGGAAAAAATCCTTACTATATTCTCAAAAAAAAAAAATAAAAACTTAGAAAATTAGCCCGTAAAAATAAATACTAACCTTGTCAGTAAATATCACCATAAATACATACATATTTATGTATATACGTATAAACATTTAAAATCTCGCACTTACCTGTTTAACCCAAAGGTTAGTGGTCATCACTTGATTCCTTAAATTGACTTCAATGAGTTGAGATAACTTTAAGCCCAACCATACTGTTAATGTTTCAGTATTATTGACAACCGGGCGAATGAGGCGATTATAATTACTTAGTAAATCATCATAAAGACGTTTCGTATCGGGATTTGCCTCAAAACTTACAGGAGCTAAAATTGAAAATTTTGTGAACCAAAATTAAAAATAAAAATTTCCTCCAAAAATTAATTATGTGTGTGTAAATAATGTGCTCGTAGTGAGAACTCAAAAGTAAATCATCATCCAGAGTACATAAGTTTCAAAATAAACTTCCCACTGGCCAAAAAGTGGCCCATCCCCATGCCAACCTGTGCACTTGTTGAATGTAAATAAAAACAAAGCATATATATTGTACATATTTATTGTATTCAATGGATGTGTGCATTTTGTAAACAATAACAAAAATTTTCCCAAACAAACTCAAACCACAGCGTAATTCTAAAACGTTCGCCTACACAAAAAATTCCCAAAACCATATGAAATTAGCGCATGCGCCCCAACTGACTATGACTATGACAGTTCATATCGAATTTAACCAACCCCTAGATGTCAAATTACAGAAAAAGTATACAGAATGTGAAGGTATACAATTTTTCCACACCCAAAAGAAATATGTAATTGTAACTGTTATATATATATGTATTTTATATTTATTTTCTTAGAACACTCACGCGTTGCGTTTCCGTATACAAAAAGGAGTAAAAAATTTACAAATATTACTTTTAAATTCATGGCGAATAGACAAGTTTATACTTGTTAATTACTTCACACTTTAAATAGAAAAAAATTGCTTCACATATTATCTTTACTAACGAACGCGGTTCGAACGCTTTGTGTGCATGCAACCGAAGCGCTCATATATGGGACTAAAGTATAAAGTTTTAGCCAAGATGTACGGATGCTGTGTAGGTATTTAGATGACAGTTAAATAAATATATGAAAAAAAAATTTCCCTTAATGGGGAGGGAGCGCCATACTTACTGTTATATTAACGGGTTTTTGAATTTGATTTTCTTTTTGCTCCAGTTCTCAAGGACTTATACAGGCGGTGCCGATGAAAAGTATCAGTTTAAGCTCATTCGAGGCGGTGGAATTGTTGAAAGGGTAATTAGCCGCAACAAACTAGTAGATAACATCGAATGCCAGCGTGAGACTCCAGTTCGACTCCTGGCTAGATAAGCATAAACAAATTTAGAAAGAAAGTTCTTCTTGTGGTCGCTGCTTGGCAGGAATTGCCAACCTCTGAGTTGTTACATAAAAATGAAGCTTATAATAAAAATCCATAAATAACGAGAAAAATAAAGAAAATTTTCGAGACCTTGGAGAGTCCGATTGTCAATCGTTTTTTCTTATTTATTGCGCTAATTTACTTGCACAAATACTCTGAAGTATTAGTCCTGTTAGTTAAAAAAAAAAGCTGCACTGGAAGCATTCTAGCTCACCAAGACCAAAAATATGCTCGACAAGTGCGTTCGAACATGAAGGAGCAGGCAATATTAGTTTAATTCATTGAGATCACCCAACGGGAGGTACAGTAAACAAGCTGTTTCGACGGAGTCGGGGTATTCAAGCAGGTGGTTAGTGTCGTGCTAGGTCTTATTGCATCCAGGAGACACGTTGAATATGTCGTCATCAAGTCTGGATAATTAGGAATTTAGCAATTACAAGATCCAGATGTTATATATGTTACTAGGGTCTCTCGATTCAGCGAGTTGTTGTGGTGTACTAATTCTTGATATACCTAGGTGTTGACTCGGCTTCAAGTAAATGTCCGGGGGACGAGTTGTTACGCGACAGGCGGGACAGAGTTTATCCAGATTTCAACCGGCCAAGAAGTATCAGCCTTTTAGCAGGCTAGCCCCAACAGAAATTCGACAAATGAAATTCTAGTTCTTGGCTCTTTCATTTGATAATTTTTCATTGAGTGCTCGTGAATTTTTTACCAAAAGCAACACTGTAGCGATGCCCCACCGACCACATACTATCAAGAGAACCTTCAAGCTATTCTACAGCCGTAGATGCTATTAACAGCGCGTCATTGAAAGAACGGAGAGCTATTACAAAGATGGAGCATTCTCACAATTCTTTCCCATCTCAATGAATAGTTTACAGACGTCAAACACTTCTGTGAGCTCCTCAGCCTAGAACCATTCATTTGTTGTTCTTGTTTTTGTAATCGCAAAAATTTTCCGCAAAATCCTTTTTGGGAAATGCTGCGGGAGTGACAGTCTTTGGCCGAATAAAAATTCGGGTCGTTCCAGATTTTAGTCACCTCTTACGACAGGCATACCTTACCACAGGTAAATTCTCGAACCCCTAAGCCGGGGTTAGGTTAGAGCACTTTATTAGTAATAGGTACTCGTATTTTCAAAAAGTTTTTAGCACCAAAAAGACAACACCTGCTAAAGGTTTTAATTCGGTGGGGTTTAACCCCGAGAGTTATTCAAGTTTTCGGGCCACATTTACCACACAGCATGTAACTATTTTATGAATGCACCCCTAAAACCTGTGTGTCAGTTTGTTGCCAAGCGACCACTATTAGGTATTGAGCCAAACAAAAAGTAATTAATACAAACACAATTTTTTTCATTTATTTACATTTATTTATCGAATCTCATTTTCCCTTGCGTTTGATAATGGCAATAAATTTTAATTACGATTATCCTCAAGTGGCACGGGAAGCCGGTTTTAAATTGCGACAATTCAAAGATGGCCCCATAGACTGGCGTATCTTAGGTAGAACCGTTATATTATAAAAAAAAACGACTATTTTAATCAAATACCCAACAATAGGTTCAATGGAAATTGAGCGGCTAGTGCAGGATCAACGACTCGAACAAGTAGACGCTATATTGGGTCATCTCTCGGAAGCACCAGTAGCCACAATGTTAGATACAAATATTTTAGATAGCGGTATCGCCAAATATTTCGTAGTCTCACAGTTCGCCATACAGTATCTGCTCTTCTGTCGTAAGTTTCTTGATGAGACAATACGTGAGTTGCGCGAAGCACACGCAGATTCTCAAAGGGATGTTGCCAAATTACGCAAATCACTGGTCGAGGCAAACAACGAAATCTTGCAGCTGCATAAGAAAATGACACAAATCGAAGCCATACATGAGGTTGTGTATCCGTGCCACCTTTGTACGAAGAGCTTTATTAGTAATGAGGCGCTGAATATACATATTAGCCGACGGCATGCTACGCACGTTTCAAACAATACAACAGTCTTGGGAAAACCTGTGGGTGGGTACGAAAATAGCACGGCAGAGCGTCGTGCCGACACAACAGTCAGCGGAGTTGTCAAGGAGCGTGAAAATAATGATTTGCAGTTGATAAATGCCATAAAATTGGAACTAGAAATAAAGCAACTAAAAGAACGCCTCAACAATGCAGAGCGGGATATACGTGAACGTTCAATAGCCGCTTCCAATAGCAGACGTACCACACCACGTGAGCCACCGAAGAATGTCAAGAGCATAGCTATACAGAGCGACTTACTTGAGACGAAGGAGCAGGATGACGAGGCAAATATGACGTTAGATAGTAATAGCACAGATAACAGCGAGGTGCGCGAGCGTAAGGCGCAATTGACCAAGTTGCAAATGAAAATACAGGAATTCGAGGAATGGCGCGTGGCACAACAGACGAATAATAAAGACTCAATTGCTGAAATTAACCGAAAGCTTAGTGAAATTGTACAAACATTAGAGGACGTGAAATCCCAACCTACTACAACGAATGTAATAACGGTCGCACCAAAAGCAGAAGCAGAGTGTAATGACATAGAGGCGCCACCAGCGCGGAATGGTTCACCATCAGTTGAGGATCTTGAGCGATTATTAACAGAAAAAGTTGTAGAAATTGGACAAAAAAGTGCCGAGAAACTTGAAGAATTTGTACAAAATATGGAAACAAATTACAAAGAAAAATTAGAAGAACTCGAGCGTGAAATAAAAAAACGCAATGCTGCAGAGCTGCCAAAAGCAAACGAGATAAAGCCCGCAACCGAAACAGTAAACTCTGCAGAGGAGAAAACTATTAACCAGACAACTACGACCGCAGATATACATGTTTTGCCGCGTGACATAACATATACAGCTTTTAATCCCACTGAAAGTGATTCCAGTATAAACGTAGAACAAAAGCCAGAACCAGTCAAACGCATGCCACGTATTAAGCGTAGCATGAATGTAGTTACGGAATTGAATGCTAATGACAAAACTAAAAAGGACGATGAAACTTTTTCGATTGATAAAAAGGAAAAACAGACAACAGCATTGAAACCAAAACCACGAGTCCGCCAAAATAAAAGTGTGGAGTCAACCACCTCGCATGAAAAAAATATCCCAGGAGCAGAACTATATTCTCTTAGCACAGAAAGTAATAGGACTTTTGTAAAACCGGATGAAGGTGCCGTTACAATTCACACCAAGGGTTTGTACAAATTTGTAACAACTTATTAACGAAAAGCAAGGGAGTCTTAGCATCAATTAAAAGAATGCTCATGCATGTATGTATGTATGTATCTATGTATGTACATATTTATGAAAGAAAATGATTATAGAGTGAAATCTATAACACCGTTAATATTATATGGTGAATGAGTGAATTCCAAAAGCTTTTAATACTGTAATTTAATTAAATTTCTCTATCCGTTTTACAAAATATGGACTTATTTCAGACGGAAATGATAGCACCGACATCACGGAGAGCCTTAGTAGTGAAAGCGAGAGTGAGGCCAGCAGCAGCACCAAAACTGAAGTTATACAACATTCTTCAACGGAAACAGTAAAAGCTTTACAGAAAAGCAAATTAGCTGACTTAAAAATACCCAAGTAGTTTGATATCAAGATGATATTTTTTAAATTTATATTCAACATTCTTCGCATTTTTATTCGTGTTTAGAAATCTTCAAAAACCAAAGGTTTTTAGTCGAATTGATGCTCAGAAAATGGTGAATAAACGATTGACTGTGCTGGGATTAGAACCAAAAGAAAATTCTATATCTACAGCGGCGATGAAGCGACTACACACAGAACTATCGGACAAGAGGCACAAATTAAAGCAGGTGCGCCATTGTTTTTAATATTAATTACACTATACTAATTAAAAATTGTAACTTTCCAACATAGAAATATCCAAATTTTTATGCAACGCGTAACAAAATCAAGAAGCTCGTTGATAAGTTATGTTCAACAAAGCTCCCCACGCCGGTCGAAAACATACAGAGGCACACTAAGCCGATCCAGCCAAAGACGACCTTCGACGTATCAACCCATAGAGAGCATGAAGATGAACATGTCTCATCGGAAATGGATGGTTTCGAAACTCTAGAATTGACTTCTACACCCATTCAAAATCAAACAACTCAAAGCTTGCGTGAAAAGGATGCATTCAAAGAGCGGTTGGAGCGTATACTGTCGTCACCAATGCGACAGCCTGCTGTTGATGTTTCCGGCGTCGACCCTGGTAAACTCTCAACTGCGCAAATGCCTATTGTTGCGCCAGTGCCACTAACACGCAAACGTGTAATGTTTAACACACTTAAACAAAGTAGCAATGCAAGCGTTGATTATTCAAAGCAATTTTCTAAGTAAATACATAAATGTATTTTAATTTGAAATGAGATGTGACATAAAGATATACATATTAAAATATATATGTACATATAATATATTTACAATATTACATCTATCCATATTTACATATATGCTAATATATTATATAATATCACAACTATATTAGCTGTGCTTGATTTTTATGTATTAAATCTGATACAAGTTGATAAGGTATTATATGTTGCGATCCAGCGGTCAAATCTACCTCTTCGTCGTCAACACCAACAACAACAGCCGGAACTAGAAATACAATAAGGTATATTTAATTTATACTCAAGAAATAACTATAATTCCATCATACCATCTACATTAGCTTTAATGAACACATGACTCAGTAGATTCGGCCGCACTATTCTTTGTTCTGCCTCGGCTCGCTGCATATTGGGCATGTATTGCAGTGCCACATGTTGGAAATACTGTTCAACATTATCCGCATACTCTTGTGCATACTTAGATTCTTCTGCCGAAAGTCGTTTTTCAGATACATCTCTTGATTCCTCTTCATTAAGAATATGCCGCGTGAAAGTTTCAATTTTTTGTAACCGGCAACGCAGGTAACTTGCTATCACATAACGTATACGTTCTAATTCCATTTGATGTACGATAAATCGAAAATCATTTTTATCCAAATCTTTCATATTTTCTTCCATATGTGCTACCTGACCGAGCATCAATTCCAACATGTCGGCTTGATGTTGTAGAATTTCTGGTGCACACAATTCATTTTGCCAAGCTGTCTCAACAATCTCTAATACCTAAGGGAATAATATTATATTTAGGTTTAGTCAATGCAATATGTTTTTGTAGAGTACCTTTTGTGCGGTAATCAATTCTTCCTCCTCAACCTGATCTTCATACTCTCCATTATGCTCCGAATCACTAAGTGGCTCAATGATATCACTTTCAGACATTGCAGTTTTCAAAACTATGAAGTTTTTAAAGATTAGTAGTATATCTTGAGTTTATAAAAATAGTGACGCGTTATAACAAAACATAAACAGAAAGGCATAAAGGTACTGTCAGACACAGCAGTTGACTTATGACGACATACAGGCCTATTCTCACTGTTACCGGTAAAGTAAATTTTGTTACTTTTCTTTAACACCCGAAATTGAATTTGGTATTCTGGCGAACTGGTTACAATGTTTGAAAAAATTTGGCAGCACTGCTTTTTTCGTCCATGTCAAATTACATTTGCCAGTTGATAAAGTAAAATGAAAAATATTCACATCGAAATGGAAGACGGTGCACAAAAAACATTTAAAAGTTGTATTAATTTGTTTATTAAATCATAAGCATTTGAACCTAAAAATATGCCAGGACAAAAAAAAAAGCTGAATGAAAACGATATCTTACAAATTAAAGGGATATTTCTTGTCTCGAAAACTTCTGAAAATACGGCTTTTTGCACTTTTTTCTTCATCTTCAATGAATTCCATGCCTAAAATATGCCTACCCATTTTGGTTTTTATTTTTTCTGAAACTAACAACACAAATTCAAACAGCAGATATTTTTGTTACCTTCTATTTCGCTGGTAACAAAATTTACTGGGTAACAGTGAGCTCAGAATACGAAATGGTAACAAAATTTACTGAATGGTAAATTTTAATACCTAGGTAAATTACATACATGTTTATACATCTAATAAGCAGCTGATTTTAAGCTAAATTAAAGTATAACGCTATTAACATAGAGAAAGCAAGTTGACTTGGAATTAAGAAAAAATATAGCAAGCCAGTAAAAAAAAAATAAATGTGATTTATGCATATTAAGCTATAATATAAATATTGTGTTAGTATTTATATAAATACCTTGAATTTAACCAAAAAAAATGCATTTCAGTACGACCCTATATCAGCTGTGCATTCACGTGTGTTTGACTTTTGTTTTGATAATTGCCGATATCAATCTTTTCTGTCAAAACAATAAACTGGTCAAAATGGCTCAAACAGATTTCCAAAATAATTTTCGCTTAGTTTTGGAAAAAATCTTCAATAACTGGCAAAACCTTCGACTAGCGGTTGAACATGGTATGGGCGGCCGCAATGGACAACAGGTATAATGTGTTTTTTTACATGTATTGAAAATGTTATTGAATTATTTTCAAATCTTTCAGCTGGCTATTGAAATTATGGATTACATATATAAATATTGCATTGGCAATGAAAACATAGCCCAAGGTGAGCTTCAAGACCTTTTAGAGGAATTATTGGATCAAGAATTCGACACAATATGCGACGACAATTCCATACCTGGTAAAATTGTTCAAAATTCATTTCATAAAGAGAAATATAATAGCATATAATTTTAACAGAGATTTGCCGCAATTTATTACGTTATAAAGAGTTATGCATTAAAGGCGAATATGTACAAATAGAAAGTGAATTGAGTAAATTGCCTCAAGGAAAAGAATGGTTGCGGCCCGATGTAAAAATTGTCTACACGCCAATTGCGGGTGAAGACTCGTCTTCAGATGAAAATGATGCCAGTGGTGATTCAGATAACGGTATGGACGTTGATGAGAGCGAAGAGAGTGATGTGGCTAGTTGTAGTCGTGTGACCCGCTCACAAACACGCAAAAAAGAAGAAGAATTTGTAGAGCCAGAACCAGGTTGGACGACTGTGCGTACCAGAAGGAAATAATGCATATTTATAAATTTGAATTTTTTACCAAATAAAATTAATTAAAATTATCCGAGTGCTGATGAAAGTAATAAATGAAATAAATGCTCTGTTAAGTACTGGCAATAAAAGTTTTTAATCGTACGCCCTTATATTTACATCTTGCAAATCCAAAAATCGAAGTGTTGATATTTGTTCATGTGCCGCCGGTAATCGATGTGCCCCTTTACAAAATGAGCAATTTTGTAGCAGTTTACGCTCCTTTCGTGGTGTTAATTGCTTATGCCAACGCACTTGTGTCCAGAGGCTTTCATTCTTTAAGTTTGTGTCTTGACCAACATCGACATGTCGAAGTAGTAAAGTAGTATCCATTACAGATTCCATGTCATCAACGTTGGGAGTCATAGCGAGACCTATTCCAGGATATATGAAGAACTCAAAAATGAACATAGCCATAAGCAAAAGTATAGGCAGATATGCGGCAAAATATTTATCTGGCAAATAGTGTAATCCCCAACTTTCGGTTGGAAGTAATGCCCACATGACATACAAAATGAATATTGTAAAAAAGAGTAAATAAAATCCAAAACCGTAGACAGCTCTATGCGGAGTTGGCGCTGGTGTGTGTTCCGCCATTATTGTTTACAGTCTGTGTATTCGGAGCAAATTCCTTAATAGTATCTGTACAAAGTAGAAGAGCTCCAAAAAATGATGTTATTGCAGTACGTAGGTTCTTTACTTGGTCAGCTTTAAAGTGTATCTCTATTTGATTACCAATAAGGCGCAATTCTTTCTGAACAAAATTACGCCGTGGTTCTTTATCTACACTCAAAACTCGGTAAACTATTTCTGCACGTTGAGAATTCTCGAATGGGATTTTAAGAGTACTGAAAAACAAATTGTGTATGCCTGAATAAAGTATTATATTACTATTGTTTCTAAACATACGCTTCGGTTTGATTATTGATGTTCTCTGTAGGTGTATCTGATTCCAAAACGTTGGAATTTGGCATGATTGAGACTTTTATGGACGCAATTTAATAAAAAGCATTTAACTCCACTATCCAAAAATTAAATATTTACACACACTGTCGGATACAAGGTTCACTTTATAAAATAAAATCAGAAGGAATACTGTGTTAGAAATGCAAGTACACATATTTTTAGTTTTTTTTTTTATTGTAATTATATCAAAAAATCCTTATCATTTGAGATCATCTTTGGCAAGTGCCGCTGTTCTCAACAATAAATTTCAAAAGCGTAATATAAATATAAATCTATTTATACAGCCGTAGTTATTTTGATCAGTATATAAATAAATATAAATATAAAAACAGTAAACGCCCTGTTCTATCTTAATAGTTCTCTTCGCTATGTTTATAAACAATAACAATTGTCAGCAATTTTCATTGAATAAGCCAAACTACCTATAAAATTTGCTTCGACAGAGCGAAATTTTGACATTTCGTTGCTGATTAATTCTTACTGTTATTTCTCACCGAACAGAACTAATTAAACACTACCCAATGAAATTTGTTTGTTGACATCATTCAGCAGTCTTTTAGTGATTTTGCAAATTTCTTAATTTGAGTTCCGTATTTAAAAAAATGGAAGGTTTAGACATTCTTGAAAAACGCATAGATACACTATCACGTATGTTAGGACCTCTTCCAGACGAAGAAAACGCGCTTACATCGGGTGCTACTTCTGAAAACAAACAAAATGGGGCGGCATCCGAGACAGTTGTTGACTCATTGCTTACAGTAAATAGTATGCTGAGTGGAGTTATTGGTAACCGGGAGCCAATTGCTAACACAATAGGACGTGCCGCTGAACTCGAAAAATATTTGGATCCAAATTTCTTAGAAGAGACCCAACAAGTACGTTCTAAAGAAGTTTACTTAAATGCTGTAGCTCCAGATTTACACGCTCAATTCGAACAATTAGATAAAATTAAACAACTTGAACCAACGTTAGGTGCTGAATACTTTCGCAGCATACCAAGTGAATGTACAGAAAAATTAAAACAGCATTCACAAGATAATGCTGAGTTCGCTCAACAAGCCGAGTTGATCGAAGAGAGTTTAATATTGGCTATGAAGCGGTATGGCGAAATACAAAGTGGTCTTTTGGAATCGCTTGGCACTATGAACAAACGTCTTTTGGCTATAGAGGAAAAAATGGAGCAGAAAAAAAGGTCTGAGGCTGAAAAGGATCTGCCTTTGCCCCAGGAATAAACGGGATACCTTAAATTTGACTTGATAACGTATTTAGACATACTTTGCACATAAGTTTAATATGCGTTTGTGTAAAAAATTAATTTGTCATGGAAATGTATTAAAATTGTATTTTATATTTAACCTTTATTTTAATTATTTCTAAGTCCAGGTCTTTTGCTATATCTTAAATATAATGAAAAAGTGTATGTCTTAAAACAAATGTTTAGAATTGTCATTATATTTCAAATATGTTCTTGTAGTTTTTATTTTTCCATTCAGTTTTCTTATTAAATATATTTCAAACGATCCCTAGTTAAAGTGATTTACTCTTCCTCTTCTTTATCTTTGCGATGAGATTTTTTCTTTTCACTACGATTTGTGGAGGAAGTACTCGCTGTCTTGCTGCTACGCTCACGCTCCTTTTCACGAGACTTGGAACGCCGACGCGTCTTTTCACGACTACGCGAACGCTCTCGCCGTGATCTAAAAGGAACAGCATTAATATTAATTTATTAAGTAAAGTTCAAATTACCTTTCGCGCTCGCGATCACGATCACGGCGTCTCCGTTCCCGATCTTCATCTCCAACTCGCTCCGTTTCCTAATTTTAATAAAAAAAAATGGCCTTTTATTAAATGTATATTATATATTTAAGTACGAGATTAACGTACGTCAAGTTTTTCACTTCTGTCGCGCTCTCTATCCCTTTCAGAATCCCGTTCACGATCGCGCTCTCTATCGCGTTCTCGATCACGTTCTTTCTCACGCGATTTTGATCGACGCCTTACCTTTTCCCGACTGCGTGATCGTTCTCGGCGTGGTCTAAATCAAAATTAATCACAATATGCATTAAAATATATATTTTTTTCTCACCTTTCCCGATCCCTCTCTCTTTCCCTTTCTCGTTCACGTTCCCTCTCTCTTTCACCCTCTCGATCTCGGTCACGGTCACGTTCCCTCTCTCGATCTCTGCGTTCATTTCGCTCAAACTCCCGCTCCCTCTCGCGTTCACGTTCATGGCGCTCCCGTTCCATATGCCCTTGATTTGGTGGTCCACCTCCATGAGGGCCCATCATGCGAGGCGGTCCCATTGGCATTCTCATTGGTGGTGCTCCTCCGGGACCCATCATCATGCCCATTCCTGGCGGTGGCGGTCCCATACCTTTATATAAAGCAAATCAAACATTATTTTTTTAGTATTTCTAAAATTGTTGCCCTTTTGATTTTTTTCAGAAGTGTAACGACTGTGGATGTGACAATAAGTATTTATAGAGGATAATTACCCATATTAGGAGGATGCATTGCTGGCAAAAGAGGTGGATGTTGACGCATTTGCGGAGGAGGACCACCAATTTGTGGTGGAGGAACTCCCATCGGCGGTACTCCCGGTGGACCAGACATACCCGCTGATGGTGGTGGAACCATCACTGGACCTGGAGTTAATTCTTTTATACCTGATGGCACCCAAACTGGATTTTCGTTATTCCATTGGGACTCCTGCGTAGGTTCATAGCCATAGTCAAAAGTTTCCGGCTCTGGGAAATATGGCTCATCATTAGGCGGAGGGCCACCGAAATTCGGTGGCATTTGTGGCATTGAACCTGGTCGTGAATATTCGCGACATTCGGCTGTCATAACTTGGATGGGATTCTCTTTGCTGTTTGTAGTACTTATGGGTCTTGGACCACGGGGAATGCCCATGCCCATTCGGGATGGGACATGGTGAACGCCTTGAGGAGGTGGTAAAATTCCAGGTGGTGGCAATTGCATCTGATCCGGCATGGATCCAGGTGCTACGATACTAATGGGTCCAGCATTCGGTTGCCCTTCCTGTTGCCTTTCTGCAGATTGATTCATGTTTTGCGTTAAACTCGCCAAACCAACACCACTCTCTTGAATTCGAAATCGTTTTTGTCTCTCACAATAAGAGCGCCATGTTTCTTCATTAAAACCGTAATTAAAATAATCCGTAATATCTGCACCAGGTTTGCGCCACGGCTTATCTTCTAACGAATCTATACTGAACTCATGCGCTGGTACCCCATTAATTGTGCCAACTCCTTCAAAATCTTCAACACTAAATTTTCCACCTGGAGCACCAGACTTTGCTTTCTCTTGGCCTGAACCTGGCGGTCCCACCAATAAATTTGCACGTTGCTTAATATTATACGTGTTGGGGGCTGCTTTTATATCACCAATCACAACGTTTATGTCATCATCAGAGTCATCTTCATCATATGTGTTTCCCTCACCATCTTCAGGGGATTTTGACTTTGGAAATAAAGAAAATAATAATTAAATATTTTTAATACCGTAAATGTAATATGTTCTTACCTGCCGTGCGTCATCACCGGTATCATCGCCACCGTCAGTTGTATCAGCTGCAGTGCTGGCAGCAGCGGCTGCAGCCTCTTCATCTTCTTCCATCTCTTGTGCTGGATCTTCAAATTCTCCAAATGTTTCATCTTCATTAGGTGAAACATTATCCTTGGAAACGATATTATCACTCCCTCCTCCCAAAGCAGTAGCTTCGTTTTCCGATTTCTGTGATAAAGGCGGCTTTTCATTACCTAAACCGGCTGTATTGTCAACATTCTCTTCATTTGTGGTAGAATCAGGATTCGATGTGCCGTATAGCCAACTATCCTCATTAGTATCATCAGCCATTTTATGTTGAAATGTTGGTCAATCAAATATACAGTTTCCGAAGTATTTTATTTTGGTCAAAATGCGTTCACTAAACTTCCCTATTAAATTTCAATGTTGCGCAAAAACCGTAAACTGTTCCAGGTGCAGGGTGATTTGGATTTAATAAAGTCTTTTGACACTTCTTTTCAATTTTTGCTACATACTTATTTAAAGTTACTTTAATTTAATCAAATATAATATAAATGTAAAAGTAACAACAGTTATTGAATCATTTATAAAAGACAATCTATTAACATCCAATAAATATTTGTTTCATCTCAAAAAAGACGTAACTTCGTCCTCGCCTCTTCCATTCTGTTACGTGAAATAGCATTTCCTAAATTCTTTAAAGAAAATTTCAAACCATCAGGCAGGTCTATTTCGGAAATGTGTAATTTCAGTTTGACATCTGGGCTTTTTATTGAATTTAATAGACGCTGAAAGGTGATTTGTTTTCATTTTTATTCTCATTTTTATAACTCATTTAATGGTGAATTAATGGTAAATTATAGTTCGTACTTATCTTCACACGTAGAAATCAATGGATATTGAAAAAATCTGCCGCACCTGTCTAAGCCTCAATGGTCCTCTACTTTCCATTTACGATGGAGGCGGCGGAAGCGGTTGTATCGCTGATATGTTGCGAGATTTCACAAAAACAAAGGTTCATACATAAATACGAAAATTATAAAAATAGTATTTGTTAATTTTATATTTTTATGTTTACATGTTTTAAAGCCACGTCGCGTGGATAAGTTACCTGAAAAGGTTTGCCTAGCTTGTATAAGTGAAATAAATCGCTGCTACTCCTTCAAATTGAAATGTGAGAACTCAAGTAGAACATTACGCCAACTGGTACCTGATGCTCTTCCCGAAGAAACCGAAAACAGAGAATCAAATTTAAAAGTGGAACAAGCTCATAAGGAAATACAAACGGAAAAAGAAATATTGAAACAAGTTACCACAGCGTGCACACAAACAAATGAAAATATTGAAGTAGAACGTACTAATCAGTACGTACAAACACAGCCGATATGCAATTTAATGGAGGACAAGTCAACATCTCCTATAGTAGTGGGGCAAAATAAAATGTGCAGATATGAAAAAACAAAGTCTGAAACTAATTCAATTGATCATATTGAAAAATCGGTAAGCAAAAAAATTCAACGCAGATCCAACACACGTCAAACCTTGGCACTTAAGCGTAGACGACTAGGAGACAATTGCTTCGAACAAGCTGAAGAGGATGAATCTCAACTTATTATGGAAATACACACAGAGGAAACCCAAATTAACGATAATGAAGAGGCAATAACCTTGTATTCCACATTACATACAGCTGAAGAGGAGGAAACAAACGAGGATACAACGACTTACTATCAAATATCACGTCCCCAATCAGAAAATGAAAGTGAAAACGTTGTTGCACTCAGCTATAACTTGAGTGAAACCCATCAGACAAGGGAAAACAGTGATGAATTTGAAGAAGATGGTGCTTATGCCCATTTTGTATATGCTGAAGAAAATGACGAGTTCAATACTGGTGAAGAAAATGCGCAAACCACTGATTACAACTTTACAATTTACAAGAGCGGTGACACAGAAGAGGTTGCGGAAAAAAAATCAAAAGGTCGATCAGCAAATTTATCTGATATAAATAAATTACCAAACGCCAAACGAGAATTGAAATGTTCTTATTGTTCAATGACATTTGTTAATCCTACACGCTTAGCTCGTCACGAAATGAAACTACATAAAAATGAAGATGCCTATAATATCAATAAAACAGAAAACGAAAGGAAATCGATTAAGGTGAATATCAAACTAGATTTTTTTTTAATTTATTTTATCAATATTTTGTCTTAATAGCACTTGGAAATAAGTGATGATGATGATGATCCTAATAGCCGAACAAAGGCATTGAAAGCGGATATTACATTGAAAGGAACGTCTATTACACCACAACCGATAGTTCAGAAAACAAAGCCATCAGAATTGACATATTTTTGTGAGACATGCGGGGCAGGATTTGCTATGAGACGGTCACTTGTTCACCATAGAAAGCAAAACTTGTGCAATAAAGTAACCTACGATTGCGACAAGTGCCAACGAGTTTTTATTTCTGAAGAAGCTTTAAAAGATCATAAGATTACTCATTTGCAAGAACACGAATGCACTGAGTGTTATAAGAATTTTAGCACTAATGATGAGTTGAGTCAACACATGGTGGTGGAGCATAAACGGAACTTACGCAATCAATGCCACATTTGTAAGAAAGGTAAATAATGGTATTTGGTTTTACTCCAGAAATCGGTAATGTTTATAAGTCTAATTTTTAATTTATTTCAGTTTTCACTATATTATCTGCTTTGAAGGATCATTTGCGTGTTCATAGCGGTGAAAAACCTTTTATATGTAGTATATGTAGTAAAGGTTTCAGTCAAAAAGCAAATTTAAAACAACACGAAATGCGTCATAATAAAGAAAAGAAATTCAAATGCGATGAATGTTCATGGGGCTTCGTGACCAAAGCTGAGCTCTCTTCCCACAGACGTACACATACCGGTGAACATCCTTTCCGTTGCGATGAATGTCAAGCTACGTTCACAATATCCAGTTCATTGTTAAAACACAAACGTATTCATACCGGCGAGCGACCATATGCATGCGATTTATGTCCAAAACGATTTACAACGTCATTTACTTTAAAAAATCATCGACGCATCCACACTGGCGAAAGGCCATTTAAGTGTCGCTGGTGTAGCAAATCATTTACGCAGAAACAAGACTGCGTTATACACCATCGTACACATACAGGCGAGCGAAATCATGCCTGCTTTTGTGGTGAAAAGTTCACGCATCTTGGAACTTTACGTACTCATCAAAAAACACATGAAATCAACCCCGATGATGGTACCTTAAAACCTACCAGTAAAGGAAAGCGACGGCGCAGAATATGTAAACGTGAACCAGAAAGTGGGGATGAAGCAGCGTTCAACATTACCATACTCAATGAGGACGATGATGATGATGGAAATGCAGAGGACGATGCAACAGTAGTGACGGTAGCTCGTGAGGATATGGAGCGGCTGGTGGCTGGCGAAACGATACAAAGCAATGAAGAACGAAATACAGTTGCTGTGAATGAAGAAAAACTTATGCAGATGGCAATCGAGGAAGTTTAACAAAAGATAAATTTATATACATACGTTCTTATGTATGTATAATATAAAATAAACATTCAATGTGTATATGTTTATGTAATATATAATATTAATTGACCTTATATTTGTAAAAATATTTAAGTTTTTAAGATTTCATTGAAAATTGATAATTTATTAAAGTTGGAATCCTTTTCAATGCTAATGGATTTGAAGGAATTAAATTACTGTTCATCTCATCCAGATAAAATTACAATATTTTATATGTATAAGCTTTTGTTGTCGTGTAATTTATGATGTAAATTTTATATTACGTGCCTTACTATCGGCATCTGGCCGACTGCACCACCACCCATTTCATCTGAACTGTTTGCAAATGTAGATGGCGGCTCGGCATTGAACCAATTAATCAGTGCATGATGGACACTTTGCACGCATTTTCTCTGATCGGCAATTAAATTTTCTGAGTATTTCACATGGTTGGCAAATGCCTCTTTTTCGTGCAACACATCCTTAGACATTCGATGGAGATCCTTGAGTATGGCAGAACCCCACAGTTGTACGTGTATATCGGGTATTTTTGAAGCCAACTGCATAGCAGGTGTTACCATATTCATACTCTCCTTCGAATTGCCTATGCTTAGGAAAACATGTGACAGTAAGACTAACGAGCAGGACGTTAATCGATTGAGATCTTCAGCGTTAGCCATTTTTAATGTTTCTCGCAGGAACCGCCTGAAATTGCAAAGAAAATAATTATTTTCGTACGTATAAACACGTTTACGATTCTTCTTTATTATTTCACTATAATTGATTAATTAATTAATTTTTACCACTTACTTAGCCTCATGAAAGCTGCTTTTATGAAAGGCATGTAGTCCCTGTACGTAATAAAAACCTCCCATTAGCGCTTGACTGCTATGCGTGTGGGTATTTTCTGTGGACACGGTGTCTAAAATCTGTTTTAGATCTTGTTCGCGCTTTGTTCGTAGAAAAATAATTGCCAAGTTCAAATTGGCAAATAATTTTAGGTCTCGTTCTGAAGTTTCCATTACGCAGGCTATGAACTGTCGCTCTGCGTGCTCATAAAAGCTGGTCGACATTGCGTACAAGCCTAGTAAGCAATGCAATTGTGCGGAATGACGTCGAAGTAGACCGCGGTTTGGAGTTGCCACACAAACATCACGAGCTGCTGCTATTTCGGTAATGGCCAGAATTCGATTGCCCATCACCATGCGGCACATCACAATGTGCTCCAGTAATATCACTTTAAAAACTGATAATATGGATTTATCGTCTTGAGCTTTCAACTTTTCGATTTGTGTTAAAGCTTTTTCAGTATATTTTTGTGCCTTATCCATATAGCCAGCCATCATCGAGTGTGATACGGTCACTAAGTATACTAAAACATATAGTTGCTCTTTTGGCAGCCATACAAACATTTCTAAAGCGTTTTGTCCAAATATTGCTAAATCAGAAATTAATATATTAAAATATGCAGCATTTAGACTTAAAAAAACAATACCTTCGTCCGAGGGCCAGTTGGGTGCCATTATAGTTTGAATTGATGTTTGCAATTGCTTTAAGCTTGGTTTTACAGTCTTTACTTGGCCCAACGCCAGATAATAGCAAACTTGGAGTACGAGGAAAAACACTTTAAGGTATTCCTTCTGATGAGCATTACTTATATTATTATCAATAATGGCGCCCGCAGTGTTTAGCAATGCTAATACATCGTTCGTTTTACGTTCAATCATTAAAATCATTGCACGTGACAGAAGAAATAACACTTTTAGATATGTAGCACCCGTCTCTTCTGCTGATTCCACACCAACGGCCAACAGTTCAGAGGCCAAGGAATACTCACGATCTGAGGCATGTATTTGCGCCAATTGCAAAAGCAATTTGCAGTGCCAAAAAACATTATGTTGTGATAATTCGACAGCGCGTCGGAGCATTGCTTTTGCTTGAGAATTCTGCTCCAACTGCACATGCAACTGAGCTAATAGCGAAGCGGTGTCAAACTTAACATCATCAAAGTGCACCAATGTCTCTGATAACTTCCAAGCAGTTTCTAAATGATTGCGTGCTAGGTCCGTGTTTAGTGTATATGCCATTAATATTTGGCCCATTTGTAAGTGTGTACGTGCCTCGACTTTGGTTGGAGGTTGGAAAGTGAACAACGCTTGTAAACACTGAATACATTTCTTAATGTTGGGTGGCTTAGATGTACGGAAATGTTCGGCTAAGCCAAGTAAAGAAATATAGCACGCATCCTGGGACGGCGCAGTTGCAGTGCTTGTTGATGCCATCTTAGTTCACCAGCTAAACCAGCTTCAGCGGCAATAAAACCAAATGCTTCTTTTTATTAACGTGGTCTCATAAATAGTTTCATAGGCTTTAGCTTACAAAACTATATTTACTAAAGTTTTGTCCAGTACACACCGATTTATTTGCTGTTTTTCCAAAAAAATTGCCAATGAAATATGTGAATAATAATATTATCAGAAAAGGTGAATATATAATTAGCAACTGACGAAAGCGTTGCCATATATTGAAATTAAAAATTATTTAATTGTAGGTAAAATTGTATAAAGGTGCTATCATACAAAGCATTAATTCAAAGCATAATCTTTGAAGTTGATCCATCATATGATGCTGGTTCCTATTTCCATTTCGCCATTTTGAAGTTTTCGGGTAGATACCATTTAGATTATAATTGATCTTACACACACTTGATTTGAAGAGTACCGCTAGTTCTACCAACAGTTCGCGCGCAGGAAATGCCCGGTTTTATCAGCTAGTCCTTTCTGCCCAGTTTCACATATCGATTGTAGTGAAAGTGTTCATAGACAAATTGAGCACCGTAGTGTCATATTCAGCTCCCGTTGTAACCCAATGTTATAGCGACAGCATACGTTTTCCGTCAATGGCGATAAATTTGGAAGCAATTGCATTTCCGTTAACCCGCTGAACTTCTTACACGAGTCCCTTGTGTCTTCCTTTCGTCAACTGATATTTTAGTTGGTAAGAAGCCACAGTGGCCATACGAAGAGCAATAATTTTTCTGATGGAAGATAGAATCTCTCTCTGAAATTTTTTTTTGATTATTTTCTAGTAAGAAGAAGAATGATTTTGATTTTAATTATCCGAAAGAACTAAAAAATAAAATAATAAAAAATTTGAGCTTAAGAAATAAGTTCTCAAATTAGCGTAAGTATACTACTTTACTACCCACACACTAAGAATTGTTTCTCAATTTTCCGCAAATCCGCTAGAGAAACGTTCCGTGAGATTAATGGTGTTTTGGGGGATGGTACTCTATCACTTCGAACCGCGGAGGAATGGTTTCGACGATTCAGAGCCGGTGAAAACGACACCATGACTCCACCAGCCGGCGGAAGACCTGTGACGACAAATACCGATCAAATCATGGAATACATCGAGTTAGACCGGCATATGGCATCTCGTGACATCGCCCAGGAGATGGGAGTTAGTCACCAAACCATTTGGAACCATCTGCATAAGGCTGGATACAAAAAAATGTTTGATGTTTGGGTGCCGCATAATTTGACGAAAAAAAAACCTTCTGGACCGAATCAACGCCTGCGATATGCTGCTGAAACGGAACGAACTCGACCCATTCTTGAAGCGGATGGTTTTGCTGTGTGTTTGGTGGGATTGGAAGGGAATCATCCACTATGAGCTGCTCCCATATGTCCAGACGCTTAATTCTACCATCTTCTGCGAACAACTGGACCGCTTGAGGCAGGCGATCGACCAGAAGCGTCCAGAATTGGCCAACGGGAAGGGTGTAGTGTTCCACCAGGACAGCGCCAGACCACACACTTCGTTGATGACTCGTCAGAAGCTACGGGAGCTCGGATGGGAGGTTTTATCGCATCCATCGTATAGCCCGGACGTAGCGCCAAGTGATTACCACCTGTTTCTGTCCATGGCGAATGCCCTTGGTGGTGTGAAGTTGAACTCAAAAGAGGCTTGTGAAAAGTGGCTGTCCGAATTCTTCGCAAATAAGGAGGGGGGCTTCTACGAGGAAGGTATTATGAAGTTGCCGTCTAGATGGAGACAGATCATCGAACAAAACGGCGCATATATTAACTAAATCCGATCACCGTAACACTTTTTATGAAGCATTGAATGAAGAGCAAAAAAGCGGAAGGGAGATAACCTATACAAATATCCTACTCCAGTCATTTTTGAAAGTTACTTTAGAACTAACTTCGAAGTATAACATACCCACTAAAAGAACTTGACAAAGATAACTTGGTCATACACAAAAGAAAATACTTACGCTGCGAATTGAAAACCTTTTCGTCGGTTAAAAAAACAATTAGCGAAAATATGTAACTGTATTAGCTGATAGTATGTTGAACGAATCTTTAATTTTATTAAATAATTCAAAAAGAATATAACCTGTTTTTAATTTACATGAAAAAAGCGCATAAAAATATATATATATATATATTTATGGATGAATATATGTATACATTCTTAGGTGTACATATGTACGAATTTAGTCACTAAAATTTAAAGTATTTATATTTCTTTATTTACAGAACAAAATATATGTATGTATGTATATATCTAAGAAATTTTCTTTGATGGCTTATAACGTACATATGGTCTCACATTTCATCTTTTAAGTCTACGTTTTAAATTAGGGAGTCTACACGGCAAAATAAAGACTAAACATATTAATATAATTTATATTTTACCTACTGTTTATATATGTATGTATACATGTTGCGTTTGTCTTTTGTGTAATATATTCGTGTATATATCTTATATGTAGTTTAATCAAAAAAATAAACTGATAGGAATAGCAATGTAACATTTTTTTTGTTTGTTTTTTTTTTTTTGCTTTAGCAACAAATGATTTACCATATACATATATATTTATGCAGTACTTTACATTGGATTATATGTATGTACATGTCCATATTTTATTCAGATATCTCTTTTCAATTCATATGCTTTTATATGTTTGCAAATGTATATACATATGTTCATATGTATAAATAATATGTGAACATACATATATAAGATAATTTTATTAGAATTTTATTTTTATAACATACTTTTATATATACATATATAGTAAAGTTAATAATGCATATTTCATCATCATCACTATACATATAAATATATTTATGCTCTTTGAAATTAATTTCGCAAGACTTTAACATACATATGTATGTATGTACATTGATTAAATTTTGAAATTTTAGCAAATTCAAGCAAATACACTTTAAAGTTTTTAATTTCACAGAAACATTCATTTCAAGCCATACAACAACTTTATACTTATTTAGTTATACATATGTATGTACTTTTTATGTAAAGATGAGTATATTGCATACTATTTATGCTTGTATGCGTACAAATACACTTGCCATATAAATCTCACGTAAAAGATGGCGATAACCGCTGGGAAGTTCCAACAAGTCATTTCCCCACGGATTTACGCTTTTTCCAAAAAAAAAAAAAAAAAAACAGTTTCTTTTATGTGCTACTGCGCAGACAATCATCGTTCCAAGGGCAAATCATTTTCCTTTGTTTAATAAAAAAAAATAAACGTTGACAATATACAACTTAATTCGACATTAACAAAACTAAGATAAATACATATATATTTATGTAGATACATACATACATTAGAGTCTGTTATTTAGTTTCATTATTGTTAACATTAACTACTTGTCGAATATTGTTGATCTGCTCCTATTTGATTCCCCTTGGATTATAAAAAGATTATATGTTTTTAAGGTAGAACTTTTCAGCTAATTTAACCACCATGTTTTTCTTAAAGAAAATTTAAAATCTATTTAAACATTTATTTATATGAAAGCTGCTGCCTATCGGTGGTAATTTAAAAACTTTAAACCATTTATGTTATCTACTACAAGATGGAAGCATTAAATTTATAAGTCCGAAGTAAGTCACCTGAAACTTTTTTGTGGATTTCCATGAAGAAATATAATCATTACATTAAATTTAGTACATTTTTCAAAGTTATTTTCCAATATGAGTCCAAGTCAGGAATAGCCAACATAACGCTAGCTATCGAGGTCGAATAAACTTGGAATTATTTTAGTATTAGTCTATGGAGATCTAAGCAAATATAATCTAAAAATGAGTTGAACTTCAAAACTTTTAGTATAGTAGTGATTTTGCTTCGCTTCGTATAATAGCCGAGAACCAATTCTACAATTTCTTATATGTATTTTGCTTCAAACTCACAGTCGGATCTTATAAAATACATTATATGTATGCACCTATAGGACATGATTAACATCATAATCCACTGAGTTAAAGAAAAATAAAAATAAAATAAAAACTTAATAATAATTTATACATTAACGTTTAATGTATGTATATACCTGTGAGATATCACACACGTATAATAAATATAAATGTGCAAGCATATGTACGTACATATATTTTATAAATAAATTTTGAACACATAGAACTTTTTAAATCTTTTCTAATTAATATTAAAAGGAAACCATGGCACAAAACGCCAAATCATGAGAAGCAATCGAGTATATATGTATGTTTGTATATGCATTATACATGCAAAAGTATATGAATTACAAATTATTATTAATAGCTGCAATAAGCCTATATTCAGTTATGTACGCATGTATACATATGTATTTGTAATTACATAAATATAATTATTTCACGGCTTGGCCAAAGAAAGCATTCTCCTTCGTAGCGTCAAAGAATTAAACAAAACTATATTGATTATCTACAGCTCGTGTGCTCATTTCATTTGCGTTCAAATCACTAATGCTGGCAACTCTAGGACCACTGTAAAGTTGACTCTGTAACAAAAACAAACAAATTTTAAATGCAAAATTACTAAAAAAAAAATTACGATACAAATTTTGGCTTTGATAAATCATATAAAATATATACATAACTATTTCTCGATTAGCTTCTTTCATTTGCGCAGATAGAAGCCTGTGAATAATTTTACGAACATGGTAAATAACTTCATTACCGAAATTCTACAGTTGTTACATCAAAAATTAGTTACTTTATTCAAATATAAAGCTTAGGCGTTCAAAATATAATCTCACATAATCTCTTAGCCACCATTGATTTTAGGATGTTTGTAATTACCTGAGATTGCAGTGAAACTGTTGAAGCACGAAGTTGTTGATTATTTTGTTGTGGTGTCTGCGTTTGAAATTGTACATGGGGTTGTGGCCGCTGCGGTTGTTGCAGAAACGGTATCTCAATTTCGTTCGCTTTTAATCGTACACTCAAATTCATTGTGATTAGACTCTTTTCCTGTTGCTATAATCCGCAATTGAGAGGCAAGAAATAATAGAAAGAAAAGAAAAGGAATGGCACTTTGATTTTGAGTATGTGACACGGACACATTGTGTGCGACTGTGGTGTTAGTATTGTTGTGGGTGGAAAGCTGAAGACTCAGATCCATGCAACTAAACTTAAAAATATTTTTCAATAACAAAGGGATTTTGGATACTTATAGTATGTGAAATAGGATCTATCATTAAGAAAAAGACGTCTGCCAATTGAAATATACATACAAATAAGACATACAAAAAAAGAACTTGTTATTTAAATAATCAAAGCTACCATTAAATTTGTACATATATGAGCTTTTCTCTGTTACAATTAAAATGTAGCTTGGTAAGGCGGATATCCGTTTATTGCAAACATATCAGTTGCAAATTTAATGGTGTTGTGTGTAAATAATTCAACAGCAAATAAAGGTCTAAGTTACAAACAAAAATACAAAACAATCAAATAAAAATCATCACTGACACTGAATTGACTCCAAAATTTAGGCTATCTCACATGTCTCGGTGATGGATGCTGTTGCTGTTGTTGTTGATGCCCACCGTTTGTTTCTGCAATGTTGCCAGCATCATTTGATCCCCCATAAAGTAGTGACTTATTATGAACCCAATCTGTGAGCGTTACATCAGATGTGCCACCCGATTCCAATGGTATTGGATTATGTCGGAAGTGTTCGAGCATCTCCTGTATGGATGGAAACCACAAATGTTGGACACGGCATTGCCCTTTCTCGGATAAAGTCATGCGTAAATGTTTAGCACGCCCTTGAAAATTAAATGTCAGCACAAATTCACCCTTTCTCGTTTCACTTTGCCGCACTAAAAAGTAACCATGCCCAGCCGACACCGAATGTAATACCATCCGCGCGGCCTCTGATCGCGACAATGTACCATGGAACCATGGATACTGTCGCATTTCGGCAGTCAAATCTGCTACATTTATATCCGCTTCTGTTTCACAATCTCCTTCAATGTTACTTGACGCCGAAAGTCGTTGCTCTCCTCGTGTACCAGGTCCGATTGGTCTCGGTGGGATATCAGGTATACCTTCTAATGTAGTTGTATCATTAGCAATAGAAGCTGTCGCACCCAAACTTCCAGCAAGTGCAACTTCAGGTAAAGAATCGCTTGGGCCTATATTTCCGTTTGAGCCAAGTATATTTGTTTGATGATATTGTGGATTGGGTAGAGCAATAGATGGACCACTTCGTGTAGCAATTAGTTCTGTAGTATTTGAATTGCCACTAGGACTCATAGCCGAAGTTGACGAATTCGAAACTGTAATTCCACCCATTATTCCACCAACACTAGTACCACCTGTGGCTAGTGCATCTGCAGAATCTAAGGGTAGTTGTTGCGTGGGTGGTGTACGCATACAGTAGCGTATAGTAGCCAACCAGCTATGCATTTCTGCCGCACTCTCTGCCTCAATAACATATTCCATATTATTGTCTGCCTTAAGAACAAAAATATTTTCACGATCAGGCATCTCCAGGGCAGTTGTTTCACGTGCCTCAGATATTAGGAAACAAAACACACCGCTTCGGGGCTAAAATTACAAATATTATTATAAGAAAGATTTTGAGGTAAAATAAATAAGAATAGTTTGCTGTTAACAAACCTTAGTAGCTTTTGGTGGAGTGTAGAATTCTAGCATGTAACCTCCGACAGCTTTTACCAACGCAAGTCGACACTTTTCCCACTTTTGTGCACCCGTTGGCTGATCTAAGCTTTCAGGCGATAAAGTATGGACATAACCTTCTTTGCGACATTCTACAATGATTTTTGAGATTTTTGTCTTGCTATGCTTACTTCCATCTAAATCATCGGAATTCTTATGGAAGAGCGTCTGTAGGAATAGGAAATTCTAATATAAAAATAATAAACATCAGCTGTTCCAAGATGAATCGTAATATGCATATTTTTTTTTAGTTAGCGGTATAATAACTACCCACCTTGCCTTTGCGCAGACCCTTAAAAGAAAGCCTTCGAAAAAATGCTTTATGAAAAATTTTTGGAGAATCTTCAGCTACGCCACTTTCCTCTAATGAATTACCATTACCAGTCTAAATTTGAAGAACAGTTTTATAATATAACCAAAATTTACGTAATTTTACAAATTAATCACCTTAATGTTGTTACGCCTTAGGCAAAATTCCGCATCGAAATGATCTACAAACGCCTCGGCGAATTTTTGCCCAAAATTGCGATATTGAATTTTGCGTCCCTCTTCGGGTGGCATAGTTCCATTTATATAATTAATGCAAGCTTTAGCAAAGTCTGCAGCTGCTACACGTGAATGACGCTCACAAAATTCCTCCCAATTCGTGCCATAAGCATATGAGGTACTGCTGGCTGCGGTCATATTGGGTAGAGGATCACCACCTACTGCCCCACCACTATTACTGCCGACGCTACTTCCGCTAACAGGCCCAATATAACCGCCAGCGGTAAAAGTATTTGTTGTGCTATTTCCACCCATTGAACTTTTCTGTTTATTTACTATTATAAAACGTTAGTTGGCACAAAATTTGCTGCGGTTAATACTGCAGCTTAAACTGTATTGCCTGAAATATGTATATGCACATTTTAGTAAATAAAAATCTTTATATGTTCCTACTTACGAATATACATAAATGTGGATCAGACGAGGTCTGTTGCAAAGAAAAGATAAGGTGAGTTTCGATTTTTCGCCAGCTGTGTATGTACAAAAAATCTATAATGTGATGTACACCGCCCGCGAAAATTCAGAATTCACAAATCACTTTTTTATTTGAACGGACCTCGTATATGCTAACATATGTACATAGAATGTATAGGTATAAAAGAAATTTAAATTTATTACGTTGATATATTTATTTATGAAAAACACATACCTACAGCATGTTTTATGGAGAATGAATATATGTATGTATACGAGTAAATATTATAATAAAGTAAGGGTTTGTGAAGTGAGAAAAATTAGCGAACCACATACATATGTACTTCAAATAGTTTGGTGGGCTCTCTTCGCAGATTACAATATCTGAATCAATTTTCTGTTAATTTTATTATTTTTTTTAATATGTCTTCGTACGAAAAATGATATTAAGAAAACATCTTTCCTTCCAGCTCTGTTCTGAAAACGATAATTATGGTACTTTTTTCTTTAATTTGGAAATACATATGTTCATATACATATAATATATAAAAAAAATGGCATTTAAAGTTCGGATTGCTGATACCAAACTTAATAAAAAAGATTATATACACATACATATATATATATATGAACTATCCATTAATTTTCCAGAATTTTTAATGTTGGTATGTACATAGTTCTTTCCCATTTTCCCATTTCTATTATCAAATCACATGGTGAATCCTTGAATATTTGTGGTATGGTATTGTGCATGTTAACGGTTCAGAAAGCCACCTGCATTATTTCTCCTTTCGCAAAAGTTTCGTTTATAACAAGATGTGATATAATTATGAAATAGTTTCAAACATCCTTAATCTCTTCATTCATTTGCTATTTTCTAGAAGTTCACTGTTCAGATTCAGTAGGCAGAGAAACTCTTAAAGGATACCTAAAAGTTTGTACGATAACATTTCCGAACCGAAATATTTATAGAAAACGGAACGAATTAAAATGTAATTAATATCATTCTTATATTACATTTACATGCATACATATGTATATATGTGTGTATGTGTTGAATGGGCCTTGCATGAATAATTTACGTGAAAATTTATTGAAATAAATATTACCAAGCTCTAATTATATAACTTTTGACGATTTTACTGGTAAATCAATAATACGTTGAAATTTTTTGTAAACTCGAAAATCTTGTACTTATAATAATTTGAAGGTAATGAATGTTGAGTTTTATGGCATGCTATTGACTGATAATTAAAACAGTGCATACGTTTTTCGGAAGCTGCTGTGAGCATGGTTGATAAAAATGTATTTATAGTGAGAGAGTTTCATTCGAGTTAATTAATTTTGTATGATCTTAAAATGTTTCAGTATTGTTTTTAAACTTTTTAAGTTTTTTTTTTTTTGATTAATCAGGGCTAATTTAGTAATTTTACTCTTTGGTCCTTAGTTTCGAAGCTATGCCTACCTATTAATTGGTCTTGACGTGCGCACACTCCGAGAATCCAACATCGACTCGGATCACTATCTTGTTGCAGCGAGGATACACACACGCCTCTGCGTATCAAAAAACGTCCATCAACAAACACAAGGAAAGTTCGATGTTCAAAAGCTGCAATCACAACAGACTACCGAGCGATTTTGCAATCGGCTTGCACACCTGCTTTCTGAGAGCACTCATCAGCACCTTTGTGTAGGGGAATTGTGGAACGGCATCTGAAGCACACTGCTTATCGCTGCTATGGAAACAATTGGGTTTCGGCAGTAACAGAAAAAAGCGGGTACGATGAGAAATTTCGAAATGCAGTGGAGAGAAAACAGACTGCCTACCTCACAACTCTGCGATCGACCACAACACGGGGTGGAATAGATATCGAGAGCTCAAGAGGGAAGCAAGACGCATTTGCAGACCAAAAAAAAAGAAAAAGGCCGCAATGCGTGAGTATGAAGAGTTTGAGAAGCTGGCCGACAAGGGTAATGCTCGAAAATTTTATGAGAAGATACGGCGACTTACGAAAGGTTACAAGATCGGAAGAAAAATTTAAACCGCTGTATAAACTGACGCTAGAAAATAACAGGAGTGCAGTCAGAATTGTGAAGGATCTCCCCCAGCTGTATTGCGAAAGATTTATGGTCTTTGCGCATTGGCAACGGCGCCCCAGACGATGGAACGATGAGATCTACGAGTTATACGATGATATTGACATAGTTCAGTGAATGAAGAGACAGCGGCTACGCTGGCTATGTCATGTCTTCCGTCGCCGGTGGAACAGGAAAGCCTCCACTCCCGTGGAAGGATCAGGTGGAGAGTAACCTGACCTTACTTGGTATTTCTAACTGGCGCCAACTAGTGCAAAAAAGGGATGAATGTCGCGCTATAATTAATTCGGCTATAATCGCGTAAGCAGTTCCAACGCCAATAAAGAAGAAGAAAAGTAATTGGTATGAAAACGGTGAACGCAATAACTAAATACATATTTATTTTACCTTTGCGGTCCATTTTCGAAGTTCATTAACTTGGCCTACTAAGCACATACGAAAAATTTTCATAAGGAATTTTATTTTTTTATCAGAACGATAATTTTGATTAATCTTAAAAACTAACCTTTTTTTATCTAAAGCACCGCACATTTTAGCGATGGGTTTTAATAATAATACAATTGTATAAAATGCAACATTTTTTTTTGCATATTAGATACATATGCACATATACATACGCTATGTTATTTCTTGTTAAGAACCAAATCTTCATATATTTATCGACAACCAATCGTATTGTTTTGATCTAGTATAAAAGCATATCACAAATACAAAATGCAATTAAATGTACATATAAATATAAATGTAACTGATAATTACGTGTGTTTTGGGTATTATATACATATGCCCATTAATATTATTGTTTACCGAATTTTCAAACGACGAGCTACAGAAAATATGTGGTATCAGAGTTTTTTCTGTTAAAATTGTTTTTATTTGAAGCTTTTATTTAATTTTACTCGAAATAAATTAGTTTAGATTTATAGGATGCGCATTTTCACAGATTTTTCACGCCTTCAATTGTACACATGGATTTTATGTCCTCTCGACAATGCCAAACAGCGTTACTATTTCACATTTTTAACACTTACTATATATTTACTATAAATTATCACATATTTCTTACGCGTTCTCCCTTATCAACGCTCATTTATTTATTGAAATGCTTGTTTTTATCGCATTAATATATAAATAAAAACGGGAAAAGTCGAAAATACATCGAAGAGAAGAGAAAATTTTCACTACAGAATTGCGCGCTGCCAACTATGTAATAAATACTTAACCTGCATTGCCAACAGAAAATTAAAGTAAAGAACGTATATCCCAAGAGCGTTTATTAGTAAAAAGACAAAACGATTGTGAACTGTTCATTGAAAAGCCCTCCAAATATTCTCATACTGAGTTTACACTGATAACATTTTTTGCGGATAAAAAGCAAAGAACGTATATTAATATTAATTAATATACGTTCTTTGTAAAAAGGTTAATGCAAAGAACGTATATTAACAAAGAACGTTTATTAATATACGTTCTTTGTCAGAATCAAAGACTACATACATACAGCTGCGGTCATAATTTTAGTTGAAAAAAAATTATCTAGTTGCTTACCAAAACCAGTTTAATTTCAATGTTTTAGTAGTTAAAAGACTAATTAAAGCTAATTAAAAAAAACTGGAGCAACTTGGTTATAAAAAACAAAAATAACAATGTTTTTACGAAGACCAAAGCTTTTAATCGGTCAAAGTCAAAGCTTTTAATCGGTCAAAATCAGAGTAGTGTTACACGTTATAGGGTATATTTGAAAGCATTTTTTATTTAGGTTGAATTAAATGTTTTTTTTTTTATATCGGCTATCAATTAACTACTAATTATACATTAATTTAGTATTTAGTTGTATAACCATTATTATTAATTATGGCGGCACAGTGACGTGCCAGATTTTAGCACCTTTCAACTGGAATTGAGTTCCAAGCAGTCTTTACGGATTCCCATATTTGCAAATTATTTGTAGGATAAAAGTCAGACACCGATTTCTTTACATCAGCCAACAAATTTTCTATCGGGTTAATGTCAGGAGACTGTGGAGACCATTCCATTAACATTTACTCGGTTGTCTCCAAACCACTTATTTACAAACTTGCTAGTATGTTTCGGAACTCCAAATCAGTTGTATTTCCTCGCTGGCATATGGGAGCATGACCTTCTGCATGATTTGGGCGTGTTGGACAGCATTCATGGTTTCCTTGATGCCATGAAGGGGTCCAACTCCATACCTCGAAAAGCACGCTCTAATCATAATGCTGGATCCACCATGTTTTACCGTTTTAGTGGTTTATTTTGGATTAAGTGCACTGTTGGGGTGACGTCTTACAAACTGTCTTGAACCTTTTAAAACATAACGAAAAAAATTTGACTCGTCAGACCATAAAATGTTACGCCGTTTGGTCAAAGGCCAATTTAAATGGTAATCGTTTCACCACATGTTGTTTAGTTTGTTTGTTCGTTTTCTGGGGCTCCGAGCTGACACATCGTTTTCCCGTAAGCGTCGGCGAAGAGTTTCAACGCTGGCTTTCACATTTAGAGATTTTTTCTTTTGGTGGCAGCCGCAAACCGGTTTGTATTTTATTTTCGCTTCTCTGAACGTTTATACGTTCTTTGACAACAATAATTCTAGCTTAACAAACCAATGCCAAAGAACGTATATTAATATAATATACGTTCTTTGCCAATGTATATAGAAAAAAGAACTTGCGCTTGCAATTTAAATTTATTTCAAATTCATATATCATTATTTAAAAACAAACGGCGACTAAAAATTAAACTGCAATTTTATTTATTTATTCTTGTTCATATATTCGTAACGGTTTACTTTTTTGCTTAAAGCGAGTTTAAAAAATTCAGTTCTATATAAGGTAACGAAAAATATTCGCTTTGATGATAGTTATATCTAAAAAAGAGGGCTTCTAATGAGTACTATATAATGAAGGATGTATGGGGGGGTGTGTTCATGTTCATAAATTTATTTAGAATTTACCAATATAAATTCTAGTGAGATGATATATGTACGTGTATATGTGTTAAATTATGTATGTGAGAGTATGTACTAATGTATGTAAATATGTATGTAATCATACGTCTACATTACTGTAATATATAGATTTCAAGTGCGCTAAATTTTGGCTTGCATTTCGATTTAGTACGGGGTTGTATTCATGTATGTATGTATATATGTATGTAAAGACTATAAATATTATTATTATTGAATCTCATTTTGATATCTGAGCGCATTACAGTTAAATTTTAATATATTAACTCCAATGAAAGTTTAACATAAAGTAATATGATATTTCAATATATCCTCTGTAAAATAATATTAAAATTTATAATAGCAGCAAACTAAAAAAGATTCTACATCATCTTGAACTCTACTTGATGTATCATTTGTTTGTATCATACTACGTGATATTCACAACCCCACCTTCACGCAATCTTATGGTCATTTTATGTACATATGTAGATGTCTATCGTTATACTTAAAATATAAAAAAAAACTTATTGTAAATAATTTAATTTCCAGTACAAATAACGCTGGCTGAACGCAATCCAAGAAAATCATAGTTTAAGCACTCAGACCTCCAGTTGTTTTGTTGCTTGTTGTGCGATAAACGGTTCACTCCACATACGTCGCAAATCGCCCTATTAAGTATATAAATAATTTCAATTCAATTGCTGTTGCGAAAGAATGTACACATTTAATTAAGTTGCTAGTTCCTCAATTTCGAAATTGTTCTGACCATTATATAAATATCTAAAAGGTACAAAACTCGCAAAATTTGTCAGCCTAATTTTACCTTTGTTAGCATTTGAGTTATTAAATTTTTTTTAGATAATTTCATAATGGTTTCTAGTTAGGTGAATAAGAAATATTGAATTAAGAACTATGTTTCAACATTACTACTAAATTTACACAGAACTAAGTTTTTTTTTAGTTTTGAGTATAAGTTTTTTATCACAGTTAAAAATTTTCGATAAATGAAGTGATGTTGATAGTTGATAAGCTATCTTTGGAAAATACAATTTGCATTCTTTTGCTCATTAGGTGATTTGTTTACAAAAACAAATATGTCTATATCGATAGAACATCTCATTAAGAACGAACAGATAAAATTATTTAATATTTTGTACGCATTTACTTTATACTAGTTCTTATTATTATTACCTTAAGGTAGGCCATAGTCAACAACGGCAATAACGTAAACGGCACTAAGTACAACAATGCCGGCTGCGCTGCTTTGAAAACTTCCGAGCTAACGGTAGCGGTTAGTAGACCAAGAAAATAGCTATTGTTGGAAAAATAGAAAATAAATAAATATAAATGCTAAATTGTATTTGGTTTTTGTTTCTTACAATTTACTTTAGTATTTTAAACCATAATTTAACATAACAGATTCGTCTAATGATGCTTTGCACTTACCCCAATAAGGAACAGTGAAAATAGGTAAGCCTCGACCCGACTCCTTTCGGTGGCTGCAACGTTGGATCTGTGGTAATGCCTTGCGATTTTTTGTATGCATCATAGCGTAATACAAAACATAACAGCAATCCCGGCATAACAATATCACCCAAACCCAACATCGAAAAATGCCCGCTATTGTGTATGCTGGGAAAAACCAGCTTACCTGGCAAGTTAAGTTTCGGTGCTTCCTTTACAATGCCGCCCAGGTTTAGTTTTCGCGCTACTATACCCACCGGATTATCAGCAGGTCTTGTAGCCACCTTAACCATGACGTTCGTACTGAAGATATACGATGAAAAGAAAACCCAGAAAACATCGTAGATCAATAGGCCGGTAAGCAAGAGGGTAGATACTTTCAGACTTGGTAGGCGCACAAATGCGATAAATGCCACACATAATCCCATACCCATAGCTGAAAATAACATAAATCATAATACATTTGAAAATAAAAATTTTTTAAAATGTCAATAGCTTACCGTCCATGAGTAGCCAATGGCCGGTGAGTACCCAAATGCATACAATTGACACAGAGAGTGCAAAACTAAATAGTTCAGCTGCTGTAAAACGACCACATATACCAAATGATATGCGATTGCCATCAGTACATGGCCGAATGATGTACTGGCACATGGGCAATAGCAGGAAAGCTAAAGCCACCGTGGCAATAACTATAAAATACGTGAACAATCAATATTAATAGGCATACACTTGTTAGAATATTACTCACTTGCTGTACACACAGCGAACAGCAATTGCATTGAATCGAAAAAGAAAAACATAACCAGCAGTGAGACAGAAGCACCAAGTGGTAAACACAATGCATGCATTGTATCCAATGTGGCAAATTTACCTAAAATGAATATAAAGATCACAAATATTATCATAAATTAAGTAACAAAATTAATTAAATTGGTTAATTGAACACCTACTCGTCTCTTGCTCCACGGGCTCGCCAGTTAAAAGATTCATCGTCGATTCATTACGCTTTTTTTGTTCACGTTCACGTGCCTCTTGTTCAATATTCAAACTACGAAAGCTGCCATAGACGATCAAAAGCATCGATATAAGACATGTAGACACGCGTGAAGAATCCATGACATTCGATGTCCAGTGTATTTCGCGATATTCTGTGGTGGCGGATTGTGCGTTAAGATTGCTGCTATCGACAACTGCTGCCGCTGCTGCCCCTGCTCCCCCGCCTACTATGCCGTGCGACATCGCGTGCCGTAATTGATAACAGTTTGTACGTAGTCGTATGTTTGTGTGCGTTGTGCGCTTGCGCACCAGTGTCTTATAACGGCACACACTCACACACGATCACACACGGATTACGAAGTTAGTTGAGTTTAGAAACACACAGTATACCAAATTTTAAAATAAAATTTGATGTACCACGGTTTTTTTACAGCAAATGCTATGCGAACATACAGTTGAATTGGTCCCTTCTAGTTTTGCTTTCAGCACAGTGATAGGATAGCTTTGTTTGCTTTTTGTGTGCGTCTACTGCCTGCCCACAAAATATCATGTATACAGCCCTGTAGAATTTGACGCTTATTTCTACTGATAGCGAAGCTTTTTGAATACCTGCTAAACAAATAATACTTCTGCTCAATGTGGTATTACCGAAGCCACGATGAGAGAACAGCGCTATTGCACTGGTTGCTTATCAGTACGGCAGGCAGTGACACAGCAAAAGAGTTTAACCTGAGGTATCAGGGCTTTGTGACAATATTGAATGCAGCATTTATTGTGTCAATTCCAATATTACAGCAAATAGAGTGTAGCACTGTTTATTTAGGCCTTGTGTTTGTTTACTGAAATAAAGATATATAATATGACACATTCGTTAAGGTACAAAAATAGTAGAATTCTGTTTTAATAAATGAAAGAAAGTATTCAGACAGATTTGAAATAGTTTATATACATATTTATATGGTTATGAAACAACTTTACTTGAAATTCAAGATTTTTATGAAATATTTATCTAAAAATGTGATCAATTCAATTTTAATTTTTATACTTTTTTAAATGATCCGATATATATTATATATTTACACGGTTGTCAAATTTTTCGACAAACAAAAGGAATTATTTCCTGATCTGTTAACATTTAATATTTACGCGATAAGAAATATTGTGTGGAGACAAGTAAAATACTACTTATTAATTTTACGAGACGTCTTATATAGATGCAAATAAAATACATATATGCACATATATGTATGTACGTGTATGTCTGTATATCCAGATATCATTTTTATATATATGTATATAAATATAAGTTCAAACCTATTTATGATACATTGAGATACATTTAGGTGACTGAACTTTTCATAAACAGACAGTCTAAAAGGTAATTACCCCCAAGCGTCAATAGTAGCTCACCGTTTAATTAAACAGATGCAATGTGATCAGATTTTTCATAGGGAATCGATATCATTTTACTACAAAACGGGCAGTAGAAAACATATATTTTTCATTGTAAGCTTAAAAAAGGACTAATAACTCTATTTAAATATGTCCATGATACATTTCATTCATTTGTATGGAAATAGTGATGAGGGAAATGTTTTCTTTTTCAGATTTGTTCTTAATTTGATTTGCTATCCCTAAATTTACTATCCGAATCAGCAGTCAAGTAGATACTTTACAGTTTCCCAGCAATATGGTTTTAACAGATAGAAAAAAAGTATACTCCAAAGTGGGTTTGGGTATGCTGCGCGGGTGGCAGTACTTGGCCGCATAAAAATCCAGATCGTTTCGGTATAATGGCTCAATTACCGCAGAATAATATATTATAGTTTGTTTTTCTGGTTGGGGCAGCCAGTTTAGTCCTGAAGCAAGTAAAACATCGAACTGATGGTAATGTGTTGTTTCGATAGGTTTGGAACAAGGGGAGATGTGTGATAATAAAGATATAGGTATATTTTGTGGGCATATATTCGTAAAGAAATCAGTATGAAACAATTGTTTATTGAAATGAGATACATACATATGTATAAATAAATATTATTCTAGCATAAAATCTGCTAATAGTGTATCACAGCTGTTTTAATTACAATTTCAAATACACAAATCTTATATACGAGTACACAATAAACACAACATCTTTAGCAAAACAAAAAAGAGAGAAATGTGAACTACAAAGAAATACGTACAAAATATCTACATGCAAAAAAGGAAAGGCAAATCATACTTTCTTTTGCTTCTCTCATTATCTTTTTAATTATAACTGTATTATACATATACAGAAAATCAGAAAATTGTAGATTGAAAAAGTTTTAATAGTGGAAAGTCTTTTCATTTATTGTCTTCTATTTTCAATCTTATTTAAAATTTTATAATAAAGGTTTTTATATGCAACACACATTTGTTGATGTAATGCAACATCGGTTATGAAATTACTTTTTCCATTTGAAATTTGTTTAAGTTTTTCATATTTGTATAATTTTTTACTAACTTTACTAATTTTTTACTAAAATAAATTAGTATAACCTTTTTTTCTTGACGTCAAAGAATACCATTTACGAAGATAATTTCGAAACACTTTTCCTTCAATACTTCAAAGAGTTCAGAGATTTGCAACGAGCCCCACTTCTATACTATAGATTTTAATAAATAAGTTCTTGTTAAAACTTGAATTCTTCGAATATTTTTAGGGCGAATAATTTTAACAATACTTTAATGAATTTTTTCAATTGTGCACATTTGAATTAAGACACATTCCATTGGTTTATTCAATTGGTTTGCTCAACGCACTGCCGCACTATAGTCATTAAACTATGTATTCGTAGTTTTTCATTTTGTTTCAATGTTCATTTTCTTGTTCAATCCAATGATTTGCTTACTATTTTCTATGTTCTGCATATATTTTTCCCTCAATTTCTTCAATCCCTTTATTTATACGTTTTCTTTGCTATCATAGGTTTGTTCACTAACATCTGCATTTTCTGGTAAGGCTGTATGTCATTCGGTATCTTTTTTTCTAATGGTGAGATGAGGTGGAAAAATTTACATGGTATAAAAATATTTAACAATTTGCAAATTTTGACTTAAATAAAATAAAAACTAGAGAGGAAAAAAATATTTTTCTTTATAATTGACGATATTGGTGGATATAAAAATATTACTTTCAATTAATGATTTGCTATTAATTCAGATTTTGAGGGTACGGCCGAGTAGTAATACTTGTGTCAGAATAAATGCTTGTACTAGTTTTTAATTTTATACTAATGTTTCTCAGACGATAGCTTACGTTCACCCGACGGTTTTATAAATAATATTAATATTATTATTATTGTTATTATTATTATTAAAATAAAAATTAATACATTCCTTGCTATATGTTAATATGCACATGTGTTAATTTATGTATTAATAATATTAATATTATTATTATTCATAATAATAACAGTAATAATAATAATAAGTACGTAAAAGTAGCGCCAAAATAATAATATTGTTGCGAAAATGCGAGGCGAATGTCAGATAAAAGAGAGAAGCCGATAACTAGTACGTTCTAGAAACGATAAAACAAGAACCTTCCATAGCGAACAATTCGATGCTTCTACGCTTTCGTCTGCGAGCAGCCGACTGCTATATAAAGGCGACACTCAGCTGCAAGTCAAGCAGTGACAAAGCAAATTGGTTGGCGTTAACATCAGTGAAGACGTAAAGTGAACGCGTTGGGAATTACATTTAAGTAGAGGAAATTGTGAAAGTTGATGTTAGTGATTATAAATAGTAAAGTGCAGTATAATTGAATTGTGAATTACGGAGTAAATAAAGGACATTAGATAAATTCTTTATAACGAAAGAAACTGCAAATTAAGTTGGCGAGTTTTTATTTAACAATCCAGAGATCGTACCCGAAGGATTTAGAAAATCATCGAGGTTGATTTAGTAAAATCGTAACAGTATGATTCCTCATCGCATGTAAATGTAAAATTCTCACGTTTGTAGTCACCACGAAAAATGTCAGAATTTTATTATTGGCTGTCAAAATTTATAATTTTCTACCGATTGGCAAAAATCCTAAGTAGAGCCTAAGTATATTATAATATCATGACAACACAATTTTGAATCAATTGAAATTAAAAGGTACAATGTACAGATGGTTAAATAAAAAATTATTCAAAATTTGAGAATAGAATCTAAAGTTTAAAAAGCTTTTAACACTTTCAGTAGATTTTGATTGCGGTGTTGCAATTAATCCAACATAATTGAGGTTTTTTTGGTCGAATAATCTATGTCAAGGTTTTCATAATACAAAGTAATACTGCACATTATATTAATGTTTCTTGCAGTGATTCATTGTCGTATCCTTCACATAGATTCATAAAAATTGATCAAACAATATAGTTATATTTTTTATATTTATTAATTAATTTACAAATGTATACTAAAATTTTAACTTTATATCTTTCTACAAATATACATATACATATATGAATTTATTATTATTAGGTTTTTTAAATTTTTACTTTGATTATATTTTATGCATGCATGCATGCACTATAAATTAAAATGTGAAGATAAAAAAAATAATATATTTCCTTCTAAATTTTAAAAAATTTTGGAGATCTAAGCAGCAAGCTCTTTCAGTACTTGTGCTGCTATGACAAGACGTTGAATTTCGGAAGTGCCTTCGTATATCTCTGTTATACGGGCGTCACGATAATAGCGTTCAGCCGCCATATCAGTAACGTATCCCATACCGCCTAGGATTTGAATGCATTGATGAGCGCAGAACGTGGCAGCTTCTGATGCTGCTAATTTAGCCATTGCTGCTTCTTTTGTGTAAGATTTGCCATTATCCTTTAGAAATGATGCACGCCAGGTTAGTAAACGAGCAGATTCTATTCTTAATGCCATATCAGCTATTTTTTGTTGAATAATTTGTAATTTAGATATTGGATTACCAAAGGAGTTTCGGTTTTGTGCGTAGTCTATAGCCAGCTCTAGTGAAGCTTGAGCAATGCCTAGTGCTTGACCAGCAATACCTATACGTCCGGCATCCAATGTTTGCATAGCAATCTTAAAACCATTGCCTGGTTTTCCTAAAATATTTTCTTTGGGGATTTCACAGTCTTCAAATATTAATTGATTAGTAGAGCTGGCCCGAATACCCAGTTTATCTTCTCCTTTACCGACTGAAAAACCTTTTATACCCTTAGGTACGATAAATGCTGATATACCTTTATGTTTGAGAGATTTATCAGTAGTTGCAAAAACTATAGCAGCGCCAGCTTGATAACCATTGGTAATCCACATTTTCGTACCATTTATTATGTAACGATCATCTTTTTCTATTGCCGTTGTAGATGCAGCACCTGCATCAGACCCATTTCCAGGTTCTGACAAAGCAAAACAGCCGATCTTGTCACCACCTGTATAAGGTGTGAGCCATTTATCTTTCTGCTCTTTGGTTCCATATGCAAGAATGGGTCCTAAGTATAGTGAATTATTCACAGACATTATTACTCCAGACGAAGCGCATCCCCTTGATATTTCTTCCATCGCAATGCTATAAGCCAGATAATCCAAGCCGGTGCCACCTGCCAGGAAATATAAAATGGAATTTAAATTCCAGTTCAGGTTTTAGTGCAATAATTCTTATACTAACCGAGTTCTTCAGGAATTGGTACAGCCATTAAGCCAAGTTTACCCATTTCTAAAATTTGACTTTCAGGATATAAATGTTCACGATCATGTTTTGCTGCTTTGGGCACTAATTCAGCATCCGCAAAGTCCCTACATGTCTTCTGCAACATTTGATGAGTTTCTGACAAAGCGGATAAGCAAGCAATTTGTCGAATATTGACACGGTTTTGTATTATACCACAACGCCCTGTGTTAAATCAAATAAACATCCATACATATCCACACAACAAGAAATGAGAATCAAAGTTCAATTACATCGTTACAAACAGTTTTATTTATATTATATTTACCCAAAAATTTTGTAGCTGCGTTGAGGAGTGATTGCATTTTGAAAACGAATTAGAAAGTGAACCTAAACCTTAAAGACTGAAAATTAGAATATCAACAAGTGAATGGCCTTTCCTGCCTATAAATTTAAATATGAATATGCACATACCAAATGCAAAGTAAAACAAACAAACAAAAAATAAGCAAAGCGATATATTAATATTGGTGGTGAATCGATAGAAATAATCGATTTTAATGTTAAAATATATTGCCCGCTAGAAATAGTTTACTTTACGGCTTTTCTCGGTATCGTGAAATAAATTGTTCGTCCTCTCAATTACGAATGCGATTTACCTATAGCGCGCAATTTGACAATTTTCGGTTTCGCTTATTTATTCCTTTTGAAAACGCATGGAAAATGTAAGATTTTAGTAGAAGTTAACAAAACCTAGAATTGAATTGGTAACATAGCGCCAGTTTCTTAAATAATTTCTCATTCATTACCCACTTTTAATGTAATGCGCACACGAAAATTTGTATGGTCAATTAAATAATTCGGCATGTATTTGGAGTGCGAATTAGATTGTGAGGACGAAGCACGTAATTGGGTTGTAGTGGAAATGCCGTATTATTTCTTTCGTCGATTCTGGCAGTCCACACGCCTGTTCGCAATCGATCCATCTCGTCGCACATACCAATTGCCCTTTATTTACGTTAGATATCCAAATATTAGTTAATTAATTTCGAGCAAAGACAACATTGAAAGTGTATATTGTACATTGATCAAAAACTTCCAGAATACAACACAATTGTTTTAAACCTTAAAAAGATGCGATTAAACGAAAACACAAAAATTGTTGGGAAGAAAGTAATTTTAGTGCCATATTGTGCATCACATGTTAAAAAATATCACGAATGGATGAAGTCACCAGAATTACAAGAGTTAACAGCATCAGAGCCTTTGACACTTGAAGAGGAATATGAAATGCAACGAAGCTGGCGTGAAGACGAGGATAAATGTACATTTTTGGTCTTATGTCGAGCAACGTATGAAAAAAATAACGATGAAATAGATGCGTTGGTGGGAGATACAAATCTATTTCTCAGAGTGAATGATGACGAAGAAAATGGTTGCTTACCAGTGGCTGAAGCTGAGATAATGATAGCGGAACCGAACGCGCGTGGTAAAGGTTACGGATGGGAAGCTATGCTTATGCTGTTGAAATATGCCCAGATAAATTTGGGTATTAAAAAATTTGAGGCGAAAATTGGAACAAAAAACGAAAAATCTCTCCAAATGTTCAATAAAATGAAATTCAAAGAAATATCACGGTCAGCGGTATTCGATGAAGTCACCTTAATGCGCTTCGTCGATGAAGATTGGGTCAAATGGCTAGACGAGCAGGTGGTATTGCAATTTGAAAATTACAAATGCGAAGATTTATCTAGTTAGCAACAATAATTATTTATTATAGCACCATTCGTTATTGAAATAAACGTAATGTAATGTATATGCGCGAGGGTCGAGTGATTATGTTAGTCAGAAAGTGGATTTGTTTTAAAAAACTCAATTTGCAGTTTCTCAAATAGAATGTTATAGTATCTGTGCTCTTGATTTTGACCTATAATTATTTTAAAGAGCTTTGTAGAATGTATTTAGAATTTTTGTCAGGGTAATTATGTTGTTATCGCGCATCCGATATACGGTGGAATTAACGTTAATTTATCTTAGTTCCAACTGATACTTTGAATGAATGAAATTCATTTGGATTGAAAATTTAAACAATATTTGTAATTTATTTCTTTTTCGATTAATCACAAAGGTCTAAACATATATTAAACATTCAAAGAATGTTAAAAGATAAAGGCAAAGCTGACAATATTAACTATTGCGATAAAAGGATATTAAAATTAATTATTTTAAAACTTATGGAGTCTTTTATCATTATTTGTTTAACTGTATTAAAAAGAAAATAAATAATATCGAACTAAAATCAATAAGATTTTAAATTGGTTTATATAATGAAGATTATCTTGCAAATACAAACATGCGTCATGTATGTGTCGTATAATCGTACCCTCTTACTTTTGATACAAAATTCAATCGTTTTGTGTTCTTCTGGCGTTAATTTAACAAAGTTCGATATGCCAACTCCACTAATTTAGTATTTTTTACTTTCTCTTTAATTGTGATGAACTGAGCTGAATTAAATTATGTGTTGAACTCCTTTTTTTTTTAAATGTGTGTACGTATCATACATTAGTTTTATATATGAATCTGAGTAATCAAAAACTTGCATTAAGCCATCGCCCGCGGACCATCAATTGGCATTGCGTGTAGCACTTCGTCCAGCAGTTGTAGAGCTCGGTGCAAGTGCACCTCTATCCAACATGGTGTCTCCTTAATCGATTGTCGTGGATAATCAGGTCCCCAGCCTTTGACAAAACTCAAACGCAAAATACACAGGCGACGTAAGTCATCAACACCGATTCCAGCAGCTGCTGTAATATCTGCAAAAAAAAAAATTACAAAGTAACACTTATCGAAATGTCAACGTTGGGATTTGACTCACTTCGTGGTGGTCCGCCCATTTGCGAGCTTGGTAGTCCAGCAACAGCAGCTGCTTGTGCGGCTGCTGCTGCTTGTGCATTTGTGGCCAATGAATGCATTTGTTGATGGCACTGACGCAGATCAAAAACCTTTAAATATATTTACATATATGAATAATACATATATAGATTTTAAGACAATTATTCCTATTTTTGTTTAAAATCTTCTAAACTTACTTTAATGCACGCAACTGGATAAATTTTATGTACAGCATCGCCTGGTGTACGACCTGCTTCACGATCCAGATAGTAACTTTGTACAAATACCGAATGGTCGCTGAGGCAACGCAGCCAGACATCGCCCTCGCCTCGTAGGTCCAATTGAACTCCTTTGCCAATATGCAACCTGCAAATGTAAAAGGATTATGGTGTGCATATAATTTAATCTATATCTATATTTTCATGGAACTTACCTAGCACGCTCTGATTGTTCCGTACGATGTACATTACTAAGAGCTCCCAAACAAAAGCGATTACCCCCGGATGGGTCAACATAGCCGTCGATAATAACATTTGGCTTCGCAGATGGTACTTTAAACGTTTCCCCTACTTGTGTATCCAATTCAAAATATGCAATGGAACACCAATATTCTGGTGCTGGCTGGCGGGACAACATGCGTGGTTGTTGTTGTTGTTGCTGATTTCCACTTATATCGCCACTCAATGGGGCATTCCCTTTGTAAAAAGTAAGACATACGTAAACATATACATCCTAAACATTTAGTAAATAGCTTTTGTTCTTACAATAACCAGTGGGATGAGTGCGTGGATCGGGGGGTTGCATGGATTGCGTGTAGGTTAACGTGCTGGATCCTGTCCAAGTACCGCCGGCACCTACTGTACCACCAGACACTCCTTGTCCACCTGAATTTGCTTGTACAGCGGATTGCACACTGCTACCACCAGCATTACCGCCACTAGTTACTTGTTGTCCATAGTTTGAAGGCGCACCGCCACCTGTTACATAACCATTCTGTTGTAGATGTGGAGAATGCGGTTGCTGTAAGCCACCACCCGGCCCGGCACTATTCAATGCAGCATTGAATTTGGCCTCTGCTACATTGGGCATTTGTGATGTTGTTGGTGGCCCATAGTAGGTGCCTTGATTTGATCCTGGTGCACCTGATCCACCACTAACGTTGACTCCGACACCGACTGCATTGCCGCCGGCACCTGCCGAATTCTGGGTCTGTTGTAATCCATCATTTGGAGAACTCGTTTGAGAGTGATGACCAGCTCCAGCTAAAATGTTGCCATTCGGAGCGTTGCCCTGTTGAGTCTGCATTTGTGGCGGGGGAGGTGGACCCATTACTGGGCCACCGGGGTTCATGGGTCCAGTCAGTGACATACCATGCGGTACAGCTATTTAATATATGAGAGGCAAAAGAGATAAATAATATTAAAAGAATTTTTTTGTTTAATTGCTGTTGTAAACAGACTAAACTACATTCTATAAATGAAAATAATAAAAATGTTTAGGATATAAAAAAATATAATTAACTAAAAATAATATCCAAGAAATTAAATAAATATAAAAAAAAATTGCAACAGCTTACAAAGCGGGTGTTGGGATACTTGAGTCACACGCTGCTGCTGTTGCTGTTGTTGCTGTTGCTGCTGTTGCTGGTGTGACTGCTGCGATGACTGTTGTGGTTGTTGTGGCTGCGTTTGTGGCAATGGTTGTGACTGCCCCAACCGTGGTGGCGGTGGAACCATCCAAGCACCACGAGGCATACCGCTACCATCGCCAGGCTCAATTTTTGGTATTGTGCGACCCGCAACGTACATAGAACTCATTACATGGTTAGAATCGGCAACTAAAATTTTCGATTTACAAAAATGAAAACAAAATGATACATAATATAAAAAGAAATGTGACAACTAATTCTAAATCTCCCAAAGGCAAATAATAACGCAAAATTTAACTATGTTTAAGTGTGAATCAACTCATACCTGCCGCCTGTGGATATCCATAGCCCGGACCAACTAACTGTGAAGGATGATGCTGTATAGTTCCGATGTCGTTGCCATCAATATCCATCCCGCCTACTAACGGACCAGCCGAGTATTCATCTTTTACAAGCCGACTTGGCCCAGACTGCAAGCTGAGTCCAGACAAATCAATGCCTGGTGAAACAACACGCTCATAGTGATACGGATTAACGCATACCGAATCGCATTTGAGATCAAAAGCGTAAGCACAATATTTAACGTGCTTTAGTTCGTTTTTGTGTAAGTCTGGCCATCGCCATATTCGTGCATATATGACATGAGGAAAGCCCTTGCGTCCAGCAACCTAAAAGATGCAGGTATTGAAGGATACGAATAGCAAGAAAAGATTATTTAAAAATAGTGCGTTTTATTTTAAACATATTTGAACAGGCAGGAAAAACTTTTGAAATCAACTCATACTATATTCTATACATGCAGATATCCTACTCTAAACTTTAATTTGTATGATTATTATTATTTATATATATATAAATGCTGTACTATTCTTATTCTTTTAAATAAAATTAGATTAAAATTTTTTAAAGAAAAGTTAAACTATGGTTTGTTTTGCCAATTTGTTGTGTGATAACCTGGTATGAAACCAACTGGTATGTGACAATTATAGAAAGCACTAAAATAGGAGTTTACCTGCAATCGACCGTCCAGAGTTCGCTGTATCGTCACGCACTTGCTTGGATGTGCACCATTTGTGGTTATCGCTGTTATGAGAGAATCCAACTCATCTCGCTTTTCCTTTAATTTTTTCACCAGCGATTCAATAGCTCGTTTTGCAAAACCTTCACTTTCACCACCTTGCCGATGACACATGAGTGAGTGAACAATGCTAAGGCAGGCATCAGCTGATGTGGGAGCGTTTGATGGTGGTGGCATTTGTACCATTAATGCTGAAATTAGGTGTTAAAAATTAAATATTGACTATTTAAGAGGTATGTTCACATACGTACATACATATGCATGAATTTATCGATTACATTTATACATATACAAATGTATGTAAAAAATGTAATGCATAATTAACTTACTGTCTTGTGGCGGCACTGGCCCATACAAATGACCTGCACCTCCTGCACCACCACCACCTGGCAAGCCCACCATGCCTGTATAGTCCTGGGGAACCCCCAGACTTCCCCGAGCATCCACTTTGCCGGCGTTCGGGCTGTCGCCGTCACAAAAAGCAAATCCGGATGACGACCACAAATTGGCGGATATTTTTAGGCGGATACTAAGCCGCCAACCAATTCAAAAAGAAAATAAGTGCTGCAAGAACTTCAGCGTAATATAATAAACCAAAAGTAGACCTTAATCGAAATAGTTCCTTAAGCTCTCTTGATTATTATAAAATAATACAAATAAACGCTTCCCGTACACTGTTTGTCCTTCATTATCCACCTTGGGTGGACGATGTATAAACTCAGTTTGTGTGTTAATTTTATTAAAAACGAACAAAATATGTAACTCCGAAAAACTTTTGCTTTTATCACTCGCTGTTTAATTAAATTATGAATTCTTATTTAATTTTTTGTAAATAGTTTTACTTAGTAGCTCCATCCACAACCGATCATAGCAGAAAATTTTTTCACCTCCTTTGGTATTCTTTTATATTTTACTTTTCTTTACGCACACATTCATATACCGCAATTCTATTTTTACGCACAATTGAACGCCGCACAGCTTGTGGTCAAACGTTAACAACGCCCGCCTTGCGGCTTACTTTATTTTTGCAACTTTATATATTAATTATTTTTCTCGCTTTTCAACTTTTCCGCGATTCCAAACAAATTTCTTTGTTCATTCTCGGTAGTGTCGCAGTTCGTCCGTCCCCGCACTCCACATAAATCACTCATACCCAAATCCACAAAAATTACACTAATTAGATACAATTTTCCCCGAAATAAAGCATTCTTTTGAGATATTTCTTAACAAATACCAATCACAAGCGACTACGATGTATGTATTATGCAGAAGTATATTCAATTTTCCTCATATATATGATTATTTTTGTGTTTATTTTAGCGTGCAGTAGAAATTTGCTGCAATTTTCTTCATGAAGAAAATAAATATGGCGCCAGTACACTTTCTATAGATTTTTTGCCTTTCGTGACCGTCTAATTTTGGGAAACATACGGAAAGTAGTTAGCTATATTTACTTCTCAGCTGTGAACATGCGAATCAGATGAGAAGTAAGACGACTAAATTATATTTGCCGTGATGTGTCAGATTTTATGTATCAATTTTTGTTAAATATAGTTGATAGTGCGAACCAAAATTGTTAAAAAAGCATAATTCCGAGAGAAAATATGTTCAGCGACTAACTTTCAATAGTGTTGTATTAGCAAAATGAAGCACTCTACTTCACCAACACCGTCACTGGCTGGCTCTAGCTATGCACCGTCATATACAACATCCCGCGGCCAATCGCCTCTACCACCACCAGCAAATCACACAAGAAATTGCCTATCAGCTACGGGTAAAAGCTACAAATATCTAAGACGGCTACTAAAATTCAACCAAATGGATTTTGAATTTGCTGTGTGGCAAATGATTTACCTGTTTATAGCACCACAAAAAGTCTATAGAAACTTTAATTACAGGAAGCGTGAGTTATACTTATCATAAATCTATACTAAAGTTATTAATAATTTTTATTCAATCAGAAACTAAATCACAATTCGCCCGAGATGATCCTGCTTTTCTAGTTTTACTTGTGGTTTGCCTATGTGGTAAGATCTTAAATTGCAAAAAAAAGGGAAATTATATTATTTTACAAGTTCCCAAATCTTTAAAACAGTGACTTCTGTGGTGCTTGCTTGGACAATGGGATTAAATTTTTTGCAGAGTATTTCATTCATACTATATGTGGTCTTTGTAGACTGCATATTCGCAGGCGTTGTTGTTGCTTCATTTTTTTGGCTCGTAACAAACCGCTACTTGCGGAGTAGCAATCTGGAACCTGATATTGAATGGGGCTACGCTTTTGATGTTCATTTAAATGCATTCTTTCCTCCCTTAATACTGCTTCATTTTGTTCAACTTTTTTTCTATGATTGGATTATAAGCCAACCTTGGTTTTTCTCACGACTGTTAGGAAACACATTCTGGCTGTTTGCATTAGGTTATTACGTGTATATAACATTCTTAGGATATAACTGTAAGTCTTCAAATATATGTAATGAAATCAACATAAATATAAATACAATATTTTTCTTTAGGTATACCACATCTGAAGAATACGCGGCTGATTCTTTTACCTTTACCAATAATATTTCTGTTCTATCTGGTAACTGTGATCATTGGTTGGAATGTTACTATTTCTTTTATTAATTTTTATAAGTTTCGAGTATACTAATGGTTTTAATAATAAGTTATTCATAAATAAATTATTAATACATATACACAAGCATAGACATTATTTTAATGTTATGAAATCCTAACGAACTTAAAAAAAAACCTTTTTCTTGGTAAGAAGGACAGGTTTATTAAATATATTTATATAAACAACTATTGTACATTTTAGTAGATCTATGCCAATTTGGTTGGCTTAACAAATGAACGTTTACGTTTGTTTCGTTTTCTTTGTATTTCTAAATTGTGCAATTGGGAGTGTACTTCTGCATAAATTTCCTTTTGTTCTTCTTCGGGGATTGTAGCTCGATATTGCTTCATCATATCGTACTTCTCCCACGGCTTTTCATGAGCAATTGCCTGTCGACGTTGTTTATCAGTTATATACTGATCTACATTTACTACGCCTTGTAAATTCTGTCGTTCCCAACGTTCTAACCATGGACGCGGACGTAAAACTACTTTGATGTCGTTTATGGGTACTACCGCATTTTCATCTAAAAATTCGGGTTCCATATTCAAATCAACAGTGCTGTATTCTGGAAGTGCATCACGTAAATATAACAAGTGATCGTCCAAACGTTTTTCTAAGCGAAGAACTTCAATCTTTTGTATAGTTGGGTCATATAATTCATATCGTACTTCAACGCCTTGATGGTCAATGATGTTGCGTAATATAAAACGGGTGCGGAGGCCACAACGGTCACGATGTATGCATATGCCTAATATTTTAAATTTATTTTAATACAAGAACAACGAGTTAATAGGTAATATAATATACAAATGTGAGTGCATTTACCTACGAATCGACTAACTTTTCCAGCTGCATGCGGATCAGAGCTTGTCACTGCCAATATCGAACCAACATAGAACTCTGGTATGTCTATCTTTGTGCGGCGATCAAGCATATCCATGCGTTCGAGTTTTTCGCGAACTGGATTACGCCATTCCACTTTTGGGTCCGGCAAAAACTCTGGATAAATAAAACGATAATTCTGGGGTATCACTGATTTACGACCATCGGAGGTTCCAGTAGGAGTATGTGCACTTGGTATGTGCTTTTGGTGAGAAGCTGTTATTTCCTTCGCGTGTGCTTTGGTGGAAAATGTGACTGCATAACAGATTAATGATAGTTACATATACTGTAAATATTTCGACACTTCTGTACGTACCTATTCGCTTAAAACCGTTTCCTTTCAACCAGCTAGCTGATAATACTCCTCTCGTAGCATTCATTTTAGTTATTGTTGATTAATTTTCTCTTAATATTACCTATCATCCGTTGTATTAGTTGCAGCTGTAATTAACCTAACAATCAGAAGCAATAAATTGTCAAATGTCAGCTGTTTGCTTTGCGTACTACGAAATACCAACGTAGAGTTAAATGCAGTTATGGAAAAATAACATTTAATTATGAAAGTCAATAACATTATTATTGTTTTTATGATAAGCATTATAAATAAATAATGCTCCAATAAACTTGAAATTTATAAATCTTTACTTACATACACATCATTTGAAAAATGGGCTATTAAATTTGAGAGTTCCGTATCTGGCATCCATAAAGTTACCTATTTTCTTTACTAAGGTTGGCAGCGCGTCCCTGAAGATGTGTTAGTAAAAAGTAATTGTGGTTGTGTGGACTGCATACAAAGAATTGATTTTTAAAGTTTCTGTAAACAAAAATTAAAAAAGAAATTTATAGTTTCATTCCTCCAAAGTTTTTTTAAGTTATATATGATTGTTACAAATGTTGGCAATATGCTAAACTGCTGAATGTGAAATGCAACCGCTACATGATGCCTATTTACACGTATAGGAATACATGTGCGTGTAATACATTTGTGTGCGTTTATAAAATCTTGATGAAAGTATATAAAGAGCCTCATTTCGTCAACAGATTCCGCTTCGACTTGTGGTGTGCGAAGCCTTTTCTAGCATATATACTATGTTCATGCTGGATGTAATATAGATTGAAAAACCATGCGCAAGGATAATATGCATTGAAACTGACTAAAATCTTGTGTGGGTCGGTGGATATTCAAAAAGTGGGAGACGACGATAACACACGTGTTTGTGACATTTCGGAATTCACGTTAGTGGAAGCGAGATAGCCAGTCCAGAAGAAAAGTAGAAACTGTCAAAACAGGCGGTATTTGCGACAATCGTGGAAATTTCTTTGCACGACTTTAGACGAATCATTCGAAAAGTGATTATTTTATAGGAACGTTCGCTGAAACCATTACGTTCGGTGATGTTTCATTTGTATTTAAATTAAATATTCACTTTAGTTATAAACATTGTGACGAAACAGCTGTTTATACTTAAAAAACTATATGATCTACGTGAAGCGCTTTTGCCCACATATATGTATAAATCATTTAGGCGTTTTTGCGATCTAATAATTGTGCCCTCGTGACATTCGGGCTGTGCTTAACCATCACCAAAATTGTCTTTACTTGTTACCACTTTTCAAATCATCAACGTCGCTATCAACCGTGTTTACTTATCAAGCGTTCGCTTTGAACATTTGTTTCAATTTGGTTGATCTCTTAAAAAATTAAAAGCCTCAAACTGGCGGAAAAGAAGCCCACGTTGACTCTATGTCAGACATCTGTGGTAAGTATCAACATAGCTAAATAGATTTTTATTGTGAGGTTCTATAGTCAGTCCGTTCCAAATTGGTATAACTTGCTAAACTGAATCGAAAGTACTCATGTCCTTGTTAATGGGTTGATAAGCATTGTTTCAATGCATTTTTTTTGTTTACAAACATATGCTTGTATAGTTATATGTATATGCCTACCTATACAGGGAATATTATATGCATACATATGCTGCTTTTGTTGTAGCCACAAAAATATTTCCCGAAGTGGTTTTCGGGCAATGTTGCGGTAATGACAGTCCTTCTCAGATAAAAATGCGGGTCCTTTCGGTATAAAGACTCGACTCTTACGACAGGTATGCCTTAACGTGGGTAAATTTTCCCTACCCGGCATTTTAAAAGATTATGACTCTGGTGCCGAAAATCTGTTTAGTACTGAGGAAATTGTATATGGCAAAAGGTGTCTATGAACCGCGTAATTATCTCTGCACAAACTAAAAAGGAAATGGAAGACTAAAATAAAATAGGTGTCCAGCGTTTGTGTTTTAATTAAAATGCGTAGACTTTTTTATAATTATTTTTTTTTTTCCATCTTTGCACATACATTCTTATGAGACAAATGACGCGAAAACCTTTTATTATTTAAAATGTTACATTTAACGAAAAAGAAGTTTATGCTTTATGCAATTAAATTTTGAATTGAATACGTAAAAATGTTTATTTAGTCAGGATTTTTGCATACTTGAACTTGTATGCAGCTATGTATAGTAAGAAAAGTAAAATGCCTTAAACACATATGTATGTGAATGTACAAATACGCATTTACTGCAAAGCCACTTTCACTTTTATTTGGTGGCTCAGTACTTTGCTCTTTGTTTGATAGGCACCTTCATTTATGGAAACGCCTTCATATGTTTGTAAGTGTTAATATAATTATACTCACATATGTATACCAGTCAAACTGTGTACACTTGTTTGGAATAACGTAATGAGTTTTTGATTAATTTTTACGTATTTTTTATTAATCACTATTATTTATTCTATTGTTACATCTAATAGCTGAAAGTATATTACGCTGTCATTGAAGATGTGATTTCAAACGTGCGCGACGCCTTCCTCGATGAGGGTGTCGATGAACAGGTTCTACAAGAGATGAAACAAAATTGGCGTGCAAAACTAATGGCAAGCAAAGCGGTGGAAATTAATCCAGAACCAGCAGAGCCACAACCGCCACCGATTGTGGCCAATAATCCAAAGGTGAGGTGTTTTCGTAACGTGTGCAATATATTTATTTAATACATACATATATGTAAACACACCGGTCAATTGCTCTTAGTTTGTTGGAAAGAGGGGAGACAATCGTTGATTTGTTTTTTGCTTGGTCAAAGCGATATATATTCTTAGATTTATCTAAAGATTTTAAATAAATACTTGAGAATTTAAGAAATTTAAAATTTAAAAGTAAATAAAGCAGATCAAAAGACAAATTACCGTGCGTAAATTCAGTCTCATGATTTTAATTATTAATATAGAGACTTTTGAGTAACTATATATGTATAATTAAATCAAATATCAATATTAGAACACAAAAATAATACATGTACAAATTTAATTCCTCGTGTTTTTTGCTGAACCATCATATCTCACATATTGATAATAATATTTACATTTTTTATCGCAACCTAAAAACAAAATCAACTCTGAATAAATCTTTAATTTTAACATATCCGCCTATATACTCGTATTATGCTACGATATTTATTTGAATAAAGTTTTTACTGCCAAAAATAAATGAAAATAAATACGATTATATTAACAACAAAAAAAATATATGTATATTTATATTTATATATATTTTTGCAACACCTTATATTGGATGCTACCAAACTGATTCACTTGATGTAAACTTACACTCGCGTAGCCATCAAAGGTAATTAAGCTATATATTATTTTTACATACCTACGGATATGTGAAAAATATGTAATGATTTCTATATAAAAACTTATTTAATATAATTTCTTCAAGTTCTATTAGATACATAAATGTTAGCCCATATTTATCTTTCCATAGTTAATTTTAATGGCTGTACATACAGACATACATATCGTCGCTGTTATGAAAAGACAGAGTTAGTGATATTATAATTTTTTATTACGGTGTTATTAGTTTAACGTATATTTTTTTAGTAAATTCATTTGAGCTAAAATATTTTAAAACACTTATACATTTACGTATATTATATATATATGTATTTATATACATACATATATAATATAAAGTTATTTTCATCCGAACTCCTCCTCCAATTTATGTTGCGCGTCTTAATGTTTTTCAAACAATTGAAAGGTCCTAAAATTTATTGAGAGCCGCTTCCGAATGGTTGATAATTTTTTTTTTTTGAGTAGTTGTGTTTCATGCCACAGATACAAACGGACCGTAATTAGAAAATTTTGTATCATTTTGGATTTTAATTTGGCCGGCTTGGTTGTTTTTGATAAACACTGTTAATCACTCGGATAATGCGGAGGCAAAAAATATACTGAAGTTTAGAAAAGCAAGTAAATTAGAGTAAATGAGTACATTATGCTTATACTCATGTTAATGTGTTGACATACATATTTACAAACGTAGACCGCATCTCTGTTCACTAGAGTTAATTTTTTTTCATTAAAACTTTCCATTTTTTTTTACTCAATTGGTATTGGACTAGATAGCGATTCTCTTTGAATAATTTTTTAATGTGCTGATAAGCTAAACTCAGCGGCGATGAGTATATGTTGATATTATTTGTAACATTATCGAAATCCTAAATTCTCTCTTTCTATTTTGTTTATCATATCAATAAAGAAAATTAAGTAAAACTTTGTCTTTAAATCAATGATTATAGGCCGCTGCTGCCAAAGCTAAAAAGGCAGCTGCTGCGGCTGCTGCTGCGGCTGCAGCTCAACAAAACAGTAATAATGCATCAAGCAGTGGCAACAATGCTTCTAGCTCAAATGCGTCCAATTCTCAACTACAATCGAATTTAGCGAATGGTTCGGGTGTCTCTACTTCCGGAGGCCCAACAACATCGACGGCAGCCAATAGTTCAGCCGGAGTGAATGGCGGTATCAAGCAAGAGCTAGGAAAGTCAATAACAGCGACAAACTTACAAAAATCCAATATAATTGGCAATGCGACATCAAACACTGCACCAATGGCAACAACCTCTGGGATCGGAGGAGGTGTTGGTGGACCACAGCAACAGACAACAAATTCAGCCATACCGATTGTTGCTACACTTGATCCAAATCGTATTATGCCTGTAAATGTGAGTACATAGTATAGTATAGTATAGTATGTAAATTAGTATATGATTTATAAATACATACATATTTAAACGTATTGTATATATGTTCTATTAAAGATTACATTACCTGCTCAAACTGGGTCCATGAGTACGGAATCTCGTGTATTAACTATACATGTTCCAGCATCGGCACTTCAGGATAACCAATTGACACAAATATTGACAGCGCACTTAATTTCGTCCATCATGTCACTGCCAACAACGCTGGCGTCTTCGGTGCTGCAGCAACACGTGAATGCAGCTCTCATCAATAGTAACATGCAAAGTAAGTACACATGCATACATAACCTATTCATATACATATTTGTTATTGGTATGCACCTTAATGTTTATAAAACAAATAGAGTGACCTACAATTCATACTAAGCCACCTTTGACTGTTTGATGGATTTTGATTGGGAGCTTTTATTTTCTGTAAGAAATACATACTGACGGAGTAACCCTTCCCGCTGTGGGGGCAATATATAGAAAGATGATCGATGACCGACCGCTTTTTGGAAAGCGTGAATACTTTCTTCAGTGATGCTTTTCCAGATATTAAGTGTACAAACCATTACATACCATTAAAAGCATTCAAAATCATACCGAGCATAATGGAATTTTTATAATATAAACATGAAAATAATTTCGTACTAAAATTTAACGGAACTGAATCTTTCTTTTTTTAAATCGTTCTGAGGTCCTCGTAAGAAATGAATTTCAAGTAAATGGTATCATAAATACGAAAATCTAAGCAATAAGATAATTTTTTTTAGCAAATTTCAAGCATAATCAAATTATAAATATGAGTTTTTCGAGCAGATCAATCCTTTTCGATTTCGCGGCATGAAAAATAGTTTACGTTCTAATCACAGACCTACTGAATGTACATACAAAATGTATGTATATACCTAGTTAACTAAAAAAAGGAAGCTTAAATACATAAAATAAAAGTTCAATTAAATAAATTTATTACATCCACACATATGTACTATTTTTTTATAGAAAATTTCAATTCTTCGAAGCAGTTAGACGGCGCATTAGATACTTCGGATGAAGATGAAAGCGAGGAAAGTGATGATAATATGGATAACGATGATGATGATGATCTTGATAAAGACGATGATGAAGACGCAGAAAATGAAGGTGGTGCTGAAGAGGAACCACTCAATAGTGACGACGATGTGACAGACGAAGATGCCAGCGATGTATTTGAAACAGATAACGTTATCGTTTGTCAATATGATAAGGTAAAGCATCTAAGTTTGTTTATATTTACTTACATCCATGAGAATTCACTTTCTATTTTTAGATAACTCGATCGCGCAATAAATGGAAGTTTTATCTTAAGGATGGTATCATGAATATTGGTGGCAAAGATTACGTTTTTCAAAAGTCAAATGGTGATGCTGAGTGGTAAAGGAGATTCATCTTAAATTTATTCGCGAACACGAAACTCATTTTTACCATGAGAAATTTGTTCATTTCAAAAAGACAAACATTTTCTGTTATTCTAATAACTGTGACTCTAGGCTATTTCATATAAAATTTGCTTTGCCTCACTTGACAGTTTGAATTTTTAGATTAAAGTGAATTAAAATGAGCGTATGATGTCGCAATGAAATCTTCTATTCGCGAGCTATCAAATATTGTTATCTATTTTCATATTTTTATAGCTCAAAATAAATTTCATAGATAGAGATGATATACGTTAAAACAAAGCTCTCAAGCAAAGCGATGCGAATATTTTATGTGTATTGGTCTTAACAAGTATCAACTTTACAACAAACATATGTTTTAGCTTAGTTTATTTGACTTACGATATTTTCTTTGTTAATCATATGTCATGTATACACTTACATACATATATGTACAAGGAAATTGTAATAATGCTACAAAAAAAAAACTAAGAAAAACTATCAAAGGTATAAAAAGCTACATAACGAAAATGTTTTTTGCCAAATATACACATACATGCAAACTTGGTATTTATATTTATGGAAAAAATTCAAAACAAAATAAACACATTTACGTATGAAACTGTGTACATACATGTATAAATATATTAGATATATTGGTCGATTACCTGATAGTGAACTGATGAAAGTGTAGTGATAAGAACTGCAAAAGAAAATGAAAACAACTAGGGATATTTCCACAAAATTCGCTATAACACGAGTGGTATAGCAAACATAGCAAATAATATGATATGTGTTTGTACCAAAATAAAAAATTAAATTGAAAAATACGCTAACATGATTACAAATATAGTTTAGAATGGCTCTAACGAGTAGTGTACATTATTATGGAAAATAAATAAATATAATATTGGATTATTTTGACGATTAATTTCTGCAAAACAAATAAAACAAAGTTTACACCCTTCCTTATACCATTTGGTTTGCTAAAACTTATCATAGACTCACAGACCATTCCCCACCTATAAATACACATATTTCCTAAGATCTGTCAACACCTCAATTATGGGTGCCAATTTTTCCACACAAAACCACATCCTCTACTGAATATCGGAAATTTTATTTAATTAAGCGCAACATAGGTGTATTTAATAATTTTTTGGAAAACTGAACCTGTTCGACAAAAGTTTACAAGAAAGCTCATCCAAATCAATCAATTGACACCTTACTTAACTCTGAACCCGTGAGTGACGTTATTGCCATCCGCCACCGCCACCTGTTGAAGACAAGCTGACGCATGAGACTCGAGTTATGCGAACCGCTACAACAACAAATCGAGTTATTCTATGCTAGTCAAGGACACTAACCATCTCTTCGCATGTTCTCTTGAACCAACTCATCTAAAGATCCTCCATTTATGATTTGTACATTTCGAAACTGCTCAGCTTTGCCTGTTCCTATGTATTCGATGTTCACCGAATAGCAACCTTAGTTAACTACCACGAATTTTGTATAAGCAAAAAAAAATTGAAAATATACATAACAAACATGTGTAAAACCATGGTGTGAAATGTGCTCACCGAATAGGCGATGTCGCAGTTATTAAAACTTCAACCTCGTAATATTTATGGCATAAAAGCGAGAAGAAATTAGATTTTTTAGAACTTTAAATATCAAATATTAAGAGAAATAATTCTTTATTTTAAATGGTTCTTTAGAAATTTACAGATTGATAGCTTACGAAACTAGTAAAAAAAAAATCATTATCCTCGGTCATATTTTTCAACTACAACCTCCCCTATTTTTTTCAACAACAAAATAAAACTATTACAATAGTTTAAAATGTGTATTGCATATATCCTTTTAATTTTACATTGGCCATAGTACCATATTACACAAAGAATAAAAAGTACTGAATGTAATTATTGGGGACTCTAAATTCCATACTTCTCATTTCATTGCAATGTTTTCTTATCCGGTTTATAAAAAATATGTACGTGTACGTATGTATGTATGTATGTATACATAGGTGCTTTAATACATGTATGAATCTATAACTATAATTTTGTTACTGCAGCAGTTAGTATGTGTGTGTATGATAAAATTACGCTTAGCTCAAAAAATGATGGGGCATGTGTAAGTTGCTATTCAAATATGTTTTTATTTATGCCTATTCACAATACACCTTAAGAAATGATCAGAAATTATTGTATTTGCCAATTTATTATAACTTCGAGACATAATTATGACATTTACGTCAGTTAGACAGCTCTACATAAATGTAAATCGAATACTTTTTTACACTTCGGAATTGTAGTTTATATACACGTATGTATATGTACGTACAGATTTTTGTAAGATTTTTAAAGCATTCGTTAAAACGTTGTTGTAATAAAATGTTAATATATCGCTAAAACAGTTTTAATTGGTGTAAATAATTTTGATAAAAGCAGTAGCGAATTCTTTTAATTCAAAAATTTACCATTAGTGTTTGCAATTTCTCATTTAATATTTACCATATCTCTTTTTATGTTATTATGATTCTTTTTCACTTTTACTTAGAGATTTTTGAATGAATGTGAACATAATTGATAGGAATAATTCGATATCATAAATTAGGAAAAAAAAACTCACATTAAAACGATATATTTTCGGTACATACAAATACATTCTGAATGACAACAATGCCTTGAAATATTTATTGTTCATTTTTAACAATAAAACAAAATTATAATTTTTTCTCTACGGTCACACCGACCTGGTATTACTATAATTGTAGTAATTATATATACATGTACGCATACGTATATAGAGTTTATACATTAGTCGTATGCCTTGTCTTTAATACGACTATGAAAAGCATGTCCATCTAGCGTGTTTCATATTTCAGATAAATCATATCTTATATTCTTTTTCGCTCCTTCTAGATATTTTTAAATTATATATTTTGATTTCATATTATTTTCATTTCCGCCAATGGTCTGATCAACTCCTTGAATAGGATATTTTAGTTGTGAGATATAAAAATACGATAAATACATGGCTTGTGAATTATATAACTGTGTTAATATATGGGTACCACCTTTCATTATTTTTCATGAATTTCATATACATACGTATGTAATGTTCCAGAAAATTAAAAATTCTATATTTACTTTAATATTAGTACATTGTACATATTTATATTAAAATTATATATATATTTTATTTTATTTTTTTTTTTTTATCAGTTATAGCAAATCTGTACCAATTATATATTCTCACTTAATTCTTAGAAACTGACTTGCTGAGTAGATCAACGAACAGTGCTGAAATAGTCGCTTCAAATAGGAAAAAAAAACAAAGATAAATTATGAAAAGTGCGACATGAAAATTGGCACTTTGTCTACCCAAGAGGTGGAAACAAACAGCGCAACGCATTTATGGCCGTCTGCAGCGCCGAATGCTGGTGCTGATTTGATTGGCTGCGACTATGACTATAAGTGTTAGGGATGTTAGTATTAGATGTGCTGCTGATGCTGCTGCTGGTTGGCAAAACCATATCGTATTAACTCGTCAGCAGTGCAATGTTGATCTCCTTAACCATCTTGACCCGATGTAACATCTTTTGAAGAGATTCCTGACTCAGCGCTTGTGTCGAGTACCAGACTGGTGAATCGGGCACACAAGAACGTTCAGGTTGTAAATAGAATACATCATTTCGCGTTTTTACACTTTCCGGACTGCAACATGATTGAATATATTAGTCAAATTATCATTTTTTTTATGTTATGTTAACGTCTGTTTCCTGATTTATAAATTACCATTTAGAAAGATAGAATTCATATAGACGAACCGGGCAACGTAAAGGATTTTCTTCGTTCTCCTGTTGTTCGTAAACTTTTTTCTTTCGTGGATTAGCATCTGTAAAATTGTTCAAATATAATTTATGAAATTACAGTAACTATTTTCGGATTCACTTACCAAGACCAGCTTGTGGAGGATAAAATCGTAATAATACATTTCTTGTGCCGGGCATTTTAGCATTTTGTGCTGAACGTTTCCAATGCTTCATTATATGAGAGAACGATAATTGCATGTGCTCTTCTACAGTCTGCGAATAAGAAAGAATAGTTAACTTACAACCCTGATATCATTATAGATAAGACATAATAAAATAAAATATTTAATATACACATTTTTTATTAAGTTTTAGTCTGGACCTTGAATATGAATGATGTATTCGTCACGTAAGAGTGTTAAAAATTTGGCTTTTGATGCTCTTATAAGGGTTCTTCTTAGAAACATTTCATTAATATTTATAACGTTGCAATTTCATTTGTATGTTGTTTCACTTACCGTTAAATTGAAATGTTTTGTATTAAAGAACATAAGTGTACTGAGTAAAACATGTGGTGAATGAGCACCCAGTTGCTTGCATTCCCATAAATGTTCCTCTTCGACACGGGTAACTATGTATTCTGTAAGGAAAATAAACGTTTTGTAATATTTTTATTTCATTCTATCCTAATCAGCTTTATGTTTTAATTATTTTTCAATTCTTAATATAAAGACATATCCTACTTACGAGAATCGTTGTAGAGGACAGAAAATTTACGAGCCACCTCATCCAGACAATCGGTAAAACGTTCATAATAGGGATCCGTGAAAATATTATCTATTCGCCCATTTTCATACAGATATTGCTGAATACCTAAAAGTATATATACAAAATAGCATTTCAATTACATAATACATTATTTTTATTATGACATTCATTTAACGTTTTGGATGCTTCTTATACAACTTAATTATGCTTACTTAGAAAATTTCAACTTCATTTGAAATAGCAAGTGGATATCATATTCAATAACTTCACTCGGTAGTCTGTGGAATTCTGATTATTTGTGTCAAGTGACGCTGAATACTTTTAATTTGATTTTATAAAACTGTATTATGTGTTAAAAGATTGTGTTCAGCAATTAGTGATTTATGAACTGTTATTAAATATTTATTAACCCGTATGATATACCAAAATTTTTTCTTATTTTACAGATAAATTAGTCAGAGATTTAATTATTTAATTAATTATTTTTAATTGTTTTCTAACTTAATTTTTAAAGAAATCTCTCAAGATATGCTTTTGGAATTGTTTGAGCTTTTAAGCAGAAATGTATTGGATAATTCCAGTTCTAATAAGTACACTGAATTACTTTTTATATAAAAAAATAAGACTTACCTAACACCAAATAGTAGATGGTATCTGGAGCATATTCTGTGCCATTTGGTTTTCGCACTTCCTTAACAAATAGACACAATGAATAGTTCAATTCATCGGCGGTCATTTGCAAAAGCTCCGTTTTAAACGGCCGACGCCTTGTCGTACTCTTTTCGATGTCGGCATTCTTAGTCATTACCCATTGTTTCCAGGCATTCACGCCGAAGGTATACTTCAGACACATATTTGCATCGGGTTTCTCCACAGGTTGTACAGGTTGTGGCGGTGGTTGTGCAGGTTCTATATCAAGTCTAGAACGTTTCACTGGCGATCGATTATTGCTGCGTGGCGATACTGGCGAAGTTAAGCCACCTCTTTTGCGTCCGCGTCCAGCACTGTAAGAATAGCCTTTATTATAAGATAAAACCATATATATTGTGATTCAAATACTATACGAACCGTTGCGGTTCCATTACATGGTGTGGTTGTTGCTGCATATGATGTGCACTCATGTGACTCATAGAGTCATCATGTCCAACCATTCCTGGTGGTGGATTTGTTATTTCATTTGCCGACATTGCTGATTCAAGATCTACTGCAGGTTGATCATACTCTCCAGTTGCCATTTTTAATGCCATCTGTAGTACTTCTTCGCCATATGAATTGTTTGCGACCTCAACAGGTTGCACATCATTATTATATTGGATTGGAACCAAACTTGGCTCAGTTTTAACCTCATCTTCAGAATCCGAATCAGATTCGTGCTTTTCTTCAGCTACCATTTCAGCCATCATAAGCAGCTCAGCTTCAAATGGATCAGCTGGCATTTTATCCTGTATTTTTTTTATTTCCTTAAGTATTCCCTGTGCAGAATTCCTTGTTGTTGGTATGAAAATTGGTACGGGTATAGGTAATGGGATAGGCACTGGCACAGGAAACGGTGCAGAATACATGTACATAGGCTGTGGTACATAGATTGGCACAGGCACTGGTATTAGCACCTTGTTCGAGTAGTCCTTGCCAGTTTGTGTAGCTGCGTTCGTTGTGTTCGGTGTAGTTTGAAAACCAACTGTAACAGTTTGCGGTTTGCAACTGGTCTGCACATTACGAACAGCAGGTGGATAAGGTGGTACAGCGATAATTCTGGTTTCTCCCACGCCCTTTTCAACATGAGTGGAAACTGAAGTGCCTTGTCCTCTCTTTCCAACAGATTTTGCCGTTGAAGTGGGAATCTCCAAAGGTGGAGGAGATGGAGAGACAGCATAATCTACTTGTTTTCTTGGTCGACCTCTGGAGATGGCATTAGTTGTTGTAGTTGCAGGTATTGCTGGTAATGGAGGTGGTGAATCTACTTTACGTCCCCTAATTCTACCCCGACGGACTGTTACATTGCCTATCATTGTTTCAGTTTCACCGCTTGCCAAAGATGATACCGTTGATATAACAGGCATTGTAGGGCCCTTTTTATTCGATATCGTTGTTTTTGTAGGAAGTTTAATCTGTAATTTTTTTTTTTGTAAAAAAATTTAATCACAAGAAGTTAACGATATTCAAAAAAAAAAACGGATTTAAAGGTTAGGTCTTTCAAAATGACAAATTTGACGATTTAATACGTAGGAATGAGATGCAAATAGTGTACAATTTCAATCTATTACAATAGATAACCGTTATTGCGATATAAAAACAATATAATGGCATTTAGAACACTGGTACGCATTTAACTAAAATCGGATATTACTACGGCGTGAAACAAAATTCAAATTCGTTCAACACATATTTTTGGAATGTATGTATATATGTATAAGAAAAAATGGAATAAGAATTGAACTGTTTGTCTAAAAAAAAATTTTATTTTACTATCATAATATGGCTTAATTTATTATTACCCTTTGGGTTGCGCTTATTTGGCATGTAAACTACAATATTATGCAATTTTTTTTATGAAATAAAAAAAAGGAATAAAATTATATTAATGCTCCAAAGGGAGAGGCTCACTGCATTTTTTGAAAAAGAGTTTGGTTAATACATGGTAATAAAGCTGTAAAAACAAAACTGGTCTTCTTTGTGACGGGGAAAATTTCTTTTTAAATTTAATCATAAAACGAACGATCGATTTGATAACAATTTGCAAATGTTAACTGCAAAGCGCACGGGACAAGTAAATAGATGAAATCATAACATAAGCATTTGTGTTTGTATTAAATACGAATTGTAAAAGCAGACCAGTCCATGTTGTAACGTTTCTTACCTGAATTTGCTGCTTGGGTTGTTGCGGAAACTTCAATTTAACCCTTTTTGGTAGACCTGTAGGAAATGGAACATTGTTCTTATTGGACCCTGTCTGACCTACTGTAGGTGTCTGTTGTGTTGAGGGCGAGTCGTTTTCCAAAGTGAGGGGAGCACGTGCAAATTGACTCTGGAACTGCATTACACACTGATATGTGCAGAAATTACGCATTGAGGCATCCGACATGGTGAGGTGGTATTGCGGTGTGGCAGATGTATTACAATTGTCGCAATTTGCAACAGTACGCGAAAAGGCATTTATAGATACGCCATACAATGTTAAACAATTTAAAGAGCACATAAGTATTTCTTGTGCGTCCTGCTGTTTGTATATCATATCGAAATTGTACTTTTTCACTTTGCACCATTGACAAGAGACAATTCGCCTATTAACGATTATATACACATTAAGACAAACACGTGTGCAGAATACTTTAGTTCGTCTTTCTGTATATATGGTAAAAGATTCAGCGCCTTTACGTTCAAAGTATTTCGAACACATTGCGCACTGGTCGGCAACAATATTGCTTACGAATTTAAAAGCTGAAAAGCAAGGATTTGAGCAAAAATTATGTTCCTTTCCATCTAGCATGATTTCCACACGAACAGGTTTATCATTATTACATACTGCGCAAGTATCATTACGAAGTTTCTTTTTAGGATTACACATGCTATCGTAACGACGCATACATGCCTGTGAACAGAAATCCTTGAACTGTTCCTTATCACCAACTGGTGCAAGGAAACCTTCACTGCCTGATGAAATATCTTTTTGACAGCATGAACAGGTTTTCAAGCCTTTTTTGAATTCATTTAGACATGCTGCGCAGCAGAATTGGCGAATATCAAAACCAAAACGGACACAATACTTTCCGAGAGCTGGATGGGGTACTTCTCCATGACACGTTTGACAATTTGCGCCAATTGTACGTTGGTACTTTCCAAGACAAATTTCGTTGCAAAAGTCCATGGTCTCCCATAACAAATTTTTGTCCCCTAATGTAACTTCATTGAAACATTCTGCACATCGCCTCATAAAACTGGCATTTCGCTCCAAACGGGCTGCTTCCGCTTCCGCTGAAGTACGAGCAACAACACCTGTTTCTCGGGGAGTTTTTGTTTTAGTTCCAGTTGCTGCATTAGCGTTTGATCCGGAGGATGCTGTTGTTGGTGACATTGTTGTTGTTAAATTAGAACCAATATTTCGTACTCTTATTGAATGTCGTTTTAATTTGAATTTATCAGGCTCTTCCGAATTTAACAGGTTGTAGCAAATATCGCTACATATATAGTGTTGTTCGTCATCTTGACGAAAGAAATATTTACAAGACTTGACTTCCTTGCATTGTAAACACGAGTGGGAGTGTGGATTATTCTCTATCTCGGTGGACTTTTCGTCACCGTCACCGTCACCACTTCCGTCGACAACTTTTTCATTTGAGTCAGCATCCTTTTTTTCATTTATCAACTCCTCTATAAGAAATTTCTTTCGACGTATAAAATACTTGCCGGGATTTGCAGACAAAATAGCATCGCAACATTCTTGTTCGCATAAATATTCAAATTTACCATTATCTGGATTTTTATATCGGAAACCACAAACTTTCTCGACATCGCACTGTACACACTTCTGCGTTGACGAAATAATCCATGCAATAATAATTTTTGGTGTAGAGCCCGCTTCAGAAGTGCTAGTTTGCATTTCTTCCAACAATGGTTCATCAGCATCGTTTGGTTCAGCAGCTTCCTCGGTTGTAGCTGGAAGTGGTTCTATACCAAAAAAAAAAAATATAATAATAATTAACAATATAAAAAAAATTAATGAATGAAAAACTTGAGTCTTCTGTTATAGTTATTTAACTTGATTTTAAAACTGTTTCCAAAACATAGTAGGTAAAATTTCCAATTTTAATTATCTTGAATTTTATAAAATGAATCTGAAACGCTCACCTTCGCTGCTGCCATTATCAGCGTTAGGGGCTTCAGCTCCAGCTGAATCAGCTTGAGCTTCGGCTTCGACTATTCCAAAAAAGAATGTTTTAAGATTTATACTTATGAATGTCTTCATATGACTTTGTATTAAATACATTTAGCAAATCTAATTATTTCATCTTTCGAATTTTTCTTGTCCATAAACACAAAATATATTTAAATTTAAAGAATTTCTTGAAATAAAAAATTAATGTAGAACAATTTTTTTTCTTAAAAGAAAAACTTACCAGTACTATCAATTGGAGAGGTATCACCCTCCATTGAAGTCGAATTCTGCTTTTCGCCCGAAATATCATCTAATTCAACAGCTGCTGCATCTTCTACTTCCTTTCCTTTTCCTTTTTCTGCTTCTGCTTCCGCTTCCGCCTCTGCATCCTCTTTTTCGGCATTCTCGCGCGCCAGAATTGCTTGCTCCTTTTCTGCCTCTGTTACTTCGCTCTCCGGATCATCTGGTATAAGACATATGTCTGAATCCTCCGGTTCTTGTACATTTTCAACTGGTTCTGTGAAATTAAACTTGCAGTTATAAAAACATACTAGAATTCATAATTTAAAAACCTACCATCTTCTCGTTCTGGTTCAATTTCTTCACCCGCTCTGGCGTCTGAAACTTTCTCCGCTGTATCGGCCTCGTCTTCATCTGTTTCCTTTTGTTTTCCTGGATCAGCCCCTCCGTCAGTTGCAATGTCCCCTTCCTCATTGTTATTATCCACTTCATCATTTGTATCCACTTCGTGGTCGACACTCTCTTCAATGGCATCACCTTTACCACTGTTGTTTTCAGCTTCATCCTCTTCCAGTGCTTCCATGCTTACGTCATGTTGTTCGGCGTTAATGTCAAGACATTCTTCCTCAACCGATTTATCATTTTCATTTTCATTAACAACTTGAGTCGCTGAATTCGCAGCTGGCGAGTTACTAACAGATGGCATATCTACATCTGCGGTTGCATCTGCTTCAATTGTGGTACCACTAACTGCTTGATTATCTAAAACCTTATCTACATCCATAACTTCATCTGATCTGTCAGCTGATTCCACAGGTGCATCTAATTCTTCATCCTGGGTTGGTAAGGTCATATCTGCCTCACCCAACATATCCGATTCATCAGCAGCAGCATTGTGGCCACCACCGGATACATTTGCATCTACTGCTTCAAAATCGGTGGATTCTTGTGACTTATGTTCCGTTGTCTCTGGTGTTTTATTCTCTTCCAAAACGCACTCTTCACCCTCACCGCTGGCCAGCTTGTCTTGTGAACTATTTCCATCATCTTTGGGTGGCCCTGAAGATGTCCCATTTGAATTTTCGTCTACTTCAAAAGACCCATCGGAAATCTGCTCAAAGTCTTCATCGTTATTACCTTCTTCGGTATCTTTAGTGACATCACCTTCAACTACTTTATCCATCGAAGTTTGCGATGTATCTTCGTCTATTTTAGGAGGCTCAGATTCTGGTCGAGCGCTTGATTCGGCGTCAGTGTGAAATGAGTCTAAACTTGAGATTTCCTCCATTGAATTACGACTGTTGAATATTTATATAATAAGCAAACCTTACACATTAACTAAAATAAAAAAATATATAATATAATAATCGTCTATTTTCTTATTTAATTTGTAAAAAAAAAATCTTTAAAAGAATTAAACCTTTCATAAGATTATCTTTAAAAGATTTAAACCTTTCATAAGATTAAGGAGCAGGACATATCTTATGGCAATCCACATATTTCATTGTTGTGTTGCCTTAATTTACATAGGGCTAATACTCCTATTAAAAAAATTTCCCGCCGTTATGATGCGAAGCAAGTATCACAGGAACGTATTACACAGATCTTCTCAAATAAATTGGAATCACATACAAACTTGATGTGTGTGTTCCAGACAAATTATTATGCGAAATATATTTCTAAAGAACTATCTAAATTAATTAGTCTTTTTAAAACAAATAAATTTAATAACTTATTTTCAGTCGGTCAATCGCAATGAGGTGCATGCACAGTGTGGCTACCCTGAAAGTACAGCACGCACAGTGGGAGCAAATACTTGTACAAATACATCGTCACCGAGACCCGTCCTCCTCACTGACGAAAACATACGTCTTTATTACCGGTGAAGATTTTATTGCACATACACACAAAAATTACAACTGGCGAAGTTTTATATCTAGGGATTTGCCAATTATAAAGTATGACAGCCAGTTTTTCGTAAAACAATTTTCCACCGATTGTTCAATATAATGCGACTTTCGACTGAAACAATCAGAATACGGACTGAAACGGAACAATAATGACACGGGAACGAAACGATTTGTCGATCTCGAGAACCAAACTCACTTTTCTTGTCAATTTTATTTTCTCGCACTATTTTTAACAATTTTATAATAATAGCACATGTATAATATTTATTACATTACAATAATTTCTAATTGTACTTTTTTATGAAGTATGTCTTATCGGATTCGCGCCCTAAATATTTGCACAAAAACTATTAAAACACCAAAAATTTTGGTTTACCTTTTATCGGCTTTGCCAGAAACATAACTATAAATTTCCAACAGTGTGGCTGTATTCTTCAGTGGAAAATGGCGCAAGCTAAAATGTCACTTTTGGAGATGTCCGGAAAGGACATACGCCATAAACATTTGTGCACCTATTCAAATATGAATGGTACATGTAAATATTTCTATAATATATAATATTATATTTATTACTTATATTGTTTGCATACTAATTTATATTTAAGTCATATGCTTTTAAATCCTTATTAAGTATCCAAATTTATTTGAGTTAATTGTGGATTTTAAAATAATTGTAATAGATACAACGTAATAGAACATAAATTGAAGTTCAAATATAATACCGTGTTTAGTATAATATTATGTAATGTACTTAAATCGTATTTTATCTCTTTAGATCGTACGATTAAAGAAAATGGGTGGCTTGTGAGCATCATTTTTTCCTTTATTTTCGGACAGTACCTCAATGGATTATTAAAAATGGCGAGCTAGTATGTAATTGTGTTCCGATTTTACACGTTCCTTTATGGTATACACATTTTTTAGCTTATGTAATCAAGAAAATATGTAATATTTGTATTAAAATAATGTATGGATGTCATAAAATACATTCCATAATCCGACATTTTATTTAGTCTTAGAAACTACAATCAATTTCTGTATATAATACAAGGATTTTAATTTTCATGTATTTTTTTAATTTAAGCAACCCTAAATATGAGTAAAAGATTGAAAAATCTTTTACATAAAGCATTCACAAGAAAAAATTAATGGCTTAATTTCAATACGTTTACGTTTTGTAATGTAGATTTATGGATTTTCCTAGTTTGATATTTAGATATACGTTAACATAATATAATTAGCCCTAAAATATTTATATGTACTTTTCACTCTATTGAAACTTTTTCTCCACAAGGCTGTTTGCTTCAATGCATCAAAATGTTGGATGTGCCGCAATTATACTTCTAATAAAAATTCTCAATATAAAATTTGCTAATGCATACAGATGGAACGTTTAAAATATCAATTGTTAACCTCGTGCAAACATATTCTCAGTTGCTCGAATATTGCCCGTATGAACCCTGTCCACTAAAAATTTATCTAACACTCAAATATTTAAATATAATTTATATAAATAAATTTTTATACACGAAAATCTTCTGCGAGGGTGTTTTTCGATGAACTCCTTTTAAAAAAATTGAATGATATTAATGAAATTTTTTGCATTCTGTTCAAGTGGATTCGAATAATTGTTTCGAGCAAACTATTTTCCGTGCATCCCACTGGGAGCTGACATATTATACAAAATCATATTTATGGATTTACTTGAAATTCGGTGCATAGGTAGCTTTTTGTTTAGATAAACACGAAACTACATTTTCCTCTGGGAATGGATCAACTTCTTCGAGATGGACCTACTCGAATTTACTCTTATTAAACGCATATACTACCTTTGATGATTTTTTTGTGTGTGTTCCAGTGGATGCAAAAATGGCTTATAATAACTTTTTTCCAGGTGCCGACAATATCCGAAAAAATTGTGTTGGGACCAGGAATCATGGCCGATTTGCTCAAAATTGTTTGTGTAGTTAATGTTGTATATTCAATTTGGTATGACTATTGTTACTCTTATGACAATGTAAAGAAGAAGAAGAATTCTTATTTGGTACTTCCCAGTGAATTTTGCTTTGTTATGCTATGTATATTCTTAGTTTTATAACTGCATAGTTAAATTGTTTTGAATCGTATTTAAAGATAAGTGATTATTTGTGTGGAAAATGTTTTGCAAACGGTAATATATTTTCACCATTAATTATTTTAATATTATTAACGTATATTTTGTTAGCAGAATGCCAAGTAGTAAGGAAAGACGTATGCGCCTTCTTCAAGACGACCATCTTTCCGATTGTCAGTTCCTAGTTGGTGATCCTGCATGTGAGGAACCTAGACTTTTTCATTGCCATAAAATGATTTTGGCCACGGCGTCTGAAGTGTTTGAAAGGATGTTTTATAGTGAATTCGATATAGTTGGTCCGATACGTATAACAGAAGTGGGTCCCAAAAGCTTTGAACATTTCTTGCGCTACGTTTACATATATGAAATAGAGTCGGAACAACTCTTACCATCAACTTCAACTATCTCCGAATTGTTTTATTTAGCAGACAAATATATGATGCAAGACTTAATAGACGAGATTGTAGAGTATTTAAAATGCAAACATAACTGGACATCGGACGATGTGTGGCTAATTTTTGATCTAGCATGTCTTCATGAAAATTTGCCACTGATATTATTATGTTACGAAGTATACAAATGATAAACTATTATTTATTGTATATATATATATAAAATTTGACTTCTTATTTTTAGAAACTTTTGAAAAACACGATATTATTGTTGATCAATGACGGCTTCTATCAACTTAATGTGAACCATTTGAAACGTCTGGTTATTTTTCTCTCAAAACAACCACAGATATCAACAAATCTAATTTTCAAATATCTTGAGGAATACGGTAGACGTAATGCCTTACATAAAAATCGAAAATCCGAAAAATTCCACAAGCTGGTTGATGCTGCATGCCATCTGGATTTTAACAAGTTATCAATTATTGATTTGGAATCTGGCCCAGGGGCATCCTATATTTTTAACAATCAGTAGTCTACTCCGATATTTTATCTTTCGGAACGAATTGTGTCTATACGTTTTACATAAGAATTTCTGTAAGCATATGTTTTATTTATATCAATTATAATTTTCCAATGAATGTTGTATGAAGTATTTATTACCATGATATTAATTACTTCACAATAGAAAAACTACACAAGGTAAATTTAATAAGTGGTGTTAGTGCTAAATGGCAGGCAGTTGAAGAGACATGGCCTTTATTTATGTATTCATTTTTATTCGGGGTACATTGATCCTTCTTAATACCTATTGTAATGGGTATATTTTTTAATAGCAGTTTAAATTTGAAAGTGCTCCAAATGTGCCTATTTAGCACTACATTAATATGGCAACTATACATATATAATGTATGTAGTAATATAATAACTTATTACTAGAAAAAGAATCGGATTGAATTTAAAATATACACATACTTCGCCGTTCTCGATATTATAAGTTGTAGCAAGCTAGCGACTTTCATAGTGCACTATAATCTAATAATTATAACAAGAATTTACTTAAATGTATATGTTTCCCAACAATATATATAATATAATTATATACAAAGAAACCCATCAAACTGAAAAAGTTGTGTGGGGTTAGGTTAGGGTTTTAATTGCTTATTTGTTTGGCTCCTAACTTTACATTGAATTTGAGAGCTGCCAATGTGCGTAGCTGAAGAATGCATGAAAATATCTTGACGGCTGGCCCTAATTTCAAGTTAAGTATTTCCGTCAGGTCCGACTGTTGTAGTAGCAATAGAGCATTACCATCGATGTCCTCACGCAGGAACCTTTCTGTTATTTCCGAGTTTTGAAGTACACATTGTACAAAGGCGCAAGTATCCCTCGTAGACCAGAGTAGAGGATTGCGTTTGATGCGCTGCATATCAAAAGCGACATTCCGTTGCCATATCTTATAATTCTGTTGTAGACGTGGACCATAATCGCAAAGAAATTCTTTAGCAATTTTTATTTGTGGAATTAACAACGATGTTGACTGCTCAATATTTGAACTATCGACTGTTTGGCAGGATCTTAGCGCTTGTGTACTGAGTTCGGTTTTGATTAATGACTGCTGCTGGACTGACGTGGAGCTGTTTTCGGTTCTAAGTATACTTTGTGGCACACTTAGTTTTTGTTGCTGCTTTTCCTGTTGAATAAGATGTCGTGTTTTTATGTTGTCTAAGAGCTGAATTTGCTGCAATATTTCCGCATCTTTCAGTTGTGATTGTGGAGGCTTTGGTTGCTTCCACTTTAAAGACTGAGCATTTTGTTTCGTATTATCACGTTTTAAAATAGCATCTGGTCGTATAATTTCGTCATGTTCCAAACGCGGTGGTTTTTCGCTTTTCTGCCGCCAATTCTCTGGCGCATATGGGCAGCAATCCTTGGTAGTATGGGTATTTAGGTAAAGGCGTTTGGCATTGCCGATGCCGCGACACCCAAATGTTGAGCATACTATCTTGCTTGTCCGTAACTTATAGCCAGGTGGTGGTTCTAAATCATGACTGGTAGCCTCGCACCAACCAATTGGATGTAAGTCTGCGCTGTCATCCTCTAACCAAAAGCAGTAATTACTTGCCCAGCAATCGAGATGCAATTTTATACGATGTCCCTTGCGACCGACAACTGTAGCAGGACGTATTAATGAGGGATTCCGTGGATCGACAACTTCTAATTTCATATTGGTTTTAAAATCGATTGGATCACGTGTAGAAAACATTTCCTCTGTTGCAGCCATACCACTGCCATGAGTTTTAATATATTCTGTCCATGAAAAGGTTGTATTCTCGAATTCGGGGGGCACAATTAGTTGCTGTCGACCAACATGCCAGCCACAAGGATGGATGTAGGGAGAGCTAATGTCTACCCAATAGTCGTAACAGTCATCCCAACCGTCAAAGTGTACACGTATACGATTGTCAAGTACATCTGAAACTGAGGCAACGCAAAGCTTTCCAGTATCATTAAGATCCTCGGCTTCCAAGTGCATTCCAATCTAAGAAATAAAATTGCGGAAATAGGTTTATTGTAAATGAAATTTAGAAAAATATCTAAAAAACTTTTCACCTTAAAGGGATTATGTGTACCCAATGAAGCATTTAAATGGGTAAATAGTGCACGTTGTGCTGTTATTGCTTTGCATTCTGTTAAATATGATAGCCAATTGAATTCATTAAAGCTTTTTCCTTTCGGTGGCTGCAAAACTCGTTTTGTTTTTGTACACCAGCCAGGTGGGAAAATATCCATAGAGTCCGCGTTAACCCAAAAGTCATACATATATTCGTAGCCGTCAAACGTTAATTTCAAGCGATATCCTTGAATATCAACAATGGTACATACGCAAAAAAGTGAGCAGTTCTCCGGGTCAATAGCTTCCAATTTCATACCAATCTGAAAGCGATTTGGGCCTGTTGGAAATGGATTAATAAACAAGTTTACTGGCGCGGCAATAGCATTAAACTTTTCAGGCAGATATGTCGACCAACGGAAGGATTTTTTGCTATTTACTTGTACATTGGATTCTTGGGTTTTGCGCTTGCGTGTTACCGTTGTGTACTCTTCATGCCGACGTTTACGAGATTCTCGTTTTAGACAGTCTAAAGAGCAAAATTCTGGAAGAAAATTATACAAACATAAGTACCCCCATAATTAAATTCAATTGTATTTGATTACCTGGTGCCAAGAAGTCCAACGCCGGACCATGACAATTACACCGTCTGCACAAATACAAAAGTCCATTATTTTTTTCACTCAAATTGGGAACAGACTCTCGCTCATAAATAGGTTTTTCATAAGCCGTATGAATGCGTGTGCGAGGTAAACAACGTTCATTAATTTCAATAAGATTGAATTCGTTTAACTGAAATCGCATATAGGTACCACGCGCACTGCCGACTCGCTGATTCCAGGTTAACATATTGAAATTGGATAACATTTTTAGTGCACAAGATAATGAATCTTCCGCAGATGTTGTGTTTGTCTTTGCAGTGGGTGCCAGTGCTAGCGCAACGCCGGCAGCGGCCGAAGTGCTGGGTAGATTTAATTTAGATATTACATTTTGGCCAGCAATTGAAGAGGACGGCATTTGGGAATCGTCATGTAGACTTTGACGACTAGATGAGGTAGATGCAGAGGATGTCGAACTTAATGAGATTTTTTCGTCACAATAAAGAGATTTTTCTAGGGAGTCCTGAGTGTGTTCCACAGAAGTTTGCGTGTCTTCTACTTTGGAGTCTTGAACAGTAATCTCAGCCTTTTCAGCGGTAAAGGCTTGTTGTTGATTAATTTGATTTTCGTCTTCTTTCAAAATAATTTCCACTTTTATTGGTGGCATCTCATGTTGAATTTCTAAACTCGGATATTTATTTGTTGAGGTTTCTGTTAGTTTGTCGGTGGCAAATTCGTGCTGACCAGAATTTAATACATTTTTATCAATAATATTTGAAGTTTTTACTTTCATCTCTTGGATTTTCTCCTTTACTTGGTTATCTGTTTGGGATTCTAATATATTATTCTCTTTCTCCGAATTAATTTTTTGATGTATTTCGGCTATGGCTTCGATATTTTCCTCATTGTAATCAACGAGATCGATAATCTCATAGTCTGTTTCAAAAAAAGTACTTTTCGAAGACAACGCCTGTTTACGACGCGGTGGACTGACTTTTTGTTTAGGGGTTTTGTTTTCGGATGCCGTCGAATGGCGCCGCTCTGATAATGTGTTCTGAGTTGATAATAAAGAAGTTTGTTTGGGCTTGACCAATATTGGATTACTATTTAACTGAGACTCCTTAAAGGCACTGCTCAGCGATTTAGATCGTTGGGATCTTGGGCTTGTGATTTCTATTGTACGTTTCGTCATTGGAGGTACTTTTAGAAGAGATTCTTGCTTTTCAACAAGTTTTGCCTGCAGCAAGACAGGTTTAGTTAAATCGATTTCCACTTTAACTGAACCATCACTATTTATTAAAGTATTTGGCGTTTTCTTGGAAACATTATTGTTCGGCATCAAAGCATTTAAATTAGAAGATGAGTTTGTTCGAGTAGACGTTTCTACTTTTGGTGTAGAAGCAGCTGATGGCGCAGTTTGTAAACGTCCTTTCGACATATCTGTATCCAAAGTATTGGACTTCATATTATGCTCAACTTTATTTAGAGAAGTTAAACTTGAATCAGCTTCAATATCTTTGCCGACTTCAGATAAGGGTAGCACTGGTTTATTCTCTATACAAGGTGATTGTAGAGCACGTACGGGCGAAAAATGCTTTTTAGGAGCTGATATTATATCTATTGAGCTTCCGGTGCATGATAATGTACATTTTTTTGGCTCGTTAATCAACCCAGTTGACGTTTTCTTCGTACTTTGTGATTTAATTCCTCCAATGTTGGTAACCGCCGATGGAGGCTTTAATAAGGTTTGAGATAAATTATTTCCATTTGTAGTAGGTACCTGCGTAAGTACAATATTTTTTGGTGGTATTCCAAATGGAAATTGCTTTGGAATTTCGTCAGTAAAAATTGTCACCGCCGTTGGGTTATGTGCAACACTATAAGGAGCTGCTGCATTTAGAGAGTTTATTATGTTCCCATGCGGTTGATAATGTTGTCGGTTGCGTACTATTATAGATGCGGGAATAACTGAAATATAAAAAAGTAGTTATGGGTTCATATAGCGTAAATTTAAATTGATAAGAAAAGACGTTAAAATAATCCTAATTATATTTGTAACTTATATAGAGTAAAAGACTAAAAACTTGTTTTACAGTAGGTGTTGTATATATCTTAATTTTTTCATCTTTTCAGAACAATTTATCGCTATAATTTTATGCATTAAATACATTTACACTTTTCAGAATAAAATTTCCAAAAAAATGTATCTTAGAAATTTAATAACTACTAACATTTTTAGTTACGTTATCTACCAAGAAAACATATTGCAAAGAAATCTACAAGATCTTATTTGGTAAATAATTACCTTTATCTGAACAAATTTGCATATTTTAATCACAAACGTTATTTCCTAGTCTGAGTGTTGAATTGAAATAAACAGCAAATGTTAAATAATGAGGATGCATGCAGCAGGTTTGTTTCTTAACACTTGCATTATCGCACAGGGTTGCATTATGTTAAACAATCGAAGCATGTTAAGGCAGTCTACTGAGGGAATTTTATAGATATTATATTTGAAAAGCTCTCCTTTTACTTACAATATTTTAAAAAAGATATTTGTTATAAAAACTAACATTTTAGTTGAAAAAAAATTCCGAATTCTTTTTCCACAATAATATAATATTTGTTCAGGCACCCATGTTGCATATACACTCCTGTATGTATTTATGTATACATCTACATATACAATATTTATGATCTTTTTGTTACCAAATTAAGATCAATACATATTAGCAGCATATATCATAGACATATGCGTAAGTAATTTAAATATATTACAAATGTTATACAAAAATGCATTACTTCCTTTAGGGCTGGGATAATTAGCTGGGTATGTATGTTATGTATCTACACACATAGCAATTATGAATTAATCTAAAATCAAATTTATAAGGAATAATTATGAAAAGTAAGAAGACCTAGAATATATGCATAATATAATCTTTACATTCGTTTAATACTAACTGTTATTCAATAATGCATCCTTACGGCACTAGGCATTTAAATTTGTCTTTCAATTGTTCAGAATTTCGAGCCTAGGTGACTTTTTGACGCCTTAGGTAGGTTAATATTAATGTAAATTCTTACTTAGAATATCTTTATTATAATAACTTTTACACCCAGTTGCTGTTTTTAATATTTATTCAGATTTCTGAATCCTATTGCTTCTTCACACTTAAGGAAATGCTGAAATTTGTTAATATGTTACATATGTATATATGCCCCATTAATGAAATAAAAAAATACACTGATTCGGTGCAATTATACTTCCAAAAAGTTACATAAGATAGAGTGTTTGGATAGATAAAGTAGCTAGTATGTGAAAACGTGTGTGTGTGGCTTTCTATAGTTCTGTCGAGTAATACACATGTACATACGTATATTATACATAAGTTATGGAAATACAAAATGACAGTAACTGCATTTAAGTTGATAATATAAAATAGAAGAGCAATTCCTCTTATAAAATTAAATTACATAATAAACATATGCCTCAATATTAAGAAGTAATTATTTTAATATTTGTCAAAACTTACTAGATGTAGGTTGCATTTCCATATTTCCCCCTACCATGTCATTTTCTCCACCAGCAGTTATGTTTGCGGTAATTGCGCTGGCACTTTCACTAACGCTGGTTAATATGACATTTACAGGTACAATTGCGGAGGATCCTGCTAATGAAAAATTATTTTGAGTTCCACTTGACATTAGGAAGCCTTCGTTGCTGTGCTGATTGCTGACGACGTTGTTTGAGCAAGTAATTACGCTTATAATAGGCTGAACAGATGATGGTGGTATTGAATTATTATCGCCAAAAGTGGTTGGAAGAGCTGTTGCGTTAATTGTTGGTGTAATCAATGCCATTTGTGGTAGGAATGGTAAGGACGCATTGTTATTCAATCCAGTTGTCACAACATTACTAGACGTGGTGGTCACTGATTGTGCACCACTAATACCTCCGCCACTAATATTCATATTATGAACTGTTCCAGAACTCTTATTTGCAAAGGAAAATGTTGTAATAAGAATTTTCGCTAAAATGACAAATAATTTGTTATGTCTGATGAAAATTATGACTTACAAATGTTAGAAAAGGATGTACTCTTTAAATTATACTTGTATCCATACCTAAGCGATTACACAAAGCGAATATTTTTATTTATGTATTTTAACTTTATAAGTTTGCGTATCAATGATTGTTTTTACGGTTGCTCCTATTGATATATATTGACCATACGATCGCATTGGCAAGTGTAAAGCCAATGATGCCTCAGCAAATAATTTGTTGAAAATAGTGTAAAACTTAGACCTATCGTATTTATTTTTAACACTGCAAACACAATTTTGTCAGTAAATGGTTAAACATTTTTGGCACACTTGACGTAATTGTTAAAATGTATATATATGTATGTAAATATGTTCTTTCCGATTATAATTTCATTTATTTGGCTTAGATATTTGAACTGATTTTTTTTAGGTTTATAATATTTATAACCGGAAGGATTTTAGGCGCTTTTGAAAGTCTCGTCCACTTCTCTGAACCGCGGATGGATTGAAACGATCTAAATCCAATGGCTGCAGTGATGGCAACGCTGCTGAGACGTTAACAGCAACGCGTTGGAGGGGTTGCTATGGTGCCTTGCAATTTTTGAAAATCTTATCACCTTTACCGATGGAACACTTTTTTTTTTAATAATTTCGTTGTGGTAACAAATCAGATTTTAGAGCAACACCATATTTAACAAAAAATGTTTGTAGCAACAGGAAAAATAAATCACCGAACTATTGCAAAGTGCTTAATATCTTCTAGCGTCGTACATAAATCCATATTGCTATTTCCAGTGTTGCTTTGATTTCAGACTTTCGTATTTACGCTTCCGATTTTCAGAGGAAATTGTTTTTGGTTGTTTAAATATGTACATATGTACCAGTGTAGCGCCGGCTTCAGAGCAGAGGAAGTTGTATCTACTGCAATTGCACTGCTGATATTTACGTTTTTACTTAACTTTATTCATCAATACAGTGCATTTGCTATTCAGTAGATAATTAACAAGCTGATTTCTGTTCACTGATAAGTGATATGAGCAAGTGTTGCCAACACTTCCCTCATTTGGTCTATGCACAAAATTTACGCACTTTGCCATTTTAATGGCAACGTATAAAAGCCCCACATTTGTACATATATAGGTACATACATTGAAACAAAAACTATGTTTTTGCATTTCAGAGTAAATTTATCCATGCCAAAAATGCAATATCTACAAAACTTCTATTTATTCGAAGCAATATCTTCGCTATAACATAACCTAAAAAAATATAAGAAAAATCAGCAGTTGTCTAATTAGCAGCAATAACAAAATTCATGCTCACAATTCATCCATCTTTTTATATAATAATTATTGTAGACTTTTTACGTTATATGATTTAAATACGTACATATGATACAAAATAAATTTCCTATCGAGAAAATTTGCAATCATGAGCCATTACGTAGGCACATACATGCATATCTACATACTTATGTTCATACTCGTCTTTATAAGCGATTATTTAATTCGAATAATAAAGCATATTTTCCCTAAGTAGTGTTATTATTAAAAGTATCGCACAATAATTTAAAATTATGAAATTTAATTTGGAAAGTATATATACGAACTGGTTTAGCAAAAGGTCGCGAATTTAATCGTATGTAATACCAATTATTGATAATTTACGTATAAATATATACATATGTATGGATATTACACACATAATATTTTATTTACTAACGTATTATTCAAGCACATTCGTTTGATTTATTATTTTTCCTTGCAAATTTAGCTCTGAGTTGGATACATATGTATGTATTACTAACAAACGTATAACTCTGTTTGTATTTAATTCTTAAATAGGCTAACGAAATAGTTAATTTTGCATTAATTAATTCAAGTTGGAAAGCATACAAGATCTTAGGGTTATGCGTTTATTCACATAAATTTCTATACACAAACGTGATTTCAAGCACACACCTATATGGTGGAAACCGCAATGGACATTCATATACGTATGTACATATGTACGTATAAACATATGCATGCACGTTTGTGCTTATAGTATTTAGATATGTATGAAAATGAAATCTTAATCAATAAATATCAAAAGTTTGTGATTATGGCATAATTTGAAATGAATTTCATGCTGATTTAATCATTAAGCCTTATATTAGTTTGATTATTGCCTTTATTTTTATTAACAACTGATAATTATTTTTTCTTCTCCTCTATTAAAGGTAAATATGTGTATGTATTAATTTTTAACAATTGTATCATTTAAACAATATTTTAAACGCTCATAATAAAAGTATGTATGGATATATAATCCCACATCCTCAAATACTCCATTCCCAGATCTCTAATTAATTAGTTTCGTACCTCCGCTGTTTTGGTGTCATATATCCTAAAGGAAAAAGTTGAATAACTAACGTGAAATCGAAATATAAAAAGGATTTAAAAGTTTTCAAATTAGATATTCGTCTGATATCAAAGTATTTTTACTTTTTAATGACGAGCAGTGATAAATAATGTAGTACAATGGTTGATGCGGTAACTTGATGACACATTTCTTCTTCTTATAAGTACATGAGCACACAGAGATTTATGTATGTATGTATAATCCATGTGTAGTTATGCTTAAAAGAACGGAATTACGTTTTTCAATTGATTTTATGATTTCCTTTATAAATACTTTATTCTATAAAACCATATTTGAATGGTTGTAATAATGCACTTTCTTTTTTGTTGTCGGATGGCAAGTGCAATCGCGAGGTGTGGAAATTTTTAAACTAAGATCAACATTGGCAGAGAAATATTAAAGAGCAACAAATTAGTTATAAATAAATATATCATGAATGAATTATTTTATTTAAATAAGCATTTTAATGTTTCTATATATATATGTATATATGTATAATATATATAAATGGCAAAATATTGCAAATTTTCAATACCTACTTTTTAACACGATTTTTAAACCAACTTGTTACATTCCAACGCCTGGCGTTCCAAAAAGAGAACATCACATTTACATGTAGTTTTTCTAGTATTTGCAAATATAAGTATATACTATATGTATTATATAAATATTTATGTAAAATTAATCAAACTTTTTTAGTATTTTAATTGCTATTTTAGTAAATGTTTTCTATATAAATTCATAGGTATGTGTGTATGTGTATGAATAAACTTTGGCGCCTGCATGGTACGTATATCTAGGTACTATGTTCTTACCTTTACCAGAATTGAATCCGAAGAGAATGAATTAATAGGCGCAAACACTTTTTGAATTAACTTCAATTAAATTATATTTTGCAAATATTCTTTTTTTTGTATATTTCTGTTGAGTATCTAATACAGTGAAGACAAAGCCTGTGTACTTATTCACTCTGCCGTCATTTGCACACTCAAAGCAACCCTGCTAGTGTCAACCAATAATAACCGAGAGTTTTGCAGTAGTTGAAATAGAAAAGTTGTGAATTTAGTATTTTACTGTAAATTGATCCAAATATTAGTACCTGGAGATTATAATAACGAAAACTTCATAACATTTATAGCAAAACTAGAGTGTATCCAAAAAAATTGGATTTCAATTTTTTACAAGTATGTCACTAATCGATAAATTGCAGGAGCCTGATGACAGTATTCCCTTGGCTGATGAGGACACTCAAGGTGATTAAAATGCAACTTAACAATTTTTAAGTCAACTGAACAGATTTTTATATTATACTTTTAGTAATTATTAATGATGATGATCCTCAACAACATATTCCAAATGGACATTCAATGGATTCACTCCGTTCGTCATTTACCAATCGTAGCTCAACACCTGACTCATCACACAATTCACTTGAGGCCGATGTTAGCCCAGATGAAAAAGAAGAAAAAGCACGTCTTATCACTCAAGTATTAGAGCTGCAAAATACTCTCGATGACCTTTCACAACGTGTTGATTCCGTGAAAGAAGAAAATCTGAAACTACGCTCTGAAAATCAAGTTCTTGGGCAATACATAGAGAATTTAATGTCAGCCTCATCAGTTTTTCAGTCAACTAGCCCAAATGCAAAGAAGAAGTAAAGAGCTACACGTAGAATTTCAAAGTCGAAAATAGTGCATTTGAGCGTTTCTGATTGATGTGCTCTGCTTCTAATTCATTTATTTAATTTAGATATTGATATCATATTTTTAAAGCTTTGTTTTAATATATATAAAATTATTACTCGAATCCATTGCATTGATCTTAGGTTGATACGTACGCAGGCTCATAATTCTAAACATACAAAGCATGTTCGCATTTACATACGCAATTACTTATACCAAATAAAATGCCTTCTACTAATTTTTTCGCAACAAAATCCAACTCATTTAATGCCCGCTAAAAAATATGTCCAAATGTCTCAGAAATACTGGTTTTTTCGAGGATTCTTTGCACACTGCCTTGAGGTCCTTCTGAAGAATAAGTGCCTTAATTCTTTTTGGGATGATTTAAGCAATATGCCAAGTTGTTTTATTCAATTTTGTATTTTTATTTTTCACACTTATGTATATATATATACATATGTATATTACACATGTATGTAGTAAGATCTATTGATTACATTGTTTCAACTACTTTCTAAGAAAAATTATTGTTAATATAAAGAGATTATACTAAATGTAAATTTGTTAAAATCTGTTATTAGGTTGCCCATAGGTATTATATCTCTGGAATCTATTATTTTGATGCCCACCCCTTTGTTGGTTTTGTTGATTATTTCGGTAGTTATTTCCATTGTTATAGTTATTTCTATAATTGTTTTGATAATTATTGTAACCAGATCTCGATTGAAAATTTTGCTGGGGATTCGGTCCCTGCGGATACGGTCCCCAGTTATTTCCTCCCATGTTATTAGGTCTTCCCAAACTTGCTTGGACCATTCTGTGACCACCAGCACTTAAATGACCAGTAGGTAGGTTTCTATTAAATCCAATCACCGGCCTATTATACCCACTTTGACCTTCCGGCTTAGAGTTTAACACATTTGGTGGATCCATTGCCTTTGGCAGCCTTTTGGCTGGGAATACAAAGTCAGTGTCATATTCAGGATCCCTAAATCGTACGGTAATAACTTCATTTGACATTATATTTGGCAAACCATATATAGGTGATTTAAGTGAACCCAATAGTTTGACATTGTCCTCTGCTTTCAAAATGTTTCCAGCCATTCCTTCTAAAACAATACTGAGTTCTTTTTCCATAGATGAAAGAGTTTTTAGTTGATGTTTTAACCATTCAAATTTCGGATGCATTTTTCCAATATATAACCGGTTGTCTCCTCGCTTATTTCGGCGTACTTCTTCGTCTGTTAGTTTACTATAGAATGGTGCAAGAGCTTTGAACAGTCGTCGCTCGTCTACAAAAGGAAGCAAAGCAACTCCTTGCCAAGCGAATTTTTTACCATTCAAATCGATTTTGAAGTCTTCTGGATAAAAATCAATAATTGGCGAATCAGCATCAGACATTAAAGTAGCCCATGGTTTTGGTACATGAGAGGAGCTAGCAGCAGGGAAAACTCCCATTAATTGTTCCAATGGATTAAATGGCTTGGTACCTTTGTCAAAACTAGTAGATAAGCCTGTTATATTCACGAAATCGGAAGCAAATGGTGCATAATGGTATGGAAAGTACCAATCCCACGAAGCACAACCTTGATAATAATATTTTAAAACCCAACATAATCCACGTACATATTGCAATGCTACAGAATAACGAAATCCTTGATTATTAGTGCCAACGTCAAATTTAGATTCGTAGTACCGATTTTTGAATCCAGCTTCATATAAACGAACTTCGTCATTATCATTTTCATCAGAATCGTTATCAAGGCCTGCCTCAGAAGCCGACCTTTTAACACCTTTTTCATTTTGAGTTCTCAATTTTGTAGCTTCTTCTTTGTAGTTAAAAGTTTGTTGAGAACCTGAAGCTCCCCTATTTACAGCAGTAGGCTGAAAAAACGTTGATACTCCTAGACTTTCAGCTTTATATTCATTTTCACGCATTCTCTTTTGACGCGCCTTGAATATCTGTTCTCGGCGTTGCCGTTCCTTAAAAATATTGTCTTCAACGTTACCCAAGTCTGTTAAAATCATTTGAACGCGCTGCAGATTTACTTCTCCTGAATCAGTCAAGAAACCACCAGTTTTATAAACACACTTTTTATAAAGCTCTACCAAACGATCCACTGCGCCTTCCCTAATCTCAAGACTTGGTAAATGCGGTAAAAAGTCATTTCCGACGAAAAAGCACATAAATACCCAGTCATCTAGTGCACGCTCAAAGTCATATTTAAATGGTAAATTCGGCATTTCTAACGTTTTCTTAAGATATTCCCGTAGAACACTCAATCTTACGAATATGAATCTAACTTCGGCATTTATGGGTACGTCAGGCTTAAAGCTCTCATCTTTAGGGCCACTTGCATTTCCTAGTCCAACACATTTTTGCATTTCATGTCCAAATTGTTTACAAATTTCACAAGGCCGAGGTTTGTTTGGTAAAAATTCTTCTCGTATGATAGTGAAATTCGGTTCATGGGTAGCGAGACCCAACATGATTAAGTCCGCATCTGCTCCACATAAAACATGCTGCGTATTCGGATCGTGATCTGGTTGAGCCCTTTGTTTTCGTATGTAGTCCATTATCTTGTGCTCACCTTCGCCGGGGGCATTAGCATCGGATAGTATTACTTTTATCCCTTTCCAGGCTGGATTGGTGTTCATACGATCATGGATATAATAATGTAAGCATTTGCTTAATCTATCCATAAAAGGTGTACCAGGTGTAATACAATTAGAATCGAAGTGTTCCTCGTCAGTTTTTTCTGGTGGAAGTATATAACCCTTTACTAAAAGTTCGTCTCTAATTTTTTGTATTTCAATTCGTTTTTCATTTGCCTCTTTTGCGGCTCTAAATCGTCGTGATCTCTGTTGATTCATTTTAGCTCTGGGAGCTACGCCATCTATTGCCATATACAATAACTTGCGTGGACGAACAATACCAAACAAGCGATCAATGCACTCGAATATTGCTACCATCATTTCATCCTCGTTTTTTGGAGCTGGTTTGTCCTCGGGATGTGTACATGGATGGATAATACCATTCATATCCAAATAAAGATTATCAAACTCAATGCCATTTGGATTTGGGAGAGTGGCGTCCTCGTATATTGTTTTTCCTGTGTTCGGATCTAAACTCTTGTTTTCATTACAATCAACGATAACGCACGCGTACTTTTTACTTAACCATCTAAAAAAAGCCGGAACTCCCATATTTGTAACTAGAATAGCCCGAAAATTTCTTTAAAATATTAAAAACGAGGAATCCTAATACTTAACCAAACAATCGGAAAACTCGGACGGTGATAATTTTCAATAGATTATACTGTGAATGGTGTCTGGAATTGCAATACAGCCAACTTCACGTACATAGTGTTTGAAAGTTTAATGTTCTAATGTTTCTACCCATTTTTACACTACTTTAAAGTTTTTGCCAGATAATAATCAAAATCTTTATTTAAATATTCAAATCGTATTTGCAAATATAATATAATTGATTAATTACGAGTGCAATACACAAAAATCGCTTCTAAGAAATATTTGAAATTTATTCTTTATTCCGCTTTGTATGGCAAGGTTTCAGTTCATTATAAAACAAATGTGGATAAAACTGAAGAGTGGCTAGTTTCAGTAATTTGTTTGCGATTCAAGTTGAAAGTTTCTTTGAAGGAAATAAATTAATTCCAGTGTGATAGTACAAAGTAATAATACAAAATTGTATATTGTAATAATTTTAGCATCTGATTGTATAAATCGGATATAATGTGATAAAATCAATGAATGTGTAAAATTTCTATACTGTAATGTATAATATGTGGTATTGCGAAAGATCATATACAAGTATGTGGCATATGCATTTGTGTTGAAATACTCAACAAACTTATGTGTTTTGCATAGTTGTCGTAAAGCTATAGATAGATGTAATTCAAATATTATCTTTTTACAAATTTTCGATGTATTCTCAGGTTCTACTAAATACTTCTTATCCAGAATATCACAAATGCTGCAATACATAATCACACAAACAAGAAAAATTCATTCACCTTGAACAATTCACATAAAAAAACCTCATTATTCACAATAGTAGTGCTGTATTTCCTCTATATTTTCCTTATTGCTCTTCACAATTCTGTGTTTACTGTTGACATCTGTTCGATGAATGTGGGATTACAGATTGCAAGACCTAATGCAATCTTCTCAAGCCAATTATAAATCGAAAAGAACTAGGCAAAATATTCATCAGCTTGCGCTTCCGTTGTTGTGATACCTATTGTATGCAACAACGGGTTCTTTATGAACTAAAAAAATAGGCGGAAACAAATCAGCACAAAAAACACAATATCGAATTATACATAATAATAATTAGATTTTTTGATAGTTTGCTATTTTCATGTCGGTTTAAATTGCATTGTTAATGAAGAATGATAGAACTCGGAGATTGCGCCAATCACGGTCTCGTCACCTGTAGTTATAAATTTTGACAATCACCTGCTGCTAAGTTACGTCAAACTTTCGAATTACAATAACAAAGCCAAGACGAAATTATAGAAGGTGAAGTTGTCACCTCATATGATTGCTTGTTCTTCCTCCTAATTTTCCTTGATATGTTGCGTGTATGTTTTTAGAGATCATGACACAGATTTTCAGAAGAAACAATTCCTTGGCGTTATATATTACCTATCCTTAATTGTTTCTCTATATGGCTGGCACTCCAATAAAATCTTAAAGGGGTGTAATTTTTTTGAAAACTTTTTTTTCATCAGAATAACATTTATTTGGAAAATTCTTTATGATTGCCGCTTTAACTGAGGCTACTCGGCCGAGTTTCATCTTGATATTTTTCCAACAATGTAGGGACCTATAAATTGAATAGGACGTCTAAGAATGGCTGATGGATTGCTTGGTACTTTTTATTTTGAAGTCAGATATACACTCGTGGGTTTGAAGGCTCCTTCATGAAAGATGACCGCAAAAAAATTTTTTTGATATAAGTTAGTAAGTTTTATAATTTGAATATTTTATTATACAGCAAAAAAATGATAGAAGTGGCAGCTGTCTCTCTAGTTTCGGTTATTGATCCTCTCAGGATTCGAGTCTTTGACTTACTGTGAAATTCTGAAGATGTGTATGTAATTGAATTGGCGAGAGAATCAAAGAAATTTTGTTTGGTAATTTTGTTGTAATACTTTCTCAATCCTGTGGCAACTTTATTTGTGTTCTTTTCTATTTTATATTCAAATATGCCTTCTTTTTTGGTCTTATACAATAAAAGTAATTGCAATATATTTTTATTCCATTAAATATCAAATACAGGGTTGACACGACCTAATCACAGCTGCTAAAACATTGTATCCATTGGAGCTATTTGCATAAAAAAAAAAGAAAATTGAAACCAAGGATAAATAATATAAAGGATATACATTTTGCAAGGATTCCTAGTGACTTTGAAAGACAGTCACATTCGTCATTCGAATTGATTTTTTGAAATGTTGATTTTTTGGAACACTACGAATCTTTAGATGAATTAATACGAAAACTGGTGCTGAAGTTAAAGTTAATGTGGGTTTTAGTTTCGCCAAACAAAACAATTACAAAAAACTACGTGGACATACGGAAAAGATATTGAGCCAAACCATCTTGCCAACGTCCTTATTTAGTGTAAAAATATCAGCTGGTCTTCTGTTTTGTCAATGGCAGACTTCGATGCAATATATGAAGATGAACAACAGGAGGAGCAATATGTTGAAGACCAAATGGTCGCCCCTGTTCCTGAGCCGATCATTATTCGAGGTTCTGGTAACATGACTGTGTAAGATATCTGCATATACATATTTAAACTTATATATTTCAAAAGCATATTTTTATAAGTTAAACTTAGTGCATATTAAAATAAAAATATTTGTTCCAATATATGTACATACATATTGTATATATTGTTATATACATATGTACATATATACATTTAAATAAATTAAGCAATTATAAAATTATAGTTTAATCGTTGTAGATTTGGATTGAGTAATCGTTTTAACACAGAGTTTCCACCTGCGCTAATGTCGCGTATTGCACCGGAAGAATTTAGATCAACAATCGGACGCATTAATGGTATTCTGAAGAAAACGCTACCGGTGAACGTAAAATGGCTGTTCTGTGGATGCGTTTGTTGTTGCTGCACGCTGGGATGTTCGCTGTGGCCAGTAGTTTGTTTAAGTAAGAGGGTAAGTATTGATTTTCGATTTTTCCAGTTTACAAAAATAGAGAAATACAATTATTAATTTCTAACTTCTTTGTAATTTAATATGCACTCTTAGACGCAAAACACTCTGGACAAGCTACTTGAGTGGGAGAATAGTAATTTATACCACAAGCTCGGCCTACATTGGCGACTTAAAAAGGAAAGATGTGATTCAAGTTCGTTAATGGAGTATGTGTTACGCATTGAATTTATACCGAAGACACCTATTTATCGCCCGGACTAAAATCAATCCGGCGATGAAAAAAACACTATTTTATGGGGTTGGGGGGAAGATCGTTATCGATCTTTAGTTATGTATACTGGATATCATGATTTTTGTTGGAATTTAGTTTCGAAAGCAACAATGCAATTATATGCAAAGCTAATTGAAAATAGTAGATTTATGTATGTACATACATATATGCAATACTTTTTGTGTTAAGTGTATACAGACGCTGACAGAAATTACAACGATGGTTAATAGCGAGCGACAGAATAAATACCGTTCTTCATCGGTAATAGAAAATGAGGAAATATGTATGTACATATATATAAAAGGATATTTTGTATAGAATTGTGATGGAGAGCTTTAAAAAGCTTAAATAATGCAAAACGTATATTATTTTAAGTCTGCTTTGTTTTGGCTTTTTTTTCGCTTTCATACGCCAATAAATATTGTAGTTAGTTGTATTTGTAAGGATTAGTTTGAAAAGTAGCAGTTGCTAAATAGACTTCAAAACAATATTAATTTCTGTTTAGTATATTATCCACGTTAATGCGATGAAATGGAAGTGAAATGTCTAATTTAATTTTAAATAAACTAAAATAATTTAAACAAAAAAAAAAAAACTATTACACTAAGCGTATGCTTATGAGTAAAATAGAATTATACATATTTTCGCTTAGAATTAAGTCAATGAAATTTATTTAAATTAAACTACTAATAAAGATTGTATATTTGAAATTAAGTAAAAATATTACGTTTTTCTGTTTTAAAGTGTTATTACTCAGTAATGATGTGGGGTATTCGGCACGAAGGCTCTGACTCTTTGTTGTCGTAAAATATTTCGGCTCGTCTTGATTTGCTTCCTTGTCCAGACCATAAAAAACAGAACTTGCGATACGGTGATTGAACTCGATGACACCAGGATGCGCCGATGATCGAGAATGTTCGGTCAATTTTGCCGGTACGTGAATATCGGTTCAGGGGTGAAAACTACTCTTACCTATCCTACCTATGATAGGAAGCCTTCTTGCAGGGATTGCACTGAGGCACATTAATAAAACAACCCTGCAAGAAGGCTTCCTATCATTCCAACATGAACGATTTTCCTATCACTTTCTTAAGGCCGAAATGATGATGATCAGAATGTTATGAATATCTGAATGCAGATGAACCTCGCAGAGTTTTATTGAATATTTTTAAATCTGCTGTTGCTGTAAAGTGAGAAGCGTCCATTCCAGTCGATTTCCTCCATTAGCTGAATTTTCCGTACAATATGCAGTGTTCTAAAAAAACATAACAAATGCAAAAATTCATGGAAAAATGAAGTACATGGTTAATAAATCGACAATATATTATTACCACAACTTGTACAGGATCTTCATCATATATTTTTCACTTCTATCTGCTGCGGAGAAAAAAATAAAAAATGGCGTTCTACTCGAAAATAAGAACAAAGAAAATCGGTTAAACCGTTCAACTGCATTCTCTTTCAGTTTATAAGTACTCACAAGAGAAAGATAAACAAAACAACTTGCTTATGTGTTAGTGCTGTCCGAAATCGTGATCGTGTGAGTGTTTTGGTGAACCCATCAGCCCATTCTTGTAGGAGAGCTTACTTGAGAAACTTCAACTGAAAACTCATTGTGCTAATTTGTTTTATATATATACATATATATATTTACTTATTTCTTATAACTTTTGTTCTTTCATTTCACTTTTTAAGCTATGCATTTGCTTTAATATACATATATAGGTATATGTATATATGTATGTAATTAATTTTATAGTTTATATGTACATATGAATGTATTTCTTATGATTTAAGTTATTAGCATCAAAAAATGATACTGCTGTTAAGCATATTTAACTTAAAATAATTTAAACTAACTCAAATTAATATTTCAACGAGTGTAAAAGGAAAAAATTAAAAGTAGAAACTTAAGCTTACCTATGTACATATGTATATCAAGTCTTCGTGCGGCTTTGGAATGTTGCGCAATGTATTTTCTTTCTTTCCTTGTTTTTTTTTTTTTTTAATAGAAATTCAATAACTAAAAACGTTATTTTCAACCTAACAATTCAAACTTATAATGTATGTATGTATGTATGTAAATACAAGTATTTGATCACGAATGTGACCAAAAATATACCTTAAAAGTATGGAAACTGGGTAGTGAGTTTTTTACTCTAAATCTTAATGTCTTTCATACGATTTCAATATCGGAATGTATATAATATATATGTTTGTATGTATATAATATTTAATTTGAAATAACTTTTTCACTATCCGAGTATTTGTATGGGATCGGATGTATAGTTATCTCTCTTATCGGATGACATGCCTTCCGAATTGTCCAATGCTTCAGTAGATTTGTGCTCTAAATCCGTTGTACTATTATCGTGTAGGTAGTCATTAATGTTGTATTCGTATTGATTTTGTTCATCATATTCATCTTCATCGTCCGTCAAACCCAGCTGCGCGTGGACATTTTTCATCAGTATTTTAACTTCCTTTTTATGGATTTGCAAATCGTCATTAGGTTCTCGCTTTGGTTTACATTTACCATTATGCAAGATCTTCACATTCTCCCCATTACGCGCTGATATTTTTTGCGTTTGTACATTTCCATTATTTGGGAGTTTTTTCTGTGCTTGTTTAACCAGTCGCTTCTTACGCTTCTCCAATTTGACTGCACTACCTAATATTTCTTTGCCAAGTTTTTGAAACTGCAATGCTTGTTCCCTGAACGCTTGCATCAGCAGCTCGTCTTGACGCATCTGAAACTGGTGTTCTTCGCGAGCCAACTTCATTTGACGCTGAAAGAAATCATTAATTGCTTCCCGTTGTATCTGTCTCAGGGAAAGAGCCATATCCTGCAGTATTCTCGAGTGGTTTTTATCATATTCGGTGTTATCCAATAATGGCGGTTCCAGGCCCTGTTGCGGTGGCGTCTGGTATCTCGAATTTTTATTCTCGTTTGAATTAAAATTTTGTTCATCATCATTCATATTACAATTAAATTCTTGTTTTGTCGGCCCTGGTGTAGCCTTTGTAACAGTTTCAGTCATCCGTGTTATTTTCTTCGGTTGCATTGTACTCATTAAGAGTGATGTCTTTAGGTGTCGTTTACGTGCTTCCATTTGTTGAGCTTGTTGTTGCTGCGCTTGTTGACTGGTTGAGGGACCATCTGGAAAGCCGAAAAAGGGTTGTGGCGCGCGATACTCATGTGGCGCTGGTGTCCCATCCAAGTCGGGCATTACAACTTCTTGATTTCGTTGGTATGTTCGCGGTGCAGGCTGACGTTCTGAAGTTGTGTTGTTAAGCGTCTGTGGGCTACTGATATTAATTGTTTTACGTTGGTATGATAGTGGACTGATGTTCGCACCGCTACTATAGGCACTGTTTAATCGCAATGCACGGGAAGTAGGGTTCATGGCAAGTGGTGGTGGCGGTGGCAAATCGGTGTTGGAAATGGTTGTTGTAATTTCATCGGGTGGTACTTTTGCGAATGGTGCTATGCGCAATGGTGGCAGCGGTGTCAAGGTTGCTATATTTGTGGTGCTTGGTCGTGGCTGTGAGGGTGTATTTAAGGTGTTTATTCCTATTTTGGGTGTACTATTAACGTTTGGTGTGAATGTTGCCACATTTGTGCTAATAGCAACTGAGGGACGTGCGGGACGTCGACTTAATATCATTATTTCTGGTACCGTGTGCCGTTGTGGCTGCTGTGATTGAGCATGTGCTTCAATGTGTGTCTGTCCATCTGGTGAGGTAGGTACTGGTGGTGAGGCGGAGCCCTCATTTATTTCTTGCTTGACTTCAGTTTGAAATTGTATGTTTGATGTGGAATCCTTTTCCTTAGCATTTACAGGCTCGTAACCTAAATAGAAAGAATTTAATTAATTAATGATTGCGATTTTATGTAGCAATAAACAGTCGGCGGCCTCGGTAGCCGAGTGGTTAGCATTACGTATTGTCATGCGGAAGGGCAGGCTTCAAACCCTGGTACGACCAACATAGAAGAGTTGTAGAAAATGAATTTAAATAAAAAATTAAATTAAATTTTCCAATTGCGGTCGTCCCTCCGCAAGGGGTGTCAACCCCGCGAGTGTATTTTGTATTTCTGACAAGCAATAAAAGCTCCTCTTAAAACAAAACAATCAGCCGTTCGGATGCGGCTTAGTATAAACTGTAGGTCCCTTCATTTGTAGGAAAAACAAAAAGACGCAGAACCACAAAACGGAGTAGGAGCTAGGACGCAAACCGCTTCAGCGGTTACAAAGCGCCAATTACATATTAAGGAGTTTCGTTAAACAAAAGAAGCAAACGTGTTTTCAAGCTACTTCTTAGTTAGCTCATTCTTTGGTACGTACCCGTATCAGCCGGCTCCTGCTTTACCAGTCCAAGGCGAAATCCGAATATAGGATGCGCCAGGCCATTCTCTTCATCCGACTCTTGTCCTGCAGCAGCACCTTCCAACGGACTCTTACTTGCTCTACCATAGCCGCCTTCAACACCCGATATAATCAATTTGCTTTCATTGCCAGTACCGTTATCAGTTGTCGTAGCACCATTAGAATCGTCACCATCAAGCGATGTAGCTGAATTTCCACAATCACTAGTCGAACGACCCGAACAATTTGTATTGGTATTCTGTAGCATTTTATGTAATTCCTCATAAATCGGTTGTGGTATCATTTTCGGTATTACGCCGTTGCGTCGTGATGTCGTATAAGTCGATTTGAGGAATTTCCATTTGGTCCAAATTTGTACGTGCGATTTTTTATAAAATCCACGCAAATGCATTATTCGCTCAACTTTACGAAAAACCGATTCGCTTTTTACTGTCTTAACACTGAGCATTTCGAGCGCTTTGATCTCTTGCATAATAGTTAATACCTCCATGATTTCGTTGGTGCGCCATAAATTACGCTCCCTTCCATGCTCAGTCCGTGCTGGTGCAGTGTTGTTACTTTGTAAGGGTGTAAGTAAGGCGTCCACATCGCCAACAATACCGGTGGCGGTTGCTGCAGTATTCAATAACTGATTAATGTGTTGTTGTTGTTGTTGTTGTTGCTGTTGTGGTTGCTGTTGTTGTTGCATTTTTATTGTTACGCTGAGCTCCGGATTATAAGCGTTAAGTTGATATTCCAACCGTGGCATAAGCATTTATATGCTGCTTTGGGAATCAACCGAATGTGGCCAGTGGAAAATGATGTACGCGAACTGTAAAGATTAAGTTAAAGCATCTTATCAGTATATCTATGTACGAGTATCTAGGCACAATGAATTTCTTAGCATTAATTTTAACTTAGCCCTGTGCGGTGAGGACGGTTTTTTGTCTCACCAGACGCGGTTCACTAAAGTTCAGTAACGATTGTTACTGTCCTTCCGGCCACCGCAAAGAACTATTATAACACGATAAAGAATAAAATATGAAGAAAAGATTCATAAAAAACGGTTATGTGTTTTAGAAAACCATATCCTTGAGCTCGCGGTATAGGAAAATACTCTCCACCAGTCTCAAATGAAGCAATGCTGAACAATCACATAAGTAGCCGCTATTAATAGAATTAGAGAAAAGGACAGTCCATCATACTTCATGACATACCGAGCTCTTTTCTTGATAGCCAAGTCTAGTAGGCAGTTTCCCTAGTAGAATCTCGATATTAATATCTTTGTACAAAAAATATCTTCTATATCAATTCGGAGGTTGAAGTAGCCGCGCACGTTTTTGTCATTGTGACACTCAGTAACACGTTTCAGGACCTTTGGCCTTTTTGCACTTCTGACGGGTCGTGTGCAAAAACCTCACATTAAAGCGGATAGTGATCACACGATCGATAGTGGAGATCGGTGATGGATCTACAAACACCAAAATTGAGTTCCCGTCAGCTGTAGTAGATATGACAAGGCCATCTCAAAAAAGCAATACGATTTGAGCCGCCTTTACCGGCGGGTATTACATCGAAAACTTTCAAAAGTGGAGTATCTTTATTCATGCGAATCATTATCTAGCGGATCTGCTGTCTCTCGACTCACTGAATTAAATCAATGTCGTCGTACATTGCGTAGCACTGCTCGTTCCATCAGAGAAAATAGACCCATTAAATTGTAAACCGAGCGTGAAATTTGGTATTCTACACATATATATAATACGTGGAGCGGCTGATAAGTTCGCGGACTAAAGTACTTAATGAAACAAATGTATAATTTTATGTTTTTTATTTTTAAATTTTTTTGAGAGAAATAAGTGAAATACACTTTTCACATCGTGGATGCAAATGCCGTAAGTCCTTTCTTAAATTTGAAAAAAGGAAAAAGTCACTGGGATCCAGGTCTTCACTGTTTGTGGATGGTCAATTTCTGTAAATTCAGTTGTTTTTAAGGCATCATCTTCGACGCCGAGTTTTCCACTTTGAATTTATTTTGGTGGCCTTTCCCCTGCTTCGACTCCTACGTGCACTCGGCAAATCCAAGTTTAATCAATTGCTACAATGCAGTTGCGAATTCCATCCAAATCATCTTATTATTATAAAAAATCGTCACAACCCAACCTGTATTACCCAATGCGCATTAATTTTTTTCATATTCAAATGTTCATGCGAAATCTCTCCAGCTTGTTCTTTGCTAATCTGTAATCCTTCTCCTATTTGACAGGAATTAAGTCTTCGATCAGCCAGTACTAATTTCTCGACTTCCCGAACATTTTCTTTGGCCATGATCGTCAGTGGACGCCCCGGGCGGGGGTCATCTTCACATGTATCTCTTCCTTGTTGACACAGCCGAGCTCATTTTTTCACCAAGTGGCAGAGTGCAGAAAAGCCGATGACATTTCTTTTAAATTTTCATTCTGCGTATCTCCTTTTTACAAGTCAAAAGTTCTCGAAAACTACTCAACCGATCTTTGAAATTTTATACAAGTCTTTGAGATGCAATCTTTGTCTTCTTTTTTATTAGCGTAAGCAGTGGCCTTACGAAACTGTTGTCGAATCAACAATAGCACGCCATTCATCCTTCTCTTCGCTGTTTGGAATCAGTTGGGAATATTAAGTGAAACCATTCATTCGCTGAACTATATTAATGTCATCGTTCCATTGCCAACGGTATTTACCGTTACCAAAACGCAAAAAAATTTCTTTCGAAGATTCCCAAGGCCGACTCTCCGGATGCCGATCTGCACCATATAGTAGAACGAGAATGATAAGCGACTTGTAGAGTTTAGTTCACGTTCGCCTAGAGAGGACTTCACTTTTAAATTGATTTGACTAGTACTGAGCTTGATGCATTTATTGGTATACTTTTTGCTGCTGGTGTTACAAACATCAATATGTAAGAGTCAGCACTTTTTTGGCGTTCAGATGCTTTGCCCATCTTTCGTGCTGCTATGTCATATAGACGATTCCTTGCATTGGCCCGATATATACGTTTCGATGATAGTCGTACGCGTCAATTCCGTCAAGCATCCGACAAAGCGGCTCCTATTCGCGTAACCATTGACGAGCAGTTGTTTCCATATTGTGGTAAAACTAAATTCACCCAGTTTATTCCATCAAAACCAGCGAAATATGGAATAAAAGTATGGTGGGCATGCGATTCAAAGACAAAATATCCATTGCAAGGTATATTATACACAGGCAAAGAAGGAAACGAGCGTGAGGTGAGTCAAGGCGAAAATGTTTTGATACAATTGTCGAAAAATTATAGTCACAGTGGATGAACGATTGTTGCTGATACTTTTTTCACACCATTGAAAGAAGCTAAACGACTGGTCAATATTGGTCTCGCACTTGTCGGTACAGTTCGGGTCAACAAAGTATTTTTATCGCCTGAAATGAAGAAAAATCCACAGCGTCCATTATTTTCATCTCTGTTTGGTTTTCATGAAAATTTGGTATATTGGAAGCCATTCTGTATTATCATATATCAAAAAAGCTGGTGTCGATTGCATGGACCAAATGGCGACTCATTTTTCAACAAGACGACCGACCAACCGTTGGACTGTGGCTTTCTTTTTCAATATGTTCGACATTACGGCATTGGCGTCGTTTGTTATTTGTAAGGAGACGTTCATTTTTGAATACATTCGCCAAATCATTGGTTCTTGCAAACGTTGAAAACCGTATGAACATCCCAAAAGTCATATCTCAATTTACAACTCGAGTTGCTGTTGAATCTTTCTTTGGAAAACCAATAAACATGGCACCGAATATGCTGACAATGCATCGCAGTGGAGCAGATACATTCACTAACAACTGTTTACATGGCGAAGAAAAGCTTCGACGCAAAACTCGTTTCTTTTGCACAGCATGCTCAAATCCAGTTTGTGTACAGCATTCGAAAACCAATTATATATGTTTTACTTGCGTTCCACAGACCGATGCTAGTTAGTATCAAATTTCATAAGAAAATCCATTCAAATCTGTATATATTTGTCCAAACAGTATTGAAATGACTCATAAATAAAGCATAAAAAAGGTAAACAAATGGTTTGTTTTTTTCCATTTCAAATATTTTTGTTGTTTTTTTTACAAAGAATTGTAGCTACACATGTGCCCGAAGATATAAAAAGGTAAGGAACGAATAATATATACCTGAAAAATATATATGAGCCTCTCCATATAGTACTTTTTCCCATATAAACCCATATAAATATATAGGGGTCTGGCCAGACACCAGGTGTCTTCGGATAAAAATATTCCGTGAATGACAAATTGCATATGGAACGATTGTACCGTTTTTAAAGACTATTTCTAAGTGGTTCCGAAAATTCCTGACTGGACATTTTTTCGTAGAGGACGAGCCCCGAGAAGGTCGACCAAAATCTTCCACTGATGACGTCACTATAGCTATGAAGTCCAAAATTGACGAAACCACACGATTGGCACAAGAAATGATTGCTAATGAATTGGACTTGATTGTTATGGCTGTATCGCGAATATTAAGATATATAAAGAAATCTGCTCGATGGGTACCATGAATTTTAAATGAAGCCCAAAAAGAGGGTCCAGTGCAATTTGCTAAATTTTTCTAAAAACATATTCGAAAATGGTCATTCTACCAACTTTAGCAAAGTCGTTACAGAAGACGAGTCTAAGCAACAAAAACAAGCAGCAAAAGTAATGATGTCTGTTTACTTCAGGCGATCTAAAATCGTAGCTGCTATTCCAACGGTAACTGCAAAATAGTACACCGAAGAGTGCTTACCAAAAACTTTCATAAATTTGTAGAAAAACAGGAAAAAAGAGGATTTGCGGCACTACTCTTTACATCGTGACAACCCGCCATCCCAAACTGCTGAAATAACGAGTAATTTTATCGCGACCTCTGGGATCGAATAAATGCGTCCAGTACCATATTCCATGGATATAGCACCTTGTGATTTCTGGTTATTTCCAAAAATTTAAAAAAAAAATTAAGAGGAAAGGTCATTAATAGCAAAGTGGAGATAATTAATGCAATTCATGTTGAACTTGATGACTTTAAAAAGCAAGATTTTGAAGACAGCGAATACTGAAAAGTGGATCTATAAGCTTAATAAATGCATTGAAATCAATAGCGATTATGTAGAGAAGATAAAAAAGGACATAAATTATGAATAAATACAATAAATTTTAAGATATGTATAACTTTTTGTATCGCTTAGTGTAATATTTTGCTTTAATTCAACATATTTTATACTAGATTAGAGACCATTTGCTTCGCATACTTAGTATGATTTAATTTAGAGGCACATTTCATTTGTTGCTTTTATTTTGCACATCACCGTACATATATGTACAATTGGCACTCTCTAGCCTCTTAAGTTATTTTCTGTCGAGCTTCTCTTTCGTGTACTTTGTGACATAAATATGTAGTTTACACACAAATGGTTTAAAGCCAACTCTAAATCAGCATTGGATTTTTATGAGAAACCCGGGAATATAGTCATTCTCTACCGAGTGTTAAGCCTCTTTTTTATAACATCTTTGGATGCTGGTGTGACTTGTACGCGAAGTAATGAGCAGCAGTAGCATCATCAGTACACAAAGTAATTTACTCGATCACAGCCAACGCCATAATTTAATTAAGAACATCAAAAAAAAAAAAACTATTAATATAATAAAAAGCAAACACCAAAAAAAAAAAAACAAAAAAAAAAAATGAAAAAAACCCACTTGTTATTATTTAAAAAAATATGTACATTTGTACATATGCATATGTAGTAGCATACATTGAGTGCCAACAAATCTTAATCAAAAATACCAGCACATAATCTCAACTCTGGCACTATCAGCTTCCCTGTGCTTCCACGGTGTGGATTCGCTGACAGCGCCAATGCCGATATTAAAAGTCCCGATAAACTTACGAGAGAATAAATAATAAATTATCAAATCTCATTTAGCAACTATCACTCACAGTTGAATTTTCATTTTCGAAAAAATGTCAATACTGAAACGCACACATACATATGTATGTATGTACATCCATATGTAAAACCCAATCATAAACTGCGATAAAGGTTATAAATCTGTCTATACATACATACATATGTAAGTATAAATAATTGTAGCAACAATGCTGAAAATTCTCAAATATTTCCCATATCAAAACAATAGTTCATAACGAAATGCTCCGAGTATAAGGGAATTTTACGTGACATTCATTGACCCGACCCACCGCACCGGCAAACGGACGATCCGATTTAAGGGAATCCAATACACCACTGTTGTTGTTGTCAACAACACCAACAAAAGCAAATAGAGAACGATGGCTATGACGATGGCGGCGGCGGCGGCGCCAAAGAGTACGACTTAAATGTTTATAACTTACGATATATCAAATATTAAATTCTGCAGTAGCGGAATTTCCAATTCTGCGTCATGCAATTTTTGGGCGTTTTTCGAATATTTCTTCAATTTGTTAGTGTTCGACTGTAACAAGTAGTCAACTTCAATAACGTTTTTCAATATTTTTCGTGTTATATATTATATGTATATATAATATATGTACATACATACATACATACGCATGCACATATTTGCCTTTGTTTCTTATTTATGTATGTAGTAAGTGTTCTTCCCTTCCGCGTATAACTACACCGACAAACGTAATGAAAATTTCGAAAACCAACCGCACCAAGCGAATCAACGAGCATGACTGAAAAACTGAATTTACGAACTCGAATAACCAACTCGCCGCTTTGGCTAGTTGACCGTTGCCTGCTAGCTGTGCTTTGTTCGTCGGTAAACGTCGTTCAGTGGCGAAATTTCAATACTGCAGCCATAAAAAGCTTTTTAGTATCACAAATCCGCCACTATTCGTTTTCGTATTCGTACACTTATTTCTATATATATATGTGTATAACCGTATTTGTAAGAAGAAAAATTGTTTATTTTCAATTTTATATTTCTTTCTTTGAAAGTTTGTGCTTAAATTGGGTTTGAGTTATTTACATACATATGTATTTAGTTAGTAGACATGAGCAAATAAAATATATGTATGTATGTATACATACACAGCAGCTCAGTTTACATGCTTTTGAAAGAAGGTTTCTGCAGTTTTCTTTTCATAAAAAAAAATTATTAATATTTTATTTAAAAACGCCTATTAAGTCATACACATGTGTAAATACACACAAACAAATATACCAAATATCCACACAGGCATACATGCATATGAATTTATGTACATCCATACATTTGCTTGGAAAGAATCAACCATTCCCAGCATTTCGATATAATATTTCCCTGATATACTTTGCTTTTAATTTAGTTTTATACATAAGCACTTACATATAACTACACACATACATACAACAATATATTTTTTTGATTATTGACGTTTTTTTTTTCTTTATCATTCGTCGAATCATGTCGACTTGTTTTTTAATTCGGATTTCGGATGTGTGCTCGTCGCATTCGAAACGAAAGAGCGTAGATACGAATAATCGCCACTTTAGCGAGTAGAGATATATCCAATAAAAAAGTGTTTTTGTTTCCACACTGACATTTCAGCATACAATGTACCAGCTTCGTAGAAAAACATTTCGAAAACTCGGCTGTCATGCTTGTTGCTATCACATTCTCAGTGAATTTCGCACACAAACAAACGCGCTTGTTAGAATGGAGGTATTATGTACATACATACGCTCAGTGAAGTGCTCATTCCAACCACCTTTTGATTTGATTCTCAAACCATATCATCGTTACCACGTGATGGTTAAAGATTTCGATTCAAAATGCTACCCAACAGACCATTGATTGTATTTGGTAAAACGAACGGAGAGTGGAAATAGCACAATAGTTGAGGAGAGATTTTAACTTGCACTCGCAAAGTACTAGTAGGTAGTTATGTATATATATGTATATGTATTGTGAAGGACGGGTTTCACTCTGATTTTATAATCTAAAGTTACTTTGATATTAACTTTCACTTAGTTAATCGACCAGCCGCAACGCCATAAGGCTAAATTCAACTCAACCATGGAGAAACTGCATAGGACACGCACAAATACTGAATTCCACATCATTCTCGGAAGAGGTAGGCTACAGCATTTACGTTTTTTGTTTCGACAACACTTTTTCAACAAAAATGCCAGAGAGAAACGAATGGGAATGGCATCATAGATCCGTAGCTAACTTCACCGACGGCTGCAAGTTAGATGGCAGATTGTGGAGTTTACTCTGAATCACTTGATATAGAACTAAGCAAAAGACTTTCCGACCACTGCAGTGTCTTTCCAGCGGAACTAACCGTTACAATTGAAGTCGCTTTATGGTTACTCGCGGCTAATACGGTAACTCAACCTATTTCAATATATTCTGACAGCCAAGCTGACCTAAGTCCCTCCAATGCAATTTACCACCTCAAAGGTGGCACTAAAATACAGAGAGATCTTAAACAAACTCTCGAATGTATGCGGAACGTTTGTAGTTTGAGTCCCTGGGCAGAGGGACATACTATACTGTGTATAAGACTAGAAAGGCCAGCGAAAGATGGCAGAGCGAATCCTTGTGCAATGTGACAAGACAAATATATCCATTAGTCGAAAAAAAAAAACAAAACTAAGTATTTAGACTCTCTAACCAAATCTTCATAAGCATAACAACTGTCGTAGTACGCAGATACTGTCCTATAGAGACTAATGGTAGAATGATGGGTTGCTTTCCAATCGAATTCGGCAGCAGTTACAGAAGAGAAGGAATCGGTTGATCATTACCTCTGTCACTGCCCAGCTCACCTGTCACTGCACACCGCGTGGTTTGAGTATTTGAAAAAGTGAAAGTAATCTCTTTAACAAGACTTACATAGGTATCACAACGGGCAAGTGGGGCTGTACAGGGTCCCGTGATAAAGCAAACCTGTTAATTAAGTAATTTCTATGAGTAATACTTTTAGAATACCAGAAAAAAACTACATAGATGTATTGCCATCTCAAAAGTAAGAGGAATTTGGACTCTGACAATATTAGACCTGACATATTGGGATGACTTTAGTTATGATATTCGAATTCTTTATGAATCATATAAAATTCGAAGAGAGCGCCGATAAACCACGTATAAGAAGAGGCGAAGCAAAGCTAGAAAATTTCATTCAGGTTAAATCATTATTTAATGCAAGATTTTGCCGGCGACATCGTCCGCAAGGAATTTTAAAATAGTTCTAATAAGTTTTTTAATACCTATTTAATAATCTTTTTTTTATCCAAATATCAAACAAATGGAATCTTAAATAGGAATAACTCGAATAGATCATAGATCCCAGAAAATAAAGTGTTTTCCACATTAATAATAACTTTTTCAGATAGATCGGCTACGGATAGCAGAGCTAGGCAAAGGACTATCCGTGTTTCAAAATCCTAACAAATCGAACTCAAAAACGAATTCATCCTATCAAGTTTTAGGACTCGGCGATGAGTCTTTTATATACATTTATGTATGGTCAAGTTAAAGGACGGTATTTAAAAAATGATTTATTAACATTACTAAATATTTATTAAGTAGCAAGAATGTCAACCTCTCCGACTGTATTTCTGACATGAAATAAAGCTCCTCATAAAAAAACCATCAGCTGTTCGGAGGCGGCTTAGTATAAACTGTAGGTCCCTCTATTTGTTGCAAAAATATCAAGACGCATTTCACAAATTGGAGGTGGAGCTCCACCGACAATTGCTTCAGCGGTTACAAATGAAGGAACACTCATATTAGCGTATTAAACGATTTCTAAACAAACTTCCGGGAAGGGGAAAAATATTTGTATAACTAAAATCTGGAACAGCAAAGAGAGCAGAAGAAATATTGGTGCTTCAAAGCCAGTCGGGAGAAAATTGGTGATCGAACTCGAACCGTCCTTGTCTCAACTTGACTGCCGCTGAGGAGAATATCGTGTCACAGACAACAATTTGGCGTACTCTGCGCCGCTGCAAGCATTTTGAAGATATCAAAAGGGATAAAAGAACTTAATTTTTGCCACAGCACCGTATGGTCAACCTGGAGTCTTTTGCATAAATCTCCTGAAATGATGAAAAACGATTTTTTTGTTAGTTAACGGCAATGTATATGATAAAACTGGCTTTTACCAAAGAAAAAAAAACATTGCTGGAAGAGAGCACGTGCAATGTGACCACAAAACTGTGGCCAAAATTGGAAGCAAAAAAATCATATGCTTCTAGACCGGTTCTATATTTGGGAGAGAGGAAGAGTCTATTTATTGCACACAATCTTTGCCATCCTTCATCCTTGGCATCTACACGACGCTCGGAAAAACTTTTTCTATTGTCTCGCTGAGCTACTTTCAGTGAAAATAGGTTGTCTCGTTACCTTTATAAGGCACACGAAATGGTTCGAACATTTGAGAAGGTGAAGACAGGAACCTTACAGCATTTTCATAATGTGTTTTAATGCTGCAACAACTCCACTCAACTCAAGGAATTTTTCAAGCTTTTTTAAAATAAAATAAAATTCAGTTTAATTGCTTGACGCAAAAGTTCAGAGGTACTAACTTACGTACATTTTTATGTATATAATAAATACACATATACTTACATAAAATATGTACATATGTATATGTTACAAGGATAAACGTATGTAAAGAATTTACATATTAAAAAATAATTGATATAAAAAGTAAAAGTTCGAATTTTCGAACTGTTTTTCTAATTTCGAATATATATATATGTATATATATAATAAAACTTATATAACGGCATGTGTGTACACTTCATCATCGAATTCGAGAAAAAATGAAATGTAAAAAAATAACGCGCTAACAAAGGGACATTTGAGGTGAAGGATATGTGAATGGGATTTTTTGTAGAGCATAGTAAGAGAAGTGTAGAGAACATTGGAATAATTTTTAATTAAATCATTCTATGTATAAGCAAAAAAAAATGTATGTATTTGGGTAGAGATATGTATGTATGCAGGCTTTTAGTTAAAAAAGAAACCGTACAATACATTTTAGTAAAATACATTAATTTGAAACATTGGAACATTTTAAAATTTTTATAATTTTTTTATACTTTGTGTCTGGACACTTACCGATGTTTTCTTAGTTTAGATATGAAAAAAATTCATTACGCAGAGAAGCTTTTTAAATTTTCATATTTAGGCACAAAAAGAAGTTCATAAATTGGAAAAAAGACGAACATTCTTTATTAAAAAAAAAATTATTTATTAAAATTATTATTATTATTTATTATTAAAAAAAAACAATTTTCGCTCTTTCTCCAATTAAAAAAAAAAATATACACATAATTGGAAACATGATAAAAATTCTATACGGTAGTTTCACTTCGAAATTTTTCACACTAAAAATGTTTGATCTTGCCACTTATAAAATATTCAACTTGGAGATTTTTTCATTATTTTTGGGGTTTTCTTCTAACCGGTCTTAAAATATTGGAAAAACGTATTTATTTTAAGCCGTTCGGCGGTAAGAAAAGGATTTTGCTAGATGCTTTTATTTTATATGAGGTGTAAAACTTTGCCGTTTTTTTTCCAAAATTAAAAGATTTA